ATTCGCGTTTTCTGCGCAAAATTTGCGAGATTTTCATCATCAAGACCAGCCAAGATGCCGATCCGAGGACCGCGTGCGATCTTCAATCATATGAATTACAATTGATAGCCCCGTTCGACGAGTTCCTAGCGAAGTTGGTGAAGAATGAGAAGCTGCATGATGTTGCAAAAGAGCTGCAAGTAATTGCGATTCCCCGAGACAAGCACCTGTGGCTGGATACCGCGTACATTTCCGGCACGTTTGGTACGCATTTCGACGAGAATTCGGCTGCCGAGGAAAAGAGGCTCGCAGAGAAAGGCACCTTGGAGACGCGTTTAGGCAGCGGTAACCGCCTCGTGGTATTGGATACAGAACAACGAAAGGTCGATAATAACTATGTAGCCACTGCGAAGAGACTCGATATTTTCCCGCTACGTGAATCGCAGCGTTGGGGGTTGGACCATCTTTGGCGAGCGAATCGGGAGCCTCCCAAGGACAACCCCTTTCGGTGGAAGCAGTTGCGAATTCTTCCGATTAGTGCGTTTGCAGATCTCAGCGACGGGCGCCTGTCACCGAATGAGAGCAGAAAACTCCACTTTTTGCGGCTAGGGAACTCTGCGGCAGACGTGAAGGAGAAACTAACTCTCACAGACGAAACCTATCGTTAAGGGTTTCCCCATTGCGTCCTGCACTAACTACATCCATGACTCTTTCCCTGACTTTTTTTTCGAGAAGTCAGCCAGGGATGTTCTCAACGAGGACGCAATGTCGGGACCTCTAAGACCAGGAGCTCAAGGAGGTGGTGTCGCGAGTTGTAGAAGCAATACGTTTCAATTTGAAGCTTGGCGGGAAGTTGAAGGAGGAGTTCCACTTCAATTTTCACCCTCCTACTCGTTCTTAGTGCCCGCTGATGTTGGTACTGCTTCTATTTGCCGTGATAGGACGAGACCTGTGCCAGTAGTCATCAACTTACTTTTGACGTGATACATATTACGTTAATTATGTGACAAGAAACGTGATCTTCCCTTTCTATTCATGATCCACAATATGCCACTCCTTAAGACCACTCCTCAACCCAACGAATTTCAATCAGCATCAGCTTACCGACGAGAAGAAGGAGGACTGCAAATTTCAAGCGACGAAATTGAAGAAGTGGAAAAGGAAAGGCACAAAATACAAAGTATCACTCTCACTCTGCAGAAAGAGAGCTGGAGGCTTGTTCAAAAAAGTGGCAAGCTGCTGATGATGCAGAAAAAATAGGTAAGCAAATATTACGTCGGCCAACGGTCGAAACTTAAAATGACAAACACTAAGACTGCCCGTGGAGCATACTGCTTCAACTAGCAACGTATCCAGTATGATCCACGGTCCTGGTAACTTTGATGACAGTGCGAATCTTGTGTCTTTCTATCATGTTCATGTAGCAACAAGAAATGTACGTGCAGATCTAGAATATCAGAGCGTCGTAGTGTTACGGCCAAAAATTGTGATCCCTGTTGCTTCAAAAATATCATCCTCCCCGACTCCTAACAAAGAAGCAACAAGAACCAGGTATCGGGAGACTACGTCTGCCACTGAAGACATACACATATCATAGTACACATGTTCTTGGGGAAGATGCGAAACGAACGAAGCACGTTGCACTAATAATACGTATTTCCACGACGACGGTCGTACACGAACAAGAGCAATGATGGAGAAGCGACTTTCTACTTCAGGTATCATGGTCTACAGTTTGCTCTTCCTTCTGCTCTATTTCATATTCTCAGTTTGGTAGGTAACTTGCTCAAAAGATAAAGAAGTTCTTGCTCTTCTTCCTTCACTCTTTGGTGCCGCCATCAATTACGACCCTACCCCACAACAAGGTGATCACCGCTGCTTCGATTTTGATCGAATAATCTTGCGACGTCGAAGCCCCAGAAGCTAGAGGTAGTTGAAGACTGAGCAAGCAGACGACCCGAAGCTAATACTGAACAAATATTAACCACAGGAGTTGTAGGGGTAAGGAATAGGAAAATAGTCACTCCAAAAATAGAAATACTCGAAATCAAAAATGAAGTTGATTTGGACTAGGTCCCTGCAAGGAGAATAGATATCAACAAGTACCGTCATATTCATAAAAATAATTCCACTGTTGCGGGTGTCTATCCCCCTTGACTAGTATCACTTGAATACTTCTATATATTGTCTCAGAACACAGCAACAAGTGTAATAAACTACAACTCATTTATTTTGATACTAAGTAATTCGATTACCATCATAATCATACATGGATCAGGTAATATATTATCTGCAATTACTCATCTACATACTGAATTGTACGAATACGATTCAAATTCAACATAAAGATAAAACTGCTCTTGTACCCTTGAATGTTTCCTTTCTGAACTAAAACTTGTAATACAACCCATTTGCAAGTAGATTATGCTTCACCCCATTTGTTCCCCGGAAGCTCCCATCTATTCGTGACGTTGGCCTCTATGCTAACTGTCCACTTCTTGCCTATAGGAACCAGACTCGAGACGTGCTCGAGTCGGTGCCATTCGTCAGACATCAGCTTCCAGATCTCGATCTTCAGATATTCACTGTTTGTTGACGATCCATCGAAATCGATAACATCCATTTAGGTAGTGAGAAACAACCTCACACAAGATTGACTACGCACTATTGGATTTGGTCACGAATATACTGATTAATATATTTTTAAATATTGTACTACTTGATTCTTTTGCTTTTTGTTTCCTAGTTAGGTGTGCTCCACCGATATTAATATAAAACTATGCTGGAGCGGCTTCTTATGTTGAGACAAAGAGGCGCAGATCCGAGTCTACGTCGAGCTGACTCATTCGCTGACTCATTCCTTCGCTGACTCATTCGCTGATGGTAGAGGCCCAGCACCTTTTCTTCTCCAGCAGTTCGGTATTTGTGTTGGTTCAAACGTGATCTGACTAGAATTGGATGTTTAGAGGTTAGCATGCTTATTCCGTCGCTGTTAGTGAGAAAACTGAAAATATGCAATTGAAATTTCTCGTGTCTAGTATTTCATTTGTAGAAATTCGAGAACTGTTTATATGAGATAAATAGAAGTGACGGAACATATATGAGCTATCTTAACACGATGAAACGACACAACCCCACGATGCTGCTACGTGGCGTTCCCTTAGTCTTGAAAGTTGGTCTCGTCTTCTCTCCGTATCTTGCTCCAGCTATTCCGTAAAATCAAAAATAAAAATAGCATAATCAAAATATATATCGCATAATCGTCGAGAAAGAGAAATGGATCCCTCGATGTCGGCTGGTGATGGTGGTGGGACTAGATGAGAAGGTAATGCTGTGCTGTTGCTGTTGAAAGTAGTTCATTGCTGGGATGATGCTGATTACGTGTTGTATTGTGGTTGGTGATGGGAGTTATTGGGATGATACTGATTATATTTTTAGCATGTTGTCTGTTGTTTATCAACATCCTGGTTGACACATCTAGAACGATCAATCATCCACTTCTCGCGGAGAAAATTCCTCTCGGCATCTGAGTCGGAGCACATTGATCTGACTCCAAAAACCATTATTACTCTTGTCATCATCATTCACACGACCAAAAACCGTAGGAAAGTTGTTGATAAAGAAGGCACATCCGCAAAAAGAGGAAGCAGTAACCTGTGCGCCGAGAACCCTGCGCTGGGCTTAAGCAATTGGATAGTTGTGTTCTGGAAAAGTAAGAATAATAGGAGAGCTGAAAAACAAGAAGAACATCAGCCAGCTTGATCCGATCATTGGTTCAAAGGACATCACAGTGGGCCTTTTCAATCAGTGGCTCCAGGATACAACAAAAACCTCCAATAGAGATGAAGTCTGATCTAGGATCCACAGGACCTACATCATCGCTGAAGTAGTTGACAAGAACGTAGTAGTTGACAACGTAGTAGTTGAGGAGATCTTCATGATGCGAATTCGTTGTCCATAGTCGATGATGCGGATTTGCTGTTCATTCTAATGATCATGTATCATCTTAAAACTTGTCTTTTCATTTTGTATTTCTCCGATGGTAGTACGAGGGAGTTCTTGTAGCATCAAGACAGCACGTGCACAATGGCTGGCGTCGTGATCGTCTCTAGAGAGTCTCCTGCTGCATTCGCTGGCTGCTCAATCTCTTGTAGTAGAGATGTGCATATGTTGTGTCTCCGGTGAGTCAGCTGTCGTGGCGTGACCAGACCTTCCTACCTGCAAAACCGGTACCCCGACCAGAACTTTGCAAAGTTGGTGCTTTGGCCAGAGCTGTACTCGAATATGAAGGGCCGAAGCAATAGGCTGCAGCGCCATCTGCTCGGTAGAGAGCAATCTCTCTTGCTCGTGGGCAATAGTGCCGCGTCGAGCAGCTCAGCATGTTGTACTATATCTTGTTCAGCGGCGGAACAAAGCAGGAATATCATGGCGACACCTTGTTGTTCACCAGAGAACGGGCAAGGACAATGGATGACGGCGTCGAGGTCCCTGTCGTCCAGTGCCACAAACACTGGTCGCGGTCTTCTTTCTCGTTCTCGTCCAGCACTCGTGAACCCATATCATGGCGATAAGCCCGAATGGATGACGGATGTCTCGCATCCTATCACTATGTTAAGACTAAAAGTTGTAATTCATCTCCTTCTGCATGGGGTTTCTTTGTTTTCCCATGGTTCAGTGTCCCAGTTTTGTCCTTCTTGGATTCTGACTGAGACTTCTATGAACTCTGTTCTTTGTCCCGGTTGTGTCCTACTTGGATTCTGACTGAGACCACGACCCAGAACTTGGCTTCTGCTTGAAATCTTTGTAAAAAGATGAATTACTGTGCGCTAACTATCGTTTCCCCGAAATTTCTCCGCATGTGGCACCCTAAATCCTTACTACGGGGCAACCTATTCCGACGACCACTGCCAGACCTGCTGGATAGTCGTTACGCGAAACGAACGCTTATGGTAAAAGCGAGTCCTGGACGCTTGCTAAAGCGAGTCCTGGACGCTTGCTAAAGCGAGTCCTGGACGCTTGCCGAAGCTCTATGAAGTGTATTTATGGCACATGATTATAAGGCTGGTCTCTAAGAGTATACAGTGAGTGAAATTGATCGTTGTCGACGCTGTATGATGAAGTGTATTTATAGGGCATATTTTTACTTCTACTCATCTCTACTAGGAGTGTGCTGAGTGAGATCGTACTAGAAGATGCTTATGGCGTGATTAATGATAATGAGGTCGATCATTCACCTATTGCAGCTGCTGGGCATATAGCGTCTCAAGAAGAGAAGCAGCTACAGTAGTCGGGCGTTCACTACTGCAGGAGAACTTCGTCTTATAGTCCGTATTCTGCAATCCTCGCCCTCTTCCTTGATGCTGCTCTAATCCTCGACCGCAAGAGTGACTGCGTGGACAGCCGGTTTTTGGTTCGAGTCTTCTGCGTCCGGGGCCAAAGTGTCGCGCATCCCAATGCGTTTTTCGCAACCGCCGATCGACAACGCATCGTGGCACACGCGCACTTCAAGTGACTATGTGCTGACATTGCTAGTCGCAAACACGAGATCCGAGCAAAGGAAGTGCCACAACTTCTGTTCTCCATGGCAATTTTAGAGTATACAGGTTTTGGTAGATTGGCGAAACGCTTCTGTTGCCGCTGGAGAACAACTTGGAAAAGTATCGGTTTGAATCGCTGGCTACGGTGATTTATTCGTCGGCGTCGTTGATGAATGTGGGAACCTATGGAGGAGGAGGAGGAGAAAAAAGCGTCAATGTGATTAAAGAATCTTCGCTGTCGTGGTTTGGTCCAGAGGAGATGGCGCCAGAAACGGGAGAGAGGCCTTTCATAGGCGAGACCTCTACCACGGATAAGAATGAGGGACTTGATGCTGATAGTGCTGGTGGGCAACTCCTTAAAAACATCAAGAAAGCAAAAAATATTGCTCTGAACTTCGCCGGCTTATTTGAGCGCTGTGTCGCGGAGATCGCCAAATTCTTGCTACAGGAGGATGAGTTTGGTCGCTTACCTTCTGCTTCAGAAGCAACATTCATCAAAAGTGCTACTTCTAGCTGCCTGAAGATTCTGGTTTACCCGAACCTAAACTAAGAGACGAAGGAGGAAGGAAGCGTCAAGCCAGCGGAAATGATACATAATGAGCATCATATGCTGTTGGAGGAAATGGGAGCTGTGGGAATTGACCTTGTTGTCGGCTGCCATTTTGTCTCTACGGTGGTCACGAGAGGGGCTATATCAGGGGCACTCGCGTGACATAGTTGGTGGTGAAGACCGAGCAACAAATTACTGGGGGATGGTGGTGAACGAGGAACCACTCAGGTAGTACATACGACCACGAAGATTCGTCAGATCATCGCAGTTTCGCATCATACTTTATAAATGTTAATATTATGAATATGGTGGTACAGGTACTGCCTGCTCGGTCAATTTCAAGGCAATAAAAAGATCCATGCAAGAACATGTTGTCACTGAGTCGACGTCTGGTATGGACTCTTTCTGTTGAATAACAACAACTGCGACAAGAAAACTGAGGAGCTGCTTTTCTCCTGATTAATTGCTGGCGTGGTTTTGTTGGTGACGCTGAAGATGCTGGTACCGGAGAGCCACGTGTTCAATTTGTTCTGAAAGTGTCACAAGAACTTTCGTGTCTAAGCCAAAGCTCCTTGGCCAAAAAAATCCAAAAAAATCTTTACGGACTCTCGGTGCCTCCTGTTGCTTTCTCCTGCTCTGAGTACTTAAGTAAATAGTGTGATGAATGTGAGAGATTCTGATCCATGGTCACGATGTGAGAGTACATCACACAGTTCTGGAGTACGGATAATTTCTTTAACTCATTACTAGCGAGAGGGAGTGGGAGAGTCTATATCTATGTACATAAATATAAGTGCTGATATCTTCAACGTTCTTCTTGTATAAGTACTGATATCTTCAACAGAAAACATCAACAACTGAGTCTTCTGATATCAATTTCTACGTTGGTTAAGAAAATATTCTTATAATTGGTCCTCGCCGGACAACCGAGCGGCAACAGACTATGATGAAAATGTCTACAGGTGTTTTGCAGATGTCGAGATCTTGAACAAGTTGAGAGTATCAAACTCCATCGCGAATCTGAGATCAAACTCCATCGCGATGCTTCTACTGCGTCTGCAGCTTCGAGTCCCAGCGCCGAGATGCGCCGTCCTCGCGGTCGCAGCTCTATTTCTATTATGTGAACTAGTGCTGGGGATTCAGCATGATCATGATTATGGCCAGTTTCGACTGCAGTTCGCAGGTCTGCCGCAGTTCACCTCATCTGCCTTCGTGGTCGTGGTCCTGTTGCTGCTGTGTCCGCTAGTGCTGGGGATGCAGCATGGCCAGGATTACCACACGCAGATTGGCCCAGAAGAGTACTCACCGAATAGTGTGACCACTACATCTGAACAAAGGAACAACAGGTTAGCGCGCGCCAAAGCGCGCGAGGAGATTTTTCTGCAGCTGGTTACGCAGAGTCCTCTAGTAGATTCCGCATCAACTTCTACAGCCGCAACAAGTGAGTCGCAACAGTCGCCTGTGTCTCTGCCTAATATTAAGGGTTGCAATTTGGCCTCCTCTCATCTAATATCAGCATCAATCCATGAACAAGTTTGCAAGTATGAAGGTCATAGATCATATGCGAGATTGATAGGCCAATTTGCAATCACTAACAAGTCTACTACACTCGACGCCGAGGAAGGTCGTGGTCATCATGATGATGATGTAGGCCGTGACGACCTGGACGCTCTCGATGACGATGACGAGGCTCCCCCTGGTCGCGACAGCACTGACCACGACTGGTCTGGCGCGACTTGTGCATCGGAGGATGGCGAAAATACCTTTGCGCGGCCACCTTCCCGGTTCGCATCGTCCTTCATAGACTTCACGAAAAGAACAAAACAGCAACAACAGCAACAAGAACAAGGAGAAGGGGAACCCCCAGCATCCCATCCTCTTCCTCCACCTCGTGTTGCTGCGCAGGGAAACAAACCACCAACAGCTTCGCCTCTCGCTCTACCTTTCTCGAACTCGGAGTCGAGTGACGAGGATAATCGTGATGATTATGGTCATGCTCATAATCATAATGAAGGCAAAACCGGAGGCCGTGAAGATGTGTATGTGCTGCGCAAAGTTCCAGTTCCTTCTATTAAAGAAGTCGAAAAGCAGGCACTCGCACGAACAAGATCTCGACAGGATGAGGTTCAATCGTTGTGTGCTAAAGAAGGATCTGAGGCTGACGCTGAGCTGGTCGAGAGAGTCAACATGTGGCTGGAGGAAGGCAAGGTTTCCAAGCTAGTTCTCGCTGCTGAAGAAGACGCGGTCGAGAGGTGTCCATGGGCCTACTTCCCAACGATTCGGACACCGGGCAACGGTAAGGTGGCTCTTCAGGGCCTCCACGACAAGCGAAATGACAAGCTTCGGAGTATGGTGAAAAATGGTAAGCACTGGGAAGAGTGGATCAAGAAATGGATGCTTCTCAATCCGAATTGCGGGGAGGACTATCAAAAGTGGTTAGATGGCACATCACGCTCAAGTGAGAATGTCTCTCTGACGCAGGGCTATATGCTTATGCGTTTCCTCGATCGAGTTGGGTATCTCGCGGCTGTCACTTCTAGGAGCGCCATCGCAGGTTTCTTCCTCCCGCTCTTGAATATTGCGTTTACAAATGTAATCAACAAGAACAACATCAATATGCAGGCGTCTAGTATTGCTGCAGAAAGAACTTCTGGTGCTTCTAGTTTTATCAGTGATCTTGTTGGCAATGATCAGGAGGAGCAGAAGTCGGCGTCTAGTTTTGCTACAACTTCTGCTGCCACTTTTAGTTCTATCGGAGATTTCCTTTCGTCCATGTGGCCCTTCAGGTCTACAACTAGTGTTGCTTCTGCTACTACTACTACTACTACTACTACTGCTGATGAGCAGCTCCTTGATTTTGAAGATCAGCTGAACATGAAGATGGAGATGCGCGATGTGCATCAGCGCCTTTTCGGTTATGCAAGTATGCAGACGGCACTGCAGGCTTTCTACTCCTTGCGTCAAACGGAAAAATTGAATGGGGACGAGGCGAAGACGAATGGCTTTTCCAGTGTGGTGACATTCGCCACGCAGATATTCGAGGCGAAGACCTTTGTCTCAGCAAGCCTCTCTCTTCAGGACTGCACACATGGGGAATCGGCCACGAATTCTTTCGCAACAGCTGTCGGTGGCGGAGCAACGAGTGACGCTGACGACGCGTGGACAGAGGTAATCTGGCCGACTTATCAATTTTTCTTGTCCAGAGTTTGCGAGATGTTCAGCTACCCGCAAGATGGTAACATAGATTGCCTCAAAACATTGGTGTCGCAGGACGTTCTTCAGAAAACTCAAAAGGATATGAAAGCGGCCTTCGACGCTTTCTTCAACGAAGCGAAGCGTCTAGCCCTAGTGGTAACGGAGCTGCAAGTAATTGCGATTCCCCGAGACGAGCACCTGTGGCTGGATACCGCGTACATTTCCGGCTCGTTTGGCACGCATATCGACGAGAATTCGGCTGCCGACCAAGCGCGGCTCGCCAAAGAAGGCACTTCGCAGAAGCGTCTGGACACTACAACTAGCGAGGGGCTCGTGGAATTGGATACAGTCCTACGAAAGGTCGAGAATAACTATGTAGCCACTGCGAAGAGGCTCGACATCTTCCCGCAGCCGAAGTACTCGGTAGATTCCAGTCCACCGTATCAGTGGAAGCAGTTACGAATTCTTCCGATTAGTGCGTTTCCAGACGGAAGCGACCCGCGCCTAGTACAAGCCGCTGGCAGGAAACTCCACTTCTTGCGGCTGGCGAACTCCGCGGCAGATGTGGAGACGAAACTGGAACTGGCAGACAAAACCTACGAGGAGATCGAGAAGGTGGCGTCGAAGGCCGTACAGGCAATCCGTGATGGCTTGTCGAAAGTGCGTGCTGGAGAATTGGGCCCGACAAAGGTGCCTGACCTGAAACCACAGACAGAACCAGAGGCGACTGAGGTGAAGCCATAATGTAGTCTGTGCACTAATTGGGTTATGCTTCGCCAGTAGTTCCATAGAAGCTCCCATTTTATCCTCGTGACGTTGTGGCATGCGCGCCGGCTATCGCACTAGATTTCCACTTCTTGAGTCTTGGAACCAGACTCGAGACGTGCTCGAGTCGGTATCATCCGCCAGACATCAGCATTTTCGGATGATAAATCCACTTCCACATTTTGATCTTCAGATATTAACCGTTTGTTGACGGTCCATCGAAATCGATAACATTCTTTTAGGTAGTGAGAAACAACCTCACACAAGATTGACTACGCACTATTCGTGACGAATATACTGATTAATATAGTGGAGGCTTCTTATGTTATAGCTATGCTGGAGCGGCTTCTTATGTTGAGACAAAGAGGCGCAGATCCGAGTCTACGTCGAGCTGACTCATTCGCTGACTCATTCGCTGACTCATTCGCTGACTCATTCGCTGACGCAGAGGATGGTAGAGTCCCAGCACTCTTTCTTCTCCAGCAGTTCGGTATTTGTGTTGGTTAAAAGGACATCACAGCGGGCTTTCAATCAGCAGCTCCAGGATATAACAAAAACCTCCAATAGAGATGATAAAAGTCTCGATCTAGGATCTAGGATCCATCCACAGGACCAAAGAGGGGATCACGAAGATCACACGATTGTCATCTAGAAGAACTCGTAGACGTAGATCTAGTCTTGTAGTCCGATTACAGTAATCACTAAGTAGGATATCGATATTTTATAATAAGTACATCATTTTTGCTGAAGTAGTTGACAAATACGTAGTAGTTGACAACGTAGTAGTTGAGGAGCTCTTCATGATGCGAATTCGTTGTCCATAGTCGATGATGCGGATTTGCTGTTCGTTCTAATGATCATGTATCAGCTTAAAACTTGTCTTTTCATTTTGTATTTCTCCGATGGTAGTACGAGAGAGTTCTTGTAGCATCAAGACAGCACGTGCACAATGGTTGGCGTCGTGATCGTCTCTAGAGAGTCTCCTGCTGCATTCGCTGGCTGCTCAATCTCTTGTAGTAGAGATATGCATATGTTGTGTCGCCGGTGAGTCAGCTGTCGTGGCGTGACCAGACCTTCCCACCTGCAAAACCGGTACCCCGACCAGAACTTTGCAAAGTTGGTGCTTTGGCCAGAGCTGTACTCGAATATGAAGGGCCGAAGCAATAGGCTGCAGCTCCATCTGCTCGGCAGAGAGCAATCTCTCTTGCTCGTGGGCAATAGTGCCGCGTCGAGCAGCTCAGCATGTGGTACTATATCTTGTTCAGCGGCGGAACAAAGCAGGAATATCATGGCGACACCTTGTTGTTCACCAGAGAACGGGCAAGGAAAATGGATGACGGCGTCGAGGTCCCTGTCGTTCGTTGCCACAAACACTGGTCGCGGTCTTCTTTCTCGTTCTCGTCCAGCACTCGTGAACCCATATCATGGGGATAAGCCCGAATGGATGACGGATGTCTCGCATCCTATCACTATGTTAAGACTAAAAGCTGTAATTCATCTCCTTCTGCATGGGGTTTCTTTGTTTTCCCATGGTTCAGTGTCCCAGTTTTGTTCTTCTTGGATTCTGACTGAGACTTCTAATATGAACTCTGTTCTTTGTCCCGGTTGTGTCCTACTTGGATTCTGACTGAGACCACGACCCAGAACTTGGCTTCTGCTTGAGAGAATCTTTGTAAAAAGATGAATTACTGTGGTTGTAAGCGCTAATTATGGTTTCCCCGAAATTTCTCCGCATGTGGCAACCTAAATCCTTACTGCGAGGCAACCTATTCCGACGACCACCGCCCGATCTACTAGATAGTCGTTACGCGAAACGCGCTCTCATGGTGAAAGCGAGTCCTGGACGCTTGCTGAAGCTGTATGAGGTGTATTTAAGGCACATGATTAATACTTCTGCTCTCTAAGGAAAAGAATGGTTCCGGTATTTGGTAAAAACCTGAATTTGATCACAAGGATTCTCTTCTTGTTTTCCCTCATGATCCAAATCAAGCTACTGAATACCAGAACAATACGAAGGAGAAGATTGGGACTGAGATTTTTGCACAAGAACTATATTATAGAGAAAGCGCAAGTGGTTAATGATCATTCTCCTATTGCTGCTGGGTAGACGTAGAAGATAGGGTCTCAAGAAGAGAAGCACCTACCACAGGACCGGGAGAAGTTCGTTTCATAGTACTTAGTTCATTCTGCAATCCTCGTCCTCTTCCTTGATCCTGCTTTAATCCCCGACCGCAAAAGTGACTGTGTGGACAGTCGTTTTTTGGTCAGAGTCTTCTGCGTCCTGGGCCAAAGTGTCGCGCATCCCAATGCATTTTTCGCAACGGCCGACCGACAACGTATTTTAAGATCTCACTTTATCCATCTTCTAGCCCATCTGTAAACTGTTTTCAAATAGAAAAATTATGGACGCAAACGAAGTCAAGAATGTCCAAGATGGATTGTAATTGGTTCTAAGTATCGTTGCACACGCGCATTTCAAGCGACTGTGTGCTGACATTGCTAGTCGCAAACACGAGATCCGAGCAAAGGAAGTGCCGCAGCTTTTGTTCTCCATGGCAATTTTAGAATACCGGTTTTGGCAGATTGGCGAAATGCTTCTGTTGTCGGTGGAGAACAACTTGGAAAAGTATCGGTTTGAGACGCTGGCTACGGTGATTTATTCGCTGGCGTCGTTGAATGTGGGAACCTATGGAGGAGGAGGACGAGAAAATGAAAGGAACGTGAATGTTATAATTAAGGCTCAACTTTCAATGGTCACTGGGGTTGGTCACTGAGATCGAAGAGGCGACCCCTTGAGGAAAGATGGGGGAAAACGAAGGGAAAGGGGAGAGCTTTGAAGGGGGTCGCTTCCGTTCAGAGTCAGTGACCAATGAATTCTGCGCTTTAATATAAAAGAATCTACTTCGCAGTCGTGGTTTGGTCCAGAGGAGATGGCGCCAGAAACGGGAGAGAGTCCTGGCATGGGAAAAGCTACGGCCAAGAATTTTGCCGGATTATTTGAGCGCTGTGTAGCGGAGATCGCCAAATTCTTGCCACAGGATGAGTTTGGTCGGTTACCTTCTGCTTCAGAAGCAACATTCAAAAGTGGAATGCGTACTGGACAGGATGTTGACGCGAGTTCTTTCGTTATGACGTTCAAAGTGTAGTAGTGCTCATAGTAATTTTTATGCTCAGAAAACAAGTAGCTAGTTGTTTGTTCCCACGTATTCTCATACCACCGAAATCGGTTTTCGAAATTAGAATTGTTCCTTGAGAAGTATGACTACACTTTCATCTCCCTATCCTTTCATATTCCTGTCGGAAGAAGAAGCGCAATTTTGGGGACAAGTGATGTGGTCTTGCGTAATGGTGCAACACTGGGATCGGAATCTACCTCTCTTCATGCAGGCAGCTTGTGCAGGCGTACGAGATCGAGAGCATCTGGATGCATGCGGATGGCTCGGATACTACATCTATTATGCGTCCGAATCAGAGTTTTTCTTCTTCCTTGCTTTCGGTTTTCAAGGCAGTTCTTTCCGTTAATTGAGGCTAGAAGAAATCCATCTTCACAGGCATCCTGAGACCGTTTTCAAGGGGAGAAAGGTCCTCGGATGCGTCTCAAGTAGGATTTCTCTTAGATCTAACTTATACAAGTTTTTCTTCTTCCTTGCTTTCGGTTTTCAAGGCAAGAACAGAAAAGTGCAGCAAGTGGAGTATAGTTGTCATAGTAGAAGAAATTTGAGTTTATTAAGTATACAACTTTTGGAAGTCTGCTCCACATGATGATCTTCTAGGAACTGTCTCAAATAACACAATAAAGTGTGTATTATCATTAAGGCTCTTCATAAAAATCTTCATCTAACTTGCTCAAACTCTGTATTGTTGCGACGTGCTCCAGCCGAGACAGCCTAGCAGAAGCGTGAAAGAGGTGCTGAGCTATCAGCTTCGAGCCTTCCCTGGTGCAGTGGAGGAAACGCCTGAGATGACCGAGAGGAGAAACGCCGGTCGACGTCGAAGGAAGTGGGGTAGACGTACCAAGCGATCCGCGGCAGCCTCTAGTGAGTGTGCCAGTAGTGGTGCGACGACACTAGAGTTAAGAGTAGGTTAAAGGTGCTTTTCTTACCGCTTTTTATGCCTCTCTCCCTTAGGAGGAGAAAGGCAAAAGATGAAGTGGGGTAAGCGAGCACCAAAAACCTACCTCTAATAAAGGCTGAAGATGAGATTTTTGGCGATCATCAGAGTGGAGTGGATAGGGAGGCACGAGGACCTTCATCATCGATGAGTGAAGATGGAGTGGCTAATGCAGAAGTGGTTAATGCAGAAGGTGCGTCTTCGAAGCTGGCTCTTGATGGAGCAAACGTCGATGACCAAAATGATGAAGCAAAGAGCTCAAAAACGTCAACTAGAAGTCCTTCAGAGATGAACAAATCTTCTGGAGCCTCTTCTTTTTCTGCAAGGGTCGATGTCGACGATGCTGGAGGTTCATCTGATAACAATTCTTCATCAAGCGTCAACCTCGACGAGGCTGCTTCCGCTGAAGATCCGGAGGATGAGGAGGATCTCCAACGCAACATCGAAATCGAGACGAAGCGAATGTGTCCGATGTGGATGCAAGAGCGGCTACACGAATTTTGGCTTGACGGGACCCTTCTGAAGGCTCAGCCACAAGGAAGCGACGAACTCCAATTAGACGTCGAGCGAGCGCTGAATCGGACACGGACTCAGTTACGATGCTACTTACTTCATATAACTGAGTCCGGACGGACTCAGTTACGATGCTCCTCAGCTTTCGCTTTTACTCATATAACAGAGTAGTTTATAGCACCCATGGTGCATGGAGTGCATGGAGCGCAGAGCTTTAAGGGGCGCAAGAAGCTCCCCCTTTAGCTCCATGCTACTCCATGTGATCCATGCACTCCATGCCATGCGAGCTATAAAACCTTACGAATTACTCTGATATAATACATGCTTAGAAGAAGAGAACGGAACATCAAAGGTGAACAACAAGGGAGTTGTACTTACATCATTATACAAGGATGAACTTTCGGTACTACTATCAACTCTAACTGAAGCGTCGATCAATACCAGAGTTGTACTTACATCATACAAGGAAACATTAGAATTCTCTATAAGTCTCTCAATGGTTTTGGACTCGTACTTACGTTCCAAGTAGAAGTCCAAATTAATAGGATCAATTACACAATTATATATCGCTGACATCAACTCTAACTGAAGCGTCGATCAATACCAGTGTGGGACGGCAAACAGACGATCAGCACTGCTTTTTTGCGGGACACTTGCTAAAACCAAACATTGCCATCGAATATAACGCTTCTTTTATGACAAACAGTTGCAATACCGCTATACTAAGTGCTCCTTCATCCTCCCTCATCCTCCCTCATCCTCCCTCATCCTCCCTCATCCTCCCTCATCCTCCCTCATCCTCCCTCATCCTCCCTCATCCTCCCTCATCCTCCCTCATCCTCCCTCATCCTCCCTCATCCTCCCTCATCCTCCCTCATCCTCCCTCATCCTCCCTTCCCTCCTTCATCCTCCCTCCCCTCGGCCCGAACCGTCCGCATCCGACAGGCTTTCTGCATTTGAAACAACAGATGTTTGCGAAGTTCGGAGTGCGGACAGCGACGATCCATCGCATTTTCTGGGAGAGACTGTCCGACGATGAAAAGGACGAACAAATCCTGAGACTGAGAGCGCAGATGGGTTACGTACACGTCCGCAAGATGGACGGTCGGGAAATCGTGCAGGCGCCGGAAGTTATGGTCAAAAAATCAGTGATTCTAAATCACATGATAAAAAACAGATTTAATTTAAATCACACGATAGATACCTCTTGTTCTTGACACACCGTAAGGAGCCACAATTCTGCAACAGCCCACAGGGCTGTACTAGTACATCCCCCAGAAGTGGATCATCCTTTTCGTACGATACCTCTTGTTCAGGCACATCGGGATGAATGAAGCGATCAACTTGAGGACTTAGTGTCTCGGTGTAGATTCTAGCGTCGTTGACTCTTTGTCTTACTTTAAGCTGATTCAACTTTAAGCTGATTCAACAAGATTCAAAAGTTTAAAGTTTTTTGGCGTACGTTCTCAGGTAAATTGATGATGATACTAGCTCCTATTAGCTCTAAACCATGTAAAAACAGCACAACATCGCAGGAGCATGGTTTGTTGCTGCCTGGCGCTCCAGAGAACGATCCGAATCGACCAGGAGCCATCAAGAAAACGGATGGGCGTGCTAGATTCACCCAAGATAAGCCTACGAGGAAAGGCTACAGACCCAAAGAGAGGAAGAAACTGAAGTGAGGAAATCGATGAGGTGCCGAAAGAACATTGTAGTGTTGGTCTTCGTTGTTCTTTTAGAACAAGATTTGCTTCTCGCAAGAACCTTGGATAACATCACTTCCGAAAAAATTGAACTTGTTTGAATAATTGAATCTTCACATTGAGAAGCATTCACCAAGCACAGGTGAGGGTGACAATAAAAATATAAGCCATTCTTCCTCTACTGACGTAACTTCAACTTGAATGGACGACACACATAATGATCATGGTACCTGCCACCGCATACAGTTTATCCTTATTTTTGGTCGATTTGTTCTTCTTCTTGGCCTGGAAAAACCTCTACTTTTACGTCTCAGCAGCCAGCTGAAGAAGCGTCTGTAGATGCGAAAGGCAATAACTGCGTTGTTGAGATCCATAAAAACTGCGCACTTACTTACTTGATTCTAAGTGCGAAGCAATACGAATCCTGTGTATTGCCGTGTGACTGATCCCTCCGCGGGGTGTGTCAAGTCATACCGTTCGTAAAGCGGCGATCTCTCTAGCCCCTAGTCTGTACTCCTGGTGAAGATCGACGCGTGCATCTGCATGGAAATGGATGTGACTGATCTAGATTGACGATCATTTAAGATAAAAAGTGATCAACTTCTACCTTCTTGGTGTACTGGATACAGAGGACGTTACCATTAGAGATCTCCGGTTTTCTGCAGAATCAAGATCATTTCACAGAGGCGAGAGTGAAGAACATTCATGAGATTGAACGACCTGGCGTGGTGAACGATATCAAACATGTAGTAGTAGTAGTAGTGTTTTGCTGTAGAAATTCGTAGTATCTTCGGTGTACTACGGTGAAATTGAAAGGAAAAGTGAAATAAATTACCAGAATAGAAATTGAAATTCATTGTAACGGACTTTGTTGGGGAACCAGAACCAGCACCAAGAAGGGCAAGAAGATGTCGGAAATTCTCAGAGCAGAGGACTTTGAGAAGTACGCCATTCGTAATGAGTACCGCGGGACGGCGTGGAAGGACGCGAAGCCTATTGGGCAAGGCAGGTACAAGATGGTCAGGGAAGGGAGATACATGAGGCGTAGGGAAGTGACTGTAGGAGTGGGAACAGTAGAAAGATTGGAGGAAGTTCCGGGAAGCCCAAAGTGCGTGCTTAAATGCCTGAAAAGTGGCGCAGAGTTCGATGGAAACTGCTTCGAGAATGACGTGACGTGCGCTGAAGCTGCGCTGCCGTATCTGGCAGGATTCAATAGATATTTGAAAAAGGCAAAGGAGCTGCCTCCGCACGTCGCAGATTCGATCTCCATAAACTATGCGCCGAGAGGGGGGGCCGCGTAGATTTTCTATTTTCTTTTTCATGAGTAGTACCTCATTTTGGCTTTATGCAGATGCTGTACTTCGCGAACTAGAGAAGTCTCCTCATAACACATACCTAATTACTTCATCGCACTAGTATAAGTGGTATCATTGATATTGTCAGCTTCTAACATTAATATAACTCGTAAGTTGAATGATAATGAAAGTATTCTTGTTCCACCTCTAAAATTTGATCAACATGCCGCAAGTGCGGACAGAAACAGGGAGCACATTTAGCAAAGCGGACAAACATGTTGGGCAGAAATATCTGGTCGAGCCCTACATAGCGAATTTTCGAAAGTTCAATTCGAACACTGGCGCTGTCACTCAACATGAAGCACTTCCGCAGGGTTTAAGTCATTGGATTATGAAGGCAATCTCAAAAAAGATATATAGCGGTAGCTTCATACTGCCTAGTGATCTGATGTATTTTTTACTTGTTCTTGCGACGACGAGACATTATAATTTGTAATAAATATTTACTAACCATACGAATACGTATGATGTTGATGTGCTGTCTGTGAGAGAAATATGTGGATGTCTAATGAGGTAAAGGCAACTCTATCATCTACTATGTATGTGTGAAGATTGCTAATGTTCGCTATCACGCATCGAATGGGCAAGAGCTTCTCTGCGATCTTCAGGGAGGATCTGTCGGCGGCAGTGGGGAGAGCCTTGTTTTGTCTGATGTGGTGATCATGAGCACGAAGCAAGAATACGGAGCAACCGATCTTGGCGAAGAAGGAATCGAAAATTGGATGGCTCACCATATCTGTGGCGACTTCTGTGACAATTCCTGGCTCATGCCTGAAGGCCTCGAAAAACGGTACCGACCGACTTTGTTATGGGTTACAAGAAAGTTACAATTACTTACGTCATCTACGATCGCAACCATATCCATGATTTTTCTTGAGAGTGTTTGCCTATTTTTCAAGTAAGTAGAAAATTATAGGCCAACAAGGATGCTCTTCCAGAAGACTGTGATTTTTTTTCCAGACCGACCTCTAACTTTGTGTACTACAGTCTGCCGTGATCTTCGCCCTCAGGCGGGTCTTTCGTCCTCAGGCGGCACTAGAGAGCGAACGAGCAAATTCGGCCCATACAGTTGTAGCAATTCGTCCGTTCGATTGGTGAGCAATTCGCATGTCACAGCAAGCACGATCCGCAAAAAGCCTTCAGATGTATGGTTCACACAGGACAGCATCAAGGAAGATTTCTCCGACGGTGAACATACCCTACACGGAACGGCACTTCTGCTCGCAGAACAGAAAATATCGCCTTCGGATATTGATTATGGCGATTCTCAAATTCAGCTAAGAAGTACCTTGATCATGACGAGCTGATTGATCATCGATACGAAAAATGCCATCTTCATGATGCAAACAAGACTTGTGCGTGGTCTCCTTCACCAGCTTCCTAGTTTAACTTAAAAAGAAGTGAGGATTCTAACCGACAGCGATGAGCGTAGTTGAGTATGAAGGTAAAATATGGGCAGTGGATAATCGCAGACTCGCATGTTTTCGCTTGCTGGAGATGGTGGGGAAAGTTGGAAAAGTCCCCATGACATTGGTGCCTTTGAGGTGGAAAGGGATGCAAAAGCAATTCACCGACAAGCTCACCACGAGGACCGGTGGCAAGTACGTCATGATTCGCCCAACAAGTACGTCACCGGTGTCCCCTGCTGAAGGTGCTTCCTTGGTAGTAACCGCCGAGGACTCAACATCTTCCATGACCGGCAGAAGTGACTTACTATCTTCATGCGGAAATGACACGACATCGACGACAACCATGGGGCTCGGAGCAGCCTCTATCTCCACAGCATACAAGAATCCGCATTGGCGAGGCGAACAAGATGCTCAGCGCAAGAAGAATCTCGATATTGGTCTTGAAAGCGACGCAGGAAACGACCCGAAAAGCACTTATGAAGAAACACCAAGGAAGTTGAATGTGCTGTAATCTAGTCGTAATTGTAGGTACTTACAACATAAACATGATGAATGAAGACCAGCTCCTGATGCTGATGTCCTCGCTTGTCGACGCGACTTGTTTGTAGTAGAAAGATGTCTTCGAATAATTCTATCTATCATATCAAATTATTCACCAACTTCCTCCCCTAGGAGTAGGAGATCTAGTAGCTTCTATCTAGGACAGTCCTAATCATAATCTGATAAATAGAAGAATTCTTCCAACAATTACCTCTTGCCAGGCACGTCAATCAATCAATCAAATAATAATCTGAAATTCTAAGAAGCGTCAATAATCGCTCGTCTCATACTTTTCTCCTTTTTTCATAACAACTTAGGCCCGGATGCTTGGTACATTGGAGGAAATGAGAAGACAACCAATTACCCATGGCTGGAGCAGATCCGAAACACCTACCCGAATAAGATCCCCAACAAGGCGGCGCTGCGATTGTTTCTGATAGAGATCGAAGACACGGACGACGAGGAAGGGCATTAATGCAGCTAGGCCTACTTACCTGCTCTACCTTAGGTAGACTACCTAGTAGTGGAAGGATACCTATTTTTCCTGTGTAAAAATAGAATCAAAAATCGTTATCGCAACATATGAAAGCAGAAGATGAATTTTTGGCAGCCTGAATTTTGAGTTCTTCTAGTACATTTAATGCATGATAGCGCCACTCATTCCCCGAAGCAATACACAAGATCGATTTTTAGCGAATTACAGCACTGATAATTATATAATGATTTGGGCTTTAAAGCTTCTGGTAGTAGTGGCGAAAGTCAAGATTAGTTTTAGCACGCATGGATGATTGTAGATGAAAATGAAAAATTATCCACGTTCGAACAGGATGATTGCCGTGGTCGATGTTGTTATCGGCATGTGCTGTATCCGATAGTATGTTGATTCTCGACACGTCGTTCGTCGTTGTAGATCACGAATTCTGAATCGTTATTCCTTGTTGTTCAACTCCCCAATTATGTTTATGATACGAAATTTCCATAATGCGGAGTTTCCAAACATCGCCTATTTTGATTCTACAAGAAAATGAAGACTGACTTGCTGGAGCAACAAGAACTATACACTTTCTTACATATAATCTAACCCTGTACTTACCTTCTTACACTACAACTATACATTTCTTGCAAGTATGCTTACATATCGACGAACTCTGTCTAATATGGTCGCATAATTCCATCTGTACCAGCTGCGGCTCACTTATTCCCATGAAGCTGAACTCATTCCATTCATTTCGCATCCGAGAAAGACACTCAGTGATCGTTCTCTTTCATCCTGTCTCATTCCTTATCATGTATGCGTATACTCTAGTACGTCGTATACAACTCTACGTTCGTCTTAGTCATCAAGATCAAGAAGGGCAGTTGCGAACAGACATCACGACTACCGTGACAGAGCGGAATGAGACAGATGATGACATCTAAAAAGTGACACAGCTCCGTTAGAAAAGAGAGGAAAATAGAAAAAAGGTAGACGTTGGCATGACCACATAACTTTGACCAAGTAAGGCCCACACTGTGGAGTCAACAACGCAGATCCTTTGCGAGTACTGAATGAACGAATGAATGAACAATGAAGTAAATTCTAGTTGTATACTTTGGTCTTCCGGACCAGTAATAAGAATCAAAATATCTTGTTAGTTTCCACTTCTGTGGTCACTCAATTCTTTTGTGGCGTCTTTTATAGCACCTTTCGCTTCTGTCGTGCTCAACACCTCTCACGTTGACAGCTGTGATTTTTTCGATAGAGATAGTCATGACCATGTTGATGTCCTCGTGGTCGGCTTGGACCCCCAGCATAATGGTTTTTAGGGTCAGCATTCTGCTGCTCCCCTTCGCTTTCGTGGCCGCAGGCGCACCAGGACTTAGCCACGACCGTGGAAACGCTCCCCTTGTTCCTCTTGTTCTGCGTCCTCAGCTTTCATCTGCACGCGAGGACGTAGTAGGTGAAATTATATTACCTGATGATTTAGATTTGGACGACTGGAAAAGACGTCATGCTCTTCTCCATGCTTCTCGTTGGCTGACTCCTGATGCACAAGAAGCAGCGAAGAGTACGATGCGTAAAGAAGTGGCAGGCACGACCAGAAGTTTCAATGGCATGGTGATTACATCTACGTCCGAACTTCCCGAGTCGCTCCGTGAAGCAATCCTGAAAGCGGCGAACAAGAGACAGAACAAAACCAGCACTTCTGAGGATACGACCGTTGTAAAAGTAGACAATCTCTTCAATCTTGCTTCTACAACCTCAACGCCCATGATCACTTCATCAGCGCCTGTACCTGTGACTTCAACGCCTATCGCTACCTCAGAAGACGATGAGGTTTTTAGGGAAATGAACAGCGGTTGCTGGAAATTAGCTGAGTCCTCGGAACGAACAATGTCAATAGAAGGAGTTGTGCCTCCCAATGGTCTCCATCATCAACCTGAACAAGTGTCAGCTTCCGACAACGACGATTCTTCCTTCGAAATTTGTTCTACCCAAAACAGTTTTTCTACGAAGCTGTCCACTGTTGACGCGGTTGACCCAGAGGAAGTTGATGGTCGTGGAGGACATGAAGATCCCATCGCTGATGCCTCAACAGACGAGTTGGAAGCTCTTAGTCTTACCAGTGTACAAAAAGAAAAGCAAGAAGAAGTTGAAGAAGATTTTGAACCACATGAAAGTTCGTCTGTCGTGGATGCGGAACAAACCGCAGTTTCCAGTGAAGAACTCGATGAAGAATCAGCTCCACCACAAGACGCTACTAGTAAACAAGGAGCTTTACTATCTGTGACGATGGAATCTGAACCTGAAGATCAAGATGAAGATTATGAAGTTGAAGCATCAAGGAGAACGTCTAGTTCGTCTCAGCTCGTCCTTTTTCCCCGTACAGGGACGAGTCCAACTACCGGAAATCATGTGGACTCTGCGTCTGCACAAGACCAGAAGGCTGGTTCTACACATCTTCGGACTAAAACTGGCGAGCGCAGCACATCTTCTGCTCGACCCCGTCGGTCTCCGTTTCTGGCGTTTGCTAGCAAGGAGACGAGGGATTCATCAGCGATATCATCATGCAGTGAAGCACATCCATATCCATTACAGCATGTACTTTTTCGCTCACGTTCTTCTACATGCAGCACAGAATATTTCAATCAGTTGGAAGAAGAGGCTGCTGCAACTGATTTCAACGAAGACGATGGGAGAATAAATGAGGACACAGCATTAGCGGAGCTGTATGAAGGGAACTTTGACTTCGCGCCGTTCTATCCCGAACAAGATGATACTTCTCATAGGCACAGGAGGACGAGTTCCAGTTTATTTCTAAAGTGAAGGTAAGATGTAAGTACGATGTAAGTATCGTCTGGACGAGAACCGTCTGTAAAAATTCTGAAAAATTTCATATTTCTTGACTAAGTAATATCACTATGTATAAATATCTTAATCTGTTGTGATGTTTCGGCCACATACGTGAAGATCGCTTTGATGCAAAGAGTTTTTGCAAAATGTACTTGTGTAAGCGGAATCAGATTCTGAAAAATAGCCTGTGAAAAATTTCAAAAATGGAGCTCTTATGTAGTAGGAATGATGTCTGTAAAATTATACTTTTATTCCGCGGCTATCTCTAAACGACCTAACACTTTTTTATCCGTCGAATCCATCCCTATTCTTCATCTTGAGAACACAATCAAGCCTAAACTCAGCGGTTTTTTTTTGAAATTTCACACTTGCGGATGTTGTCAACAAAGCTAATGTGGTGGAAAGCAAGAAAGAAGGGATTATGTGCGTGCGGATATGGTCAAAGGGTAACATGATGAAATTGAAGCTCAACATAGTGATGTGGAGCGCAAAACCAAAAATGGAAGAGAGAACTCAACACGGCTTTGAGAGAGATTTACTGGGAGATATCTTCACAGTACTGTTGCTTGAACAAAATGCTGTTGCAAAACAGCGCTCCTGAAGGAGATCAAAAAGTGGACAATAAAATTTCGTGGGTTTTGTAGTAGTGACTACGTCGCTATCGTGGTTATGTCTTAGTTTGTATGTCTATTTCATTTATTCGTATATCATGCTAGCGTATTATTACAGGTTTTAATTATAGATGGAAACAAGGTCTTCTAGGAGCTGCACTAGACCCTCGAGGGTCACAGATCTGTCCATACTCCTAGGATGGAGGGAGCCGGAGTGATCACGACACGCGCTCTTTTCGCAGAATAGTAGTAGCGTGACGCGGACGTAGGCGTTGTCTGCCCTCTGCGTTATAGGGCTGCTCCTCTTTAGAAGAACTCCGCAAACGACTACCGTCTCTGTCTCCTCGAATCACCTGCAACTGCCTTTCGTTATACCATAGCGAGCGTAATTTCTTAGTAAAAAGCACAACGGACAGGGAAACGGATACAAGGGAGGAGCCCTCGCTTTACGTACAAGCTGCAACCACGGAGCTCTCACTTGAGAAACTGCTGCTGCAACGATGTCAGACGCACCAGTTGCCGTCGATCTGCATGGATTCCAGTGTCCGCCTCCATTAAGGGTTTCCGAATTGCATTCCTCACTACCATTCCTGACTCTTTTCCTAGTAGAAATGAGGCCAGGGATTATGTTCTAAAGAGTGTAGAAATTCCGTAACCTCTAACTCCAGGCACCGTAGAGACTCCAGATGAAGAGGGAGAGTTGCATGGTCCACCTCCAGGTACCGCAGAGACTCCAGATGAAGACGCGGGAGATCAAAAAGAACAAACTCCTGCTCAGGAAGGGGAGCAAACTACATCTCCAGCTCGTGCTGCTTCCAACGTGAAAACAACCGGCGCTGGCAGTACTAGTAAAGATGGCAGTAAAGAACAACATCATGTGCAGGAAGGAGGGCAAACTATCGCCAGCGTGAAAAGAACCGGCAGTACTAGTAAAGACGGAAGCAGCAAAGAAGTGGCTTCTTCCGGGGGAGGGCAGGATGCGCTTGCCCTGTTACGTCAGCTCGGAGGCGACGATGTGCTAGAGCAAAACAGTGGACCACTTGCCGGCACTGCAGCAAATGTCTCTGCCGGTTCACGTGCTAGCTCTGCAGCTCAAACGATGTCGGATATGTCTCCGACGAAAATCGACATTGAGATACAGACTGCTCTGGGACTCTCCTCTGCAGGCGCATCGAGTACTCTCTCGCAACTGAATGAGCACCAGCTTTCAGCAGCATCGCCTTTTCCTGGTCAAATCCCGGACGAAGAATCCAACATTCCAGCTTTACCACCAGCATCCTCGTATCCCAAACATCAGCGGTCCCTTGCACCCTCTACGAGGACAGGGAACTCAGAGGACATGGACGCCTTAGATCAGATATGGCTTGCAGCTGGCCTGGCTGGTTTCTAGTAGAAGGAGGCACCAAAGAACCATCTTCAGGCTAAGATGAAAACGAAAGATGAAGTCGCGCATGATCTTACTTACATAGAAGCACTTAGGGTCAGTCTAGTACCTTTACGCCTCCTGACTTGTAGATCGCCCTTCCCTCGTCCTGTCTTTCATCCCTCTAAGAAATCCAGTAGTTGTCGAAAGCAGCAGTGCGAGTTCGATCACCTGGTGCAACTCTAATGGCGATGCAGTACTGCGGTCATCCCTAAATGCCCGTTCGTCGTCAAGCCGCCGACATAGGTCGCAACGTTTACTAAACACCGACAACATGTTAAGGGTTGAAACATTTCATTTTTACAAGCCTTCTCCACTTGAGATTGCTACTAAAAAATGAAATGTTTCAACCTTTAAACATGCAAGAGGTGCTGAAGGCGCCACGGCGGATGACGCACAGAAGCAACATGCGGCACCTCACTAGGGTCGCTGCGGGTCACGCTGGGGATGTCGTGAAAGAGGTCTTTGGCGAGAAAACTAGTGTTATGGGTGTAGGGAATTCATCATCTCCAAATGAGTCATCTGGAAGAGAACATCATCTCCAAATGAGTCATCTGAGATAGAGCAAAAGACAAGAGGAAAAAGGGACCCAGAGGATCCCTGAGATGAATTCCCGATACCTCTAATAGTGGCTTCATCCTAAAAAAGAAGGATCCAATTGAAGCCGCGAACTACGAAAAATTGTTTTCGGTAAGATTTTTGTACCAGTTTTTTATCTTTGATGATTTATTTCATCTTCTAGTTCTAGAAGATTATAGTTGGTTCGAGGATTTTTACTAAGAGCAAGAGGTCGTCGTGTAGTACATCTACTTCTACTAGTACTTCTAAGAACTAGGTTGTGATATATTAGTCTTAGTGTTTCCATTTTTCATCACGACAAGCGATAGCGATTCAGAGAGTGCTGTTCAAGAGTTCTGCAATCATTTTTCACCGACAGGACAGCGCAGATCCATTGCAGAACTGGACACCACTCTATGGCGGCCAGACGAAAGATCCTGAGGGGAACGAGTACCTTAGACTCGAGAATCTCACGAGTCAAGACTACGAAGCTGCGTACTATCATCCTCGGATTTATCAGTTTTTCGGATGTTTGCCTTTTTTTTTAATTTCTTCCTCGGTTTTTAAGATTGAACTGCATTATACTAGTACCATCAACAGACACCCTCTCGGTTTTTAAGATTGAACTGCGTTTCGTTCCATCAACGTCTTAGTTCTTTCATCTACGTTCAACATCCGACGTAGAGGCGAAGCAAGGTGCGTTCGAAAATATTGATTTCACTTCATGTGACACCTCTTCCGTAGAAGTAGTTCTTAGATAGTAGTTTGACATGTGTTACTAAGAAGTATGTAGTTTGACATGTTTTTAGTTGACATATCGTGTTACTAATACTAAGTATGTTTGACATATTCTTCTTAGTACTAGTAGTTTGTATGATTTGATTTCAATGGATTCCTTACAATCTTCCTTCGATCTTCGATCAATCATTCCCTTTCCCTAGAACGAAGATGTTCCTCTTAGTACTAGTAGTTTGTATGATTTCAATCATCCTTATTGTTATTCCGAAATCGCAGGTACGTCTTGGACTGCAAAATTGGCGTGAGGACTTTCTTAGAGAGCGAAGCTAGAAACGAGAAATTGAGGGAGGATCTTTTCATGAAGGCGGAGGCTTTAGCGCCTTGGCTTTTAACTGATGAGGAGATCGAGCGAGGGACGATAACGAAATTCAGGCACGATCTTCTACACGAAACTCATTCGTGATCTTCTACGTAGTTTTTCATCGTTCAGCCTAAGTAAAGATATTTTTAAACTGCACTACCTCTATTGCGAGTTCCAATTTTCTTGTGAAGTTTTTTTGGATCAGGAGCATTATCGTTATGGATTTTCATTTTGATTCATCTTCAACACTTTATCTTCAAGACTTCTTCATCTTCATCTCATCTTTTCCTTAGGTGGATGACCATTCACGATTCGCAGACTACGACCATCAAAGAAGGGTGGCGAATCGATGGTTGCGCTGGTAGTGGAACCAGCATTACAAAGAGCGAACTGCAGAGAAATAAGACGCGGGAAGACGCAATCAAATTTCTGATTAAGGCTTGTTGTAGTTCCCCTATTTTTTTTTATCCCTCTCCAGGAAACGAAAGCTCAAAAGAACCGAGTTACTGGATGAAATAAGGGTCGTGAGCTCTAATCTAAGCACAGTCTATATGGATCTAGTTGCCCCGTCGACCGGTAATGACGCAACTACGCCTGAACAAGGCGGGACAAAAGGACAACTGTCTTCATCTAGTGATGGACAACAACTACATCAAGCTTCTTCAGCTGCTTCCCAACAAGATCCTCCTACAACGACAACGCTGCTTGAATCCGAAGGCCGTCCGCCCAATATGCGTGTGCTATCATCACCATCTTCACCTTCAGCCTCAGACGCTGATCCGAGTAGCAAGGGTTCTCCTCACAGTATGGGTGTGAGAAATGACGATCAACATAGAAGAACTGGACATATTTTTAACGGCAACGGTAGTACTGAAGGGGACTGGGATAAGAAGAAGATTAAAGAGGAGGATGAAACAGAGGATAGAAGCGGAGTTCCCTCTGGTGGCGAAGCAACTGGTGCACCTACAGGACAGGGAACAGAAGCAGAACTCGGAGAACCTGCACAAGATATTACGAACACGAACGAGAAGAAAGACAAAGAGAAAGTACCAAAGGAAAATCCAAATAGTAAAGTGGTAGAAAACGTCAGTGTCCGAGGACTTCCTGCAGATGGGACACGGCATGACCTGAGCGTTCCAGAGGGACATGGAGCGTCGACATTTATGTTGAAGATGAACGGTTTCGGTTTGTAAGCATTTTCGATTTGGTTTGAAAAATAGCGATTGATGATGAATAAGTAGTGCCGCACTTGTCTACAGATAGATTTTACTAAGGTATTGCTTGTTGCGTCAGTTGTCTCGACGTATCTTCTGTTTTGATGTTGCTCGCACTCCATCATGTGAAGTTCCAAGATCTACAACCTAGTCATCTGGTCTTCTCAACTACACCCTGGCTTCGTTCATAGTTTCAGTCGGAGTCGGGGGATCTTCGCTGATGAAGGATGTAGTTTATGCTGTGAGGACAAGTATTGCGAGCCGGTTATTGCAGCGAAAGCGCGTGGGGAGTGAAACTGACCAAAAGAACGACGATGGTGCTCACGGTCGGGACATCTTCGCTGGAGGCAACGCGAACATCGTACCAGGTATGCCTTCGAATGCGAGCGCTCCTGCTGGGCCCTGTCTCAAGAATATGTTAAGGGAGGTTCCCACATTGCATTCTGCTTCTGCACTTGCACGAACTACATGGTTGACTTTTATTTCTAAGAAGAATATGAATATCATATGGAATCTTCAGGGAACAAGATGTTGTAGTCCTGCACGATGCACATATGTGGAAATCTCAAAATAAGCACGTCTTAAAAGGGAATACGAATGTGCAACGGGGGAATACGAATGTGCAACAGGAGTTCGAAACCGAGGATATTTTCGATCACCTTCTTGCGGAGCTCGAGCAACTGAATAGTTCCACAGGACGCATTGATGAAAATTATGGGTACCGTCAACGTCAACCCATCCTTTACGACATCTTTCAGCCGGTTCCTTCTTGAAATGAACTGAAAGATGTTTATTTACAAGATGGGCTGTTGGTACCTCTAATAAAAATGTCACCAAGTGCGCTTGCGGATTTGCGATAGCTTTGTCAACGAACTAGAGAGCTTGCGAGCCGATATGCTTGTTTTATGAAGACCGGGGAGAAGTGCGACTCTCACTCTAAAAGTCAGTTGTACTGGTAAGTCGTGGAATCCACGGTCACCATAATCTTTACATGTTTTTGCTAAAAGGATATAATCATGAGGAGTATACTAACTTGATCTTGATGAGGATACCGTTTTCTCTTTTCTATCTTCCTCTGGTCTTTCTTTTTTCTAGTTAGGTCCGCTCCACCACAGCTCAAAGGATATATTAATCCTGACATTTTTATTTTTTACTCTCAACTCTCACTATCTATGTAATCACTACATTTTTCTTCTACTCGCTCCACCTCTAACGGCTTCTTCGTTCTTCCGAACGCATGAGTTTATTGGTTGTTCCTTGCTACTGATCGCCGACAGGAACGGGAAGTGCGGCGTTTCGCTTATCGACCTAGCGAAAACGAACCTAACGGCTGCACCCCTGGACCATAGAAGTCCATGGGAGCTCGGCAATCACGAAGATGGCCTCTTACTCGGCGTTGAGAACATGATTCGAGCGTGGACTGCGGTGCGTCGCTTGTTGACGTTGTCGCGCAGCAAAAGCAACGCTGCGCAGTTACAGCTGCTAGTCGGAGGAGGAGTGCCTTCGTTAAGGCTTTTTACTCATATTATATATTCATTTTTTTCAAGAAGCGTCGTTTCTTGAATTCTAAGGCCAATGAGATTTCACTTCAAATGACTCCTCTCCCGTAGGAGTTCTTAGAAATTTGACATGAGATGCTAATCGCCTGTGCTTCATTACATTCATCTGATCCCCTGCTCCCGCCTCTTTGGTTGATCCCTTGATGACAGTACTATGATGGGATGCGAAGGTAATCTACCCCTAGTTATAAATGTTGTCTAGTTGATGTTCGTACTTTTGCACTGTTCTCTCCGCTTCAAAGCTTATCATATTTATCTTTAGAGATAGAGAGAGGCATCTTTGACGTAGTTCGGAGGGAAAAAGAACCGTTAAAGATGCGCTCCGCCTCCACTATGAATCAATATTGGTACGGTCTAACTTCAGCAGGACATAAGGGCAGCGGTGCCAAGTCTGGAGGCGTTGTCGGTCACGCAGCAGCATCATCTTCGACGACAGTGTTGACAGGAACTCCAAGAAGTTCAGCAGTTGCTGAGAGCATCATTAAGGGTAGTAGTTTAAAGGTGCTTTTGTTACCGTTTGTAGTTATGGCTCTCCTAAGGGGGACATCAGCCATAACAAGCGAGGGATAAACGAACAGGAAGAAGCTACCTCTAACATCAAATCAATACTCTTCGCGTCGAGTAGTTGTAAGACTACAGCGGAACGGATGAGGATGCCTATGCCAGTAGCACCACAGAACACGACTAACGTCGATCATGGTGCTCCTCATTCATCTTATGGCTCTGGGGAAGGAGGTGATGAAGATGATGGTGAGCGAAGAGAAACAAGACCCTCCCGCAGAAGAACATTTGCCCACTTTAGGGAACGAATGCGGAGCACCGTAGTTAAGGCTAGTCAATCACTATCTGATGTGGACGTTCTTGCTGAGCAGTGGGTTCTTCCACGTCCTTCTTTCAAAGGGATTACTGCCGAGAAGATCTTCTCGTTGCTATTCGACGATAAGATTTTTACCTCGCCACTCACCGAGATCTTCTCGTCGGGGTCGTGGGAGTATGAGTAAGTACTTACTTAGAATAAGGGCAGAAAGCAAGGGCACCTCCCACTCCACTCGTCAGTCACTCACAAGGAAGTAAGTAGATAGTGATCTAGACTGGCTTTAAGTTACTTTTTGGTAGATTTTCTTTGCCGCCTGCAATAACTTGGGCTTCCGATGCGCTATCCCCTTAAGGCTTGATACTGCGAGGACTGGCAACTTATACTGTTGATAATGAACATGAAGTGAATAAAGATCATGACCACGACCGTCCAAAATGCCTTTTGTGAGCTTGATGGGCAAGAACTACACGCGCTTCATCTAATAATGTGTATTTGTGCCAAGTGAGAAGTCAGCGATCCAGCGAATGTTGAGCGCGCAGACAAGACGAGTGGGGAAGAAAAGGACGCCTCCACCTCCAGTTAGGGCTTGACACTGCTTCTACTTTTTGTTTCATCTGTTTCCAATGCCATGCACATCAATCTTAATGAATCAAACGCAACCGCTTCCTTCACTTCTTTTGCTTCCTACCACTTCTTGCAATTCTGAAGTAAAAGAAACGAAGGTGCTAAGGGAATGTAATTTGAGCTCTAAACCGCAATCCGAAGAGGATGCAAATGTAGATAAGACCCTGGACGAGCAAGAAGCACAAGATGCGACTTGTTGTGGAATGTGTAGGAGAAGGTGATGAACCTTTGCGACCGACACGGACACGGACACTGCTTATTCTGAACAAGTAGTAGAACCACTACGTTTGAGTTTGACACAAGAAGAAGAGTGAACGCGGCCATTTCCCCTCGCGCAACGAATGACAATGATAACAATTAAGAGCGTTTCCCTAGTACATTGCATCTTAAATTGGTTTTTATTCCATGATTCCCAAATCGGACTACCACATTGCTATACTACACTTCGGATTCGTATTTTTATACAATAGAATGAAATCAGGGATGTCGTAGGTCCAATCCGAATCGACTAGCATCATCGTCAGAAATTAGGCCAGCCCTTGCCCTTGTTCTACATGGCAACACTTGAATAACAGCATTTTTGTTCTCGTGAGCGTCAGCATAGGCGTAGCTCCATCAGCGCCGCTCGGGCGCCGCAGTCTTAACCTCAAATAGCTCCTCCACAAGACACAATCCAACGTGTACACCCACTTCAAGCACAGGGTTAATAGTGACGCTAGCATTTAATATTGATTACTAGAAAGATTACCGACGTGATCACATTCACGATAATGAACAAATTTCGTCTGCAGTGGTCCAGCATACTACAAGAAATAGTACCCAAGAGATGATGATAAACCATATTCATATCCTGATTTCGCACACATGTACCAGGGAGGGAGGCCCCTGTATATACAACATATAATCATAGTTGGAAGCCGACTTCTGAGCTAAGTTGTGTCATGTACCGCTGTAGGTGTAGTGTGTATCCCACATCCTGACCATAGAAGACCCCATTTAGATTTACTACATCAACAAGTTAACATGTGCAAATCGGCCTAACCGCTTATCTTCTAAGAGCTGCTTGTCCACGACCTCTCTCCAGATACAGTGTTTTTTTGTACCTGAAGATCGAGCTGAAGTGAATTTTCGCGTAGCTGAATCAACTTTTTTTATCAGTCGTTGACGACTTTCAGATTTTTGTGCTAATCCGCTTGAGAAGGCAGGTAAAACTGCGGACACCCTCCGAATCCTAATCCTAATAGACATATTTTTATTTATTAGAACTCTTTGAGCAGGTGTTAACTCTTGCCAATGACATCATCGTTGTATGTATAGATATGCAGCTAAAACTGTGGACGCTCGAGTATGCAGGTAAAACTGTGGACGGCGGATCAATTCCTATCCTATCCTATGCAAGACGAATTAGATGAATAGAGTCCCAGTAATTTCGATTTACTTTCATGGTTTGAACATGAAGTCTTAGCCTTCACCTTCTCTCTAACTCTACGAAGAAAGGTTTCATGCAGGTTTTATTTTCGAGTTTTGTATGTTCAATTGAGAGGAAAAGGTTGTTGGTCGTGATCGAGGCCGTGAAGGCAAATTAGCAGATTAGATTCCATTTGAATGATGATAACGATAAACCTAAGGTCAAGGAGGTCTAGGTCAAGGTCAAGGGCGAGGCATTTAGTACCAGTTACACAGTGATGAACAAATTGCATCAGTGATCAGTTGCTATGTTGCAAGTATTTTTGATGTCAAGATCGAACAGATGAGAGGAGTCTTGGTCTTCAGTAACTAAAAACAGGTCTGAGTCTGTTTTTATGCAGCAATCACATCACAGTGTAAAATTGTAAAATTGAGTAACTCAATGGGAAAAATTCCATATGGTAGATAGTAACCTTAAATCAACTTATTATAGTGCAAGGGCATCAACGTTGAAGTGGAAATGCTCCACGACTGCTTCCAAGTTTAAATGACTTATATGGGAAATAAGAAAAGACTGTGGTTCCTCGGGTTGTCCCTGACGAGGTCTTGGTAAGACACAAAGCCCACTCAGCAACGCATTCATTGCCTCCCAAGACCAGACTTTCTGGAGCCATGGCCCCTGCACGTCGCAAGCCAGAAGTCTCTTATATCTTAACCATAAGAGTTGTATGTTCAGCTACTAGAAGCAGGGCGCGAGTTGGAGTTCACAACATGGACAGGAAGCATGACAGAGAAGATGAGGGAAGTTTGTCCGAAAACTAAAGTGTAGAAGGAGAACCGTCTGAGTGCAAACGACGCTGGAAGCTGTAGAGAGAAGAGTTGTATTGACGTCACAGGTGATCCCAGTAGGACGAGTGAATGGCTCTGGTATTTTTTGGTAACCTGATTTCGATCATAAGGAATAAACAAAAAGAAAATCCGTGTCGTGATCCAATTCAGGTTACCAAATACCAGAACCATACAACGAGGAAAGAAATAAGCTACCGCACGAAGAGGATGGAGATCAAACAATTTTGAGCGAAGATGGAGATCAAACAACTTGAGCGGGTTGTGTGCTGAAAGTTGTCTTGTGTGTGTGTGTGTGTGAGTCAGTTTGGTGGCGCCGACTTCGAGTGGATGATGAGCTAAGAGGTGATCATGGTCAAGGAATTGGTGAGAGAAATTCTTCTACGGAAGATTGATACAAAAGAAGTTTCAGGAATTCGATGATAAGCTGATAACATTAACAACATGTTGACGGTGACGGTAAGTGAATACAAAGAGATTGATTCCTTCTTCATCTATATTTTCTTTTTCACCAAGTTGGTGATACAACCAACCGCTACTCTACACGCTAATTCTTCCGAAAAAAAAACCCCGGTACTCTCGTAGTTGTGTCTAGTTAGACGTGTTTGAAGCGGGCTTGAAGGCAACGGGTCGTTGAAGTTTAAAGACGAGGTCATAATAATTCTTATACGTATTCTTCTATCTACTTCTAAGTCTGATTTTTCCTGCTGTGTGTTGAGGTCTTAGTCATCTCAGCTTCAAGTTGTCATTTGAAGACTTCTCAGCAATACCAATCGTAGTTTTTCAGGAGCTCCCATTCAGCAGCGGCCTCCAGCTAGTACCAGCGTCAGTTATTTGTGGTCTCAGGAACAAAGCAGTTGCTGTTCATCTGATTAGATCTTGCTACAAGCCCTCGCAACCCAGCCTACCACAGCGCTCACCTGCCGCATCCCCGACAGTGCCGAATTCTTGAACCCCAGACAACTTCCCTCACCGTCACCGCACTTCCTATTTGATAACAACTAGATTTCCCTCCCCAGAGGTTGTACCCTAGATTTCCTTTACCAGAGGAAGACAAATCAGTTGCACAAGAACTACTTACGTTTTTGAGTTGCTTCCGCTTCCCCTGAACCAGAGGAGGACTAGACCAGACCAGGACATGAAGCTCAACTTCAAGAAGCAGGACTAGCAAACGCAAACCGAAAAGAACTACTTACAATAGTACGTATACAACAGGCTGTAGTTGGTCGTGTTGTTGTCGGACCTGGAGGAAAAATCAAAAAAAAGTGGAGGGTCTTCTCGACTTCTTCGGACGGACTTAGTTGTAGTTATAAGAGGACAAACAAAAGCAAAACAAGACCACGTCCGTGGAGCATCACTACTTCGAAAGGGTCTACCTTTTTGTCCTCTTCTTCTTGAGGCGTCAGCAGTTGAAGCAAAAGTAAGGAGCCAACTACAACTTTTTTCCAAGGCTTGTGGTTACTTATAATATCCATCTACCTTCTGTTTAGGCATCTCGAAGTGGTGGATTACTAGGGCGCGTTCTAACCCTTGTCCTCTTGGAGAGCAAAATGCGAGAAGTAAGCTCAAGCTGTCGCAATACATTCAGGACTAACACCGCTGACGCGATTAACCCAGTCTGGGGTAACTCGGGTGGTGCGTCCTCTAGTGGTCACTTCGGACACCCTGGGAACATGATTATGAACTTTGAGACTTTGAGACTATACTAAAAGATGAGATTCTCCATTTCACTATGCCGAATAGATTAGATAGCCTCGAGAACCACATGGTGCGTGAGAATTGCATCACAGTAATCAACAGTGGTCGCGGACTCTCTTCATTCAAAATTATACTATAAGTCAATTTTCTTCTTGTTCTCTTTTCATTAACTTGGGTCCCTCATCGGGGATGAGCCAGTGCGGCTCGAATATGATGGGAACAGCAAGTTGTACGGGAGGCGGTACGTGTATGGGAGGAAGTGCAGGCATGATGATGAACATGAACAGCAGTATGAACATGAACAACATGCACAACAACAATCATGGCTCATTCTCAACATCTGGGACTATGATGCACAACATGAACAGCATGAATATGAGCATGAGCAGCGGGTCAACTTCGGGTCATTTTGGAGGTATGAACGGCCACATCAGTCAGCAAAATATGCCTGCTGAGGGCGTTGGAGGTGGTCCGATGAGTGGACCCTATACAACTAACCCATCTCACTCTCACATGACGCAGCAACAAAGTGGTGCAGCTGGTTCCTCAACGATGGGCTACAATAACAATAGTTCTATAGGCCTAGGCACAGGTGGTGGACCTAGGCACGAGGGCAATAATATCATGGGTGGCGGTACTGGTACTAGTTGCAATTATAATACTAGTGTTGGTGGCATGGGTCAGGCGGTAATGGGTCAGGCGGCACATGGCCAAGGCAATAGCACCATGGGCGTAGGTTCTGGGATGATTGGCAATTCCAACAGTAGTAGCATCACCACGTCAACATTTCACAATCCGAGCTCCTTTAGCACGACGAACCATGGAAACAGCAGTTTTGGTGGAGGCGCAATGGGTAATATTGCTACAACAGGAGGCGTAGGTACAGGACTAGGTACGAGCAACATGATGATGACCGGAGCAGGTGCCCCTCAGCATAACATGTATCAGGGTGCTGGAGCACAATCAACAACTTGCACAACTCAACAAATTGGAGGTAATCCTAATCAGCAGTATGCCAGCTCTATGAGCTTCAACAACATGATGACCATGCAGAATGGAGGAGCGTCTACTTTGAGCGGGTTGAGCAATAGCAACAGTAGTATGGGGACTTCTTTTGGTGGGCAGTCAATGATGAACGGAGCAGACCAAATGCAGATGGGGGTTTCTCCAGCGTCAACCACCTCTATGAAGATTGATTGAGGGAAAATCAAAATGCTATCCAAATAGAATGAGATGACCGTAATTACTGATAGAAGTGGAAACATAAAGGACGAGATTTATAACTTTATTAAGTACCTTGGACCTTGCTGCCATCAGTCACATAGTACATTGTATAGAAGTCGAGTCTAATATAATCATCTTCAATATGTATGGTTCTGGTATTTGGTAACCTGAATTTGATCCTAAGGGAAAACAAGAAGAGAACCCTTAGGATCAAACTCAGGTTACCAAATACCAGAACCATACACAATATCAATACCATGTCTAATATCTTCTCCAACGCGGCTTCGAATGGATACAAGCACGCTAACCCTTACGGTTCATTCAATGCTGCGCCACAGACGAGTTCGTTCTCAGGTGGTTCGGGTAATGGCAGTGTTTTTGTGCCAAACACGAATCTGATTGGCACAGTAAAAGCGAGCAACGTCAGTGACTTTGCAACGCGGGCAAAACCCGGCGATTTCGCACCGACTCTTGTATTTAACAGATAAGAATATAATACTCGATTCGTATGGTCTGACTTTAATACCACAGTAGTCAGCACGGTCCACGATCTTGTTCGTGTTTCGTTATCATCAGATAAGAACTTGAACTTCTGAGTTTAGCTTTTCTCCATTTCCCCATCAGGGCACTTCCGGTAAGGTGCGCGCCGTCACAGAGATATCCCCGACGAAGTTGACAGCGAAAATTTATGCTTCAACTAGTCTACATGTACATAGACATCTTCAAGAACTAGGGCTAGTTTCTATGATCCTCTGGGTTTGTAGCTAGTTTCTCTTGCTCTTCAAGAACTGGGTTAGTACTAGTAGTAGTAGCTAGTTTCTTCTATCATCCTCTTCTTTCTACCTCTACAGCTACATTCTTCCAAGATAGAGAGAAAGTCAAACTTTCATTCTGCCAACAGCATTATCGAAGACGTGAAAGCAAAAAACAAGGGTCAAGAAAAGAGCAAAGTGACGGAAGAACAGGAGCTCTCTGCAACGGCTACCAGTACTATTGCTATTTTGATTGATAATTTGGTCTTCGTGAGTGTTGACCACATTTTTCTCGATCTTTTAGTACTAAAGGATAAGGTAGAGGAATGCCGCGTTTCACTGCCTCTACATTCACCTCAAAATACAGGATTAGCACCGCTATACTTCAGTTCATTCCTCTGTCTTCTAAAAGTAAAGGGTTCCGTGCCTCGATGTGTATCACCAAAGACTGGTGTCAATGTTGTTTTTCCACCAATCAAGTATTCGTTCATCGTTCTTGTTGTTTTTACACCAATCAAGAAGTATACGTTCTTTATCTTCTCAGCAACTACTTCGAGCAAGGGGAAGGGATCGCCGACCGATAATTCAGCGTCCGAAGAAGAGCCTGGGGTACTGAGAAATTTGAAATTATTCGTTGTTGTATAAATCCGAATTTGAAATAAAAATACTCACTGTAGTGTCTTTAATATTTGCGTTGCTGCAGGAGTTCGTTGATTCATCTCTCTCGTCCATGCGTCTCTTAATATCAACATCTTCTTAGAGTAAGAAGTACTATTCACTTTCTTCACTTGGTAATCTTCTCATACTCAACATCTTCAGGCTAGCCTGAGCGTCCTCGGACAAGAAACGGATGAAGGGGCTACGTCAACGACAACCATTATATGCCCTGACAGTCTTCTCGGTAGTGAGACGAGCAATAGTGGGACGAGCAAGACTACGGGACCAACGAGCATTTACGACCACATGATTGAGACCGTCTTTTTCTTCTCTTGCTTCTTCTAGTGAATAGATGAGAATAAAAACTTTTTGTATTAAAATCTTTATTCGGTTTTTGTTTTTTCTACTTAGTTAGATATGCTCCACCAACTTTATTCGGTTTTTGTTTTTTCTAGTTAGATATGCTCCACCAACAGTATTAATATCTTTATCTTAAGAATTGACTCAGAGTGAGGCTGAGCTATAAGTTCGCCAGGCTGACGCACGTAGCGTTCTAGCTGGAGTGCAGAGGTATGCAATCTGAAAGCTGAAAATAAGATGAATTCCATGCCCATGCTCTAATGCATTACCGAGTTAGGAGGAACCAGCACTACGTCAATGGTCGGCGATGCTTCGTCTCTCCTCGTCAACAGCCTAAGCCTTGAGGCAACTGCAAGTACGATGGCCCCGAAGTTGAGCACCAGCGAAGAGCAATGTACAGCTGGCCAGTCTTCCAACGTACAGGATGATATCAAGGACTCTAGTACACCATGTTCTTCCGTGGCCGCGGCAGTGATCAGGGTAGGCGCAGACGTGGAGAATAAAAACAATAAGGAACAACAAGATGGAGCAACATTAATGGGAGAGAGTATGAGTACTATCGCTATGTTGAATAAAGTGGGGAAGGAGGGGGCTTCGACGACCGCAGACCAAAAGTCTAGCCCATCAACAGAAGCAGGGACAACAACGCAACACTCAGCGTCCTCAAATTATGGATCTGGAACAAATTATGGATCTGGAACAAGATTAGTTTACTTCATCACAGCGTCAATAGTTTACCGTCAACACACCCTCAATCCCAGTCTCCTTTCATATTTCGCCGGGCGGCAACAAGGCTGCGAAGACGCACCTGCAAACGAAACATCTCATCAAGAACGCGAAGGGAGAAGTCATTTCTCTTAGCTTCTGTTATGGCCACCTTTTCTCCATCTCTCAGTACTAGACTCACGACTTCTCTTAGCTTCTGTTATGCCCACCTTTTCTTTTTCTCCATCGATCTCTCTCAGTACTAGACTCAGGACTTCTACCGTCTCAATCTCTTTTTTACCATCCTTTTGGCTTTCCCATTATATTAGTGCCCACAATTAGTAGAGGATAACAATTAGTAGAGGATAGATATATTATTTAATCCTCTAATTTTCTGGAGATGCCAGCAAACGGTTGGGCAATGCTAGTAAGCGTTTAGGTATGCGAACTCGAAGCGACGTAAGCCAATCTTCCGGAGCTTCACATAACACCGTTACGATGCGGACAAGAACTGTGGTTCAGCAAAGCCCATTATATTTTATAAATGGACCGGTAGTAAGGTCGCTCTCCCCTGGAGGTAGTTCCGCCCTACTGGATCATGGCCTCTTCACAAGTAGACGCTAATAGCTAGTACATAAGAGACACGACCATGCCATGACATGACCAATAGCTTTAGCTACCACAGGAGTGGTCATTAATTTTTTTGAATCAGCATCCATGTTCTTGGGAATAAATTTGTGTTGGAGAAGATGACCTGATGTATTTAAAGTGCGAGTTGACATGGGCAAGAACTGTTTTTGAATCCCAAGACCGCCAATCTTTCTATCTCCACCTAGAGTTACTCATCGAAGCTCCTTCAGATCTTCCAATCCATCTCTAACACGTCTGCAACGAATCAGCAACACTTAGGTGGAGCAGGCGCTAGCCGAACTCTGTCGACAGGGGGATTGAATCCACTTGCACAAGAGTATTTCCCAAGCGCCGTATCTTCAGGCTCTGGAGCTCCCTTCATGCCACAGAACACATCGTCTAATGGCAATAATGTCTTTATGGACGTTGCCTCCAATGTTGTACTAAGGTCGTATAATTTGTTTATACTTAATTTATTATAGTAACTCATTGCTTTTGCTAGTGCTACTTCTAGCTACTTCTAATATATCAGTCAGAGGCACTCAGACTCACATGATATGACTTCTAGTTGATCTACCACGTATATCAGGAGCACTCAGACTCGCATGACTTCTAGTTGATCTACCACGTATATCAGGAGCACTCAGACTCACATGACATGACTGCTAGTTGATCTAGCACGTATATCAGGAGCACTCAGACTCACATGACATGACTTCTAGTTGATCTACCACGTATATCAGGAGCACTGAGACTCACATGACTTCTAGCTGATCTACCAAGATAACCAGCATTCTAACCAAAATTTCTAATCCTCGTTCTGGGCTGGTGAATGGCATGGGTACGACCTCCACTGCAGATCAGAGCTCTTACGGAAACTTCAACGGGTCGCAGCCGAACTACAACAATAACCTAGCTGGGAGTGCTGGGACAACAGGCTTTCAGATGGGGAATGCGAATAGTGCCACTGCGTCATCTTCCGTATCATCTTCCGCATACATTAAGGCTAGAAGTAGAAATTATCCATCATCCATCTACTTAGCCAGCTGCATCTCCTCTAGCTCTAAACTTAGCAGCGGTTTCATGCCAGCCACCGGAGGCGGACCAACATCAACGTCAGTGATGAATCCTGGCTCTTCGGCGCCACCAAGCACGGGGTGTTTCAATAATTCAACGTTATGGAGGTTAGAACTTTAGCGTCGTGACTCTAGCACAACTAGAAGAAATGAAATGCAAATCCACTATAATGATCGCTAGGATCTTCGCGTCTTCATTTTTGTGAGCCACTATCTAGCCTTCATGTCTGCACAGTGGTACAGCCGGGAACAACAGCGGCACCGGAAACATGAACCAGCAAAGCAATATGGTGAGTAACTTTGGAAGCGGCATGAACAGTTTCGGCAACTCGAGTGGGTCAGGCGGCTGTGGGAACCCTAACACGTCTCACAGTTATGAAAGCTTCTTTCTGTATCTCTATTCTGGTTCTACTATTTAACTTAGTAAATTCTAATTCTTAGTAACTAAGTAAGGTGCTAGCAGCTTGGTTATTTCAGTTTAATTGAATGGTTTCGGTATTGGGTAGCCTGAATTTGATCACAAGGGTTCTCTTCTTGTTTTCCCTTATGATCAAACTCAGGCTATACCAAAAATACCGGAAGCATACGCTAATTCTACTAAGTTAGGTGCTTTCGAATAGACGCAGACACAGAGGACTCAGACAGATCCTCCCCATCTATAACATAGACACTGCCAGTGCCACTGTTGCTGGTCTTGAATTTTTCGAACAAGAAGTCGACTCAACATCTACATCCGGAGTGAGTAAAGATAGTTTCCGGCTATGGTCGTGCAGCTACGTAGTTTCTAATGTAATAGCTACGGGAACATGAATGGGGGCGGCAATACCAATCAAGTTGGAAGTGGTGCTGGAGGAGGAAACAGTATAATGAGTGGTCAACATAAAATGCTTGGCAACACGAACACCAATAACATGCAGCAAATGATGAATAACAATAGCAACAGCAGCCTGATGAACAAGATGTCAACAACTAGTACAACCTGCTCAGGAGTTGGAATGTCTTCCTCAGGGAACAACATGAGTACTATGAATGCCAACAGCATGATGATGCAGCAGGCGGGAAGCAGACACATGAACAACATCATGATGAACGCGACAAATTCTACCTCTAGTGGTACAACTATGGTTAAGACGAATGACGCATGTCTATATCATCCTTATATATAATTAAACTTAATACCATCTCGTCGCATGTTGGCACTTTTTTTTAGAAAAGAATGAAAAAGATGGCCGCTCAGGGACGATGGGGGGCTCAAGGGGATGGGCTTACTCCTCCTCCTGAGGTGATATTAGAGCTGCTCTAAAAATATGGGCTCAGGAGGAGGAGTAAACTCCAATAATCTCAGTGCGGGAATGAGTGGCAACAACATGGGAACAGGACCCAACAACATGAGCCGGGGAAGCAACAATAGCATGAATATGATGAACAACATTAACGCCGTGACGGCGGGTGCAGGTGGCGCAGGGGGGCCAATGCAGCAGGGACCGAACATGAATAGCAGTATGAACAATTGCAATCAGGTGTTCATGAACATGGGCTCGAATGCGCCGTCGTCGAATACGAATTCTCAAGTGGGTCTGGGTGGAAACATGATGAACAACCCGATGAACAATTTCGGAACAAATAGCAACAGTACGATGCTGATGGGTCAAACGATGTTGAACAACGCAGGTGGAGGCTCGCAACAAACACTTAACAACATTTACGGTGTTGACACATCACGTTTTGGATGAAGAAGATCAATGACCAATTATAGTAATGTTCTAGTTTGTGTTCAGTTGATTCATCTCGCCACCAGGCATCATAGGCATCATAGAATTCTTTATGGAGATAGTTTATTATCTTTAGTATCTACCTTCATGCGGCGCTTAATTCGTTTTAGCAGATAGGAGGATACTTGGTGATAATTACCCTTTTCTCTTTTCTATCTTCCTCTGGTCTTTCTTTTTTCTAGTCAGGTCTGCTCCAACACAATTCAATATCTACCTTCACTTTCGCTAATAACTTCTTGTTTATCATTATCTTCATATTTGATTAACAGCAAGCTGCAGCTCGAAGTCATTTACATTTTCCTAGTACCTTCATTGTGCGCCACATGGGAACAACCCTGGCGCTGGAATGGCACAATTGGCAGGTACAAATATGAGTAAGGGTTTCAGCGCTCCGCCAACAATGACCTCGGTTATGACGACAGCCTCTATGAATCAGACAGGTATTGGAGGTAACATGTCGATGTCAAGCGGGCAGTCTTCACAAACGGGAACGACTACAGGTGGACATCAGATGAACAATATGAACTCGACGATGTCAGGAGCAATGTCCTCCTCAATACAACAAACCACCTCCGCATCTACCGCCGGACTAGTCAACAATATGCTTCCACCTACTAGTACTTCTACCGCAAATGGTCTACTTTCGTGTACTTCTGCGAGTCATGGTGGCGTGATTCCACCTGGTTGTGTCGGTGCTGCTGGTTTAGTACCTTCTGGGCAACAGCAGCAGAACAATAATGCGGGGTTCTTACTGCGAACTACGTCTCAAAGTAGTGGTATGAGTGGTCCACCACAGATGATGAACAACCCTGGACAACCGGGTAATGTTAACGGAGCTGCTGCGCCATCAAGTAGTGGTAACAACTTCAACAATATGGCAACGTCATCTCCAGCAGGGCCTGTACCGTGTGCCACGGTCGTGGTTTCCCCGCCGACAACCGCTGGCTTGACCCCGCCGCTACCAAACCACATTGCCAAGGCCACGACTAAGATCTCTGTTCTTATGAAGAAGAAGATCTACTTGTTTCAGGATGGGTCCACATCTTCATCCTGCAACTTCTAAAGAAGAAGAAGATCTACAACCTGTTCTAGGATGGATCCATAGACACAACTTCTTTCACGGACTACTTCTTCTAATCCCGCGCATCAGCCCACAGTGGCAGGCACACTGCGTCTCGCGCCAGGAACATCGACCTCCTCCAGCAGTGGGAATAATATGCCTGCAGCCCTCGTTGTAGGACGCCCTCCGCCGTTACCGCCTACTACCTCTGCCGTGCCTACGTTGTCCACTCCCTCTGTGGGAGTCGCACCTTCAGGGGCTACATTATGGCTGCAAGTTTTTCGTAGTTCTAACCCAACGCTCTTCCTTGGTTATCCTGTGTGGGCCATTCCCATTGTCCTGATGGAAGACTCTCGTCGAGAATGATTCTACAGGGTGGCTCAAGGGTGGAACCCACAGACCTTTGCCGAGAGTAAGTGCGCGACTAGCTCCAAATATTGCTTCCTCAGTGATCGGGGGACCGCCACCGACGGCTCCGCAGCAAGTAGTAGTCCCGCAACAGGGACCGCCACCAGCGGCAGCTTTGTTTAAGGCATACCCTAATCCATCTGTCTTATCTTGTTGCTGTCCGATAAGCGAGGAGAAAGATGAAGCATCAAGAAGAAGATGTAGATGCGTGACCACTTCTAGTTTCCTGTCCAGCTCCTTTTGGATTTAAGATGGATATGAGTCGTGAGCTCTAATTTGTCGAGACAGCCGACTTCTTGCGGGACACCAGCAGCACCGCCAACCGTCGTCAGTCCCGCGTCCAACTCTGCACCGCGCCCGCCACTCGTCAATAATGTCGCGAATGTTGTCAGCAACATGGTCGGTTCAAGTGCAACTACAACTTCCGCACCATCCATTTCTATTGGCACTGGTACTTCTAGTACATGTGCAGCTTTAATATCGTCTAGCACTACGGGCACAAGCGTAGTCGCACCAAGTGCGCCACCACCAGAGATAGTGGCTCCTGCCGCAGCAGCAACCTCCTCGAACCCTCAAGAAATCTCAGCTGCAGCAAATAACTCAAACACAAGTACTCTGCTGAACACGGCGGCGCCGCCACCTTTTGCCGCGCCCACGTCTATCGCAGCCAGTGTTGCTGCTAGTCCTACACCACAGCAACAGCCTCCAAGTGGTACAGCGATTCCTCCTCTGGCATGTCCAGCAACTTCTACGACAGCAACAACCTCGACTACAGCAAGCACACCACATAACGATAACTTTATGGCCAAATGTATATGATGTACTACTTGTACTCGTACTCCACACTAGGATGCTTGTTATCCCTGTTGTAAGTGACTGCCGAAGTAGCCCATCAGTGCTGTTTCGCTTACTTATATCGAAGCCCCCGTATCAAGTAGAGGCTGCGGCTGCCACTTGATATCAATAAACAACGGAGACAAGAAGGAGAAGCATTAGTTGGAACAAATTCAGCCCCCCCTTGTTCAGGAGCTTCTTCTAAGATGACAAATGGCGCCAGTGGAGGTTGTACTGCAGGAGCCGGATCAAACGGAAAAGGGGCGCCTGCGGCTCCAAGGGCTGTGGATTTGAGCGACTTGAGTCCACCTCCAGCGATATCTCCATTGCCAGCTCGACGCGCTGCAGGGTACTGCAATTTACTTAGTTGTCAGATGATGTCTCCGTTGCCAGCTAGACGAGCTGCAGGGTATTATAGATCATGTTTTTTCTCTACATGGACTCGGGAGCCGCTACATGGACCCGGGAACTGCGCAAATGGTTGGCGCCGTTTGGACTCAAACAACGAAGCCGGCCAACAAACGGCGCCCACTGTTGAGAAGAAGGGGCCCCCGATAGAGTTTCCCCCGAGCGGTCTCCTGGACGGGAGCGAAAGCCCTGCAAATCTGGCTCCACTTTTGTGGGCTTCGAATGCTCTCGCTACAAATTTGCAGACCGCCCGGAGATCGCTGCAGGGCGCTGCACTGACACAGGACGCCGGTCCAAACTGAAAACAGGCAACCGGCAACGGGCGAGTACAGTGCAGGGGGCCGAAAGTTGAACTCCGTAAAGCAGGCGTCGTGGCTTGGCGAGGTGTTTCCCGACGTTTCCACGCACCAATCTGCTACTTTTGGGGGCTGCTTTGGCAATGGTATACTCGGCTGGCGCTGGTGGAGCCTTGGCCAATTGTTTGCACCAGGCGGCAAAGACGCATCCGCAAAGTCTTGCGACGGAATTGCGCAGCGTCGCACTTTTGTACTTGAAAGGACGTGGGGCATGGGTACACGTGGAAGCTCTGCGCTTTTTATTCATGGCACGCTCGGAGTGCCTAGCCATCGAATGCATGGGAGAGCCGGAGCGCGCGTGACGCTTGGCGCCCAACTCACTGGGCAGGCTACTAACTACCCCCGCACACCTTGGACCAAACCCAAAGTAGGGAAGAGGGGGAATACTGTTAGCGGAGGAAAACTGCGGCGGCCGGCCCTCTCAGGATGGAGATGAAAAAAATGGCGCGCATCGCCCTCGCTGGCACTCGTGAAGAGCGGAAGCAGCTGAACGAAGCGCGGGGCTTTGCCGCTACTCCAGCATCTGCAACCTGAAGAAGACCCAAGGCCGGGCGCGAGCGAGCGACTGAAGCGCAAACGCAAGCCAACAGGGCGGCTGACCCGTCCGCGCGCGCTCGTAGCTACGGGGCTGCACCGACCTGGGGCCACTCCATTCGCGCGGCGCTGGCGATCAGGGGCGGGCCTGGGCTGGATGGCTATAATTAAGGGCTGACGTGCTGGCAGGCTTTTCCCCAATCGAAGAGGGCCCCCTCCGTCCGCCGGTCGGTGCTGTCTGCTCGCGCTGCTCCCGTGAAGAAGAACGCACCACCAGGGCAAAGAAGCGCCGAACGAAGGCGGGCAGGGCATTGGTGCTGAGCCACAGGACAGGGCGCCGGCTTGGCTTTGGCAAAGAGCCACCGGACCATACAGGGCCACGCCTTTCCGCTTCAGCCCTTGTGTGTCTGGTTTTTCTGTCAGCCAAGGGCTCGCGTAGTGCATTTGTTTTGACAGGCTTAAAATTTCTTGCTACCATGTCACGCATGTCAGTCAGTGTTCACTCAGACTCACGGGGGGGCCGGCTGCGTGCTTTATATTTCGCGCGCGCGATATCTCTGTGTTGTGATGCCGTAGCCAGCGCAACATAGAAAATTAACGCTGTTGAAGCCTAAGCTTTGCGCAAATCTTGCGTCTCCATGATCGTCTCCGCCCCCCGTCTCGTGTCTGTCGTGCGTCTGTTGTGTTCGTCGATTCTGTTTGAATTTTCATTATCCTCTTTCCCTCTGGTGTTGTTCTTAGAAGCCACTTATCCACTTGTTGCTCTTATTTCCTCTCATACAATATCCAGGTTCCCACCACCGCTGCCTGGTGTGGTCTTGGACCTAAACGTATCCGAGCAAAGCAACATCGCCAATCAGTGTATGGATGATGACTTTTTCAATGCACTGCCTCACAAATATTGAACTAAAGTGCGACGGACGTAGTAGTTCTAATTAGTAGGTACTAAATGTACATTATCTAGTCCTAGTGTGGTCAAGATCATAAGTAATTTGATCTGCAAAGTAAACTCCGACTCCCGCACCTCCTTGGCACATCACTGAGCATCTTCTATTTTGTTCTTATACTTATGGCATAAGTGCGATGCCCATTGATATTCATATTCCATATCCGTCCCTAACCCTATCCTACTTTGTACTACATCTACACCGTCATAGTACTTACAAGTAGAGATAGAGCACACCGAGTAAGAACCACCTTTCATAATCTACTACACGCGGGATGTTTTTCTTGCCTTGCGTTTTTCGAACCCGTGGTCATCTGGGGTGCGTGTTTTCACTGCAAAAGCGCAGGCATCAAGAGCTTTGAACGGAAATCGACTTACATGCAGCGAATCTTCTTGGATGGCACAACAGATGAAACGTAGTCAAAAAAGAAAGCTATTGAGCCGTTTCTTCATAGAGCATTAGGCTTTTTACATGAGCTTGAGTACTGCTTTTACTTGTCATTTTGATGAATTAGAAGATTTTCATGTACATGTTGGTTCATCAAAATCTATGTATCTATAGCGACATCGACACTTGAGTTATTACCTTTCTCTCCACTTTCTCCTCAGAAAAATGGGATACGCATACAGAAGACGACGTGCAGATCGTGCGGAAAGTCAAGGCGATTCTGAACAAGATCTCGGATCAAACCTTCGATAAATTGAGCGAGGACATCATCAACACTGGTACTTTAGTAGAGTGTATTCTGACTTTCCTATTCATTCGTGGCGGTGGCTTTGCGTTTGCGCTATGTGCTTCACCTCGCTGGCGCTGCTCGGCGGAGGCCGCTCGGGTGAGGCGGTTGCCATTCCTTGCAGATTATACAAGGCACCGATCGGGCCGAAGACGAAAGCGGGTGGCTTCCCCGCCTCTCGCGTCGGCGCTCATCGTTTCGCGAGTGACCTCCACACTTCGGCCAAACGCGACGCCTCGGCTGGAGGACTAGCGGTGGGGCATCCGCGGCGGGGGTCCGCCGATCCGCCTAGGCCGCTAGCAAATCCACGGCACCGATCCAACCCAGCGCCGCGACCTTGTGTGGCGCTTAGGGTTTAGGGACGATGGCGTTCGTGGGCGGTGCATCTGCAGCATGCATCTGGAGAGTGCCACCTGGCTGGATTTTCAGCGCCTGCTCTTTTTCTTTTGGGGTTTGATGTCGGCTCTCTCGAGGCGCCAGTAATCAAGGGCCGGCAGAGTACGGCGCAGCGCTATCGGACTGGAGAAGTGCCCCGGCCGTATGCGGATGGTCGTCGGCGTTGGCGCCTTCATCGCTCGCGGGGCCTTCATACAAAGGCCTATCAGGGACTGACATCCAGGGACCGCGCCGCGAGCGCTGCGCGCGGCTAACCTTGGTTTCCAGGGCAGGCCGCGTGAAAGAAGCGCTGCCCCCTAGGGGGGTGGCGGCGGTGGCGTGATTATTTAAAGCCCCGGCTGGTGGTCGCGGTGCTCCGAGTTGGTTCTCTCGCCTGCCTTGGATGGCGGTTGGTTCATCTTAGCCAAGGCAGTCTTGTCGCGGCCCATCCCCTCCTTGTGGTTTGGGTTTGTATGCTGGTTTTTAGGCGTTTATTTTTTCTTTTTTTTATTCCCATTACTTAGAAGTCGCAATGAAACCCATATGCTGGTTGGGCGTTTATTTTTTCTTTTTCATTAGAAGTCGCAATGATCCGTCACTCAATTGTCATAAAACAAACAGTACAATGTCTTCAGGCATTTACAAGCCGCAGAGCGTGGAAGCATTGATGACGGAGGTTTTTGATAAGGTGACGACGCAGCATCATTTTATCGACCTTTACACTCGGTTATGTGTCCGGCTGTGTGAGCACTTCTCATCCGACGAAACGAAGGCGAAGCTTGAAGAAATGGGTACTCACCTTTTTCTCGTTTAGAAAGATCGTCTCTTGTTGAATATGAATTCTAAGGCTCCTCTCGGGATAGCTTTGCCAACGCCATATCTTCAAGATGCATATGTGTCTGTTATAATAGTAACTGTAACTACAACTGTCACTGTTGTAACTCCTGTCGTGATGTAAGATCATGTTGTAGTTGCCTCTTGTAGAACTAGAACTAGAAGACAACTGTCAAGTTCTCACAGGTGTACCTGCGAACAAGAGCTTCCGGCATGCTCTTTTGAATTGTGCACAGACGTACTTTGAGGAAAACCTCCGACCTGAGGAGGGAATTCTGGGAGCAAAAGTTAAGATATTAGACAACCCTTAGAAAATGTATGTGAAATGTTGTTGTTCCAAAACCCATGATCTTTTCTTGTTGAGCATGTTGCTCAGGCAGACATCGAAGCAAATCCCTCAAAAGTGACCTCTTGCCAGGCACATCAATCAATCAATCGATGCAAGTAAGTATATATTTTAGCAGTTAGGGGGATACTTGTTGATAGTTACCCTTTTGTTCTCTTTTCTATCTTCCTTTGGTCTGTCTTTTTTCTAGTAGTTAGGTCGGCTCCACCACAAATATTATTGTGTTTGGAAGGGTACAGTTCTATCCATGTCCTGTCTTCCGTGCGACACAGATAACTTTTAAGAATTCCTCAACCTCTAAGACAATAAAGGATGAAGCTGCATGCGAACGAGAGCTGAAGTACAAGACCAAGCTGATAGGGAACGTGAAGTTCATAGCGAAGCTGCTAATCCATCGACTTCTCGCTGTGAAGCTCTTCATATTACGGCCAATGCTGTGTAGTATATTTTTTACGTAGATGTAAAGTGTCTTTGGTAGCCATTGGCATTCCTGAATGGAAGTAAAAGTCGTGAGAGAAGTTACTACTAGTACTACCTAGTAGAAAAAAGGACTTTCAGTTTTGTTTATTAAAGTTTTTCATTTTGCTGTTCAAACAGGATTTCCATTTCCAAGATTCTTGCTAGGGGGACCTCTTCTAATGTTACCGATCACGCAAGAGTTGCGACGAGAAGGCAGTGTGATCGCGTTAGAATGCTTGGCGGTGCTACTGAGTATCTCTGGTGAATTTCTAGAGACCTTCGCTCAGTTACGGCTAGCTTACTATCCCTATCTCATTTCACTATGTTAAGTGAGTGGACTATCACTATCTTAACTGAGTTCCCTATTCTTGAAGTCTGTCATTCCAGAGAAAGGGACCCACTCCATAAAAGAAGATGGAAAGAATGCGTAATCGTAAGTGCTTAGTAAATTCATGACGAGTTTCGAGCCTCCAGCGATATGTATGGTTCTGGTATTTGGTAGCCTGAATTTGATCACAAGGCTACTCTTCTTGTTTTTCCTCATGATCAAACTCAGGCGACCAAATACCAGCACCATTCAAGTGAAAAAGAACAACAGCCGCTTCTTCTAATTTCGTATCGTGCCTACCTGGACGACTTGTTTGAAAATTGTCTGCGTGCAAACATGACCGACAAGGCGAATCCGAACCGCCTTCGCTGTCTCCTGATGGATGTGGTGGACAAACGGAGAAACAAATGGCGCAATTAGCATCGGATGATAAACGCGTTATCAAGAGCAGGACAATTATATTAAATATATTTGACTCGTCTACTTATCGATCCACCTCAAGTGATATCGCAATTAAGTGGATGACATACGTGACCATCAAGACAATACTCAAGTGATATCGCTAGACTGCTGGGTCGTACTAATTATAGCACATACGCATAATGCGGTAGTTGTTGGAGAATAATAAAGTTCGTTTGATGGTCGATGGGGAGTGGGCGGGGAGCATTCAGTGTCAGCGCTGACTGCCTAGAAAGAGTTTGTGAATTTAGCAATATGACAATTACTTTTTGAATTGATGAATGACAAGAAGCAGTGACTAGCTCTAGTTGACCCCAAGAAACACATAATATTTATAGGAGGAGAAGTGGAAACGGGCGACCCCGGTGCGACGGTTCATACTGTGCCATGCCTGAGTAGAAGATAGAAATACACCTACCTCCACACGACCAAGAGGATTTAGCGGTACATCTCAGAACGTAGTGGTATGTCGTAGTTCTGCCCAGGGTAATACTGCTGCACTCTACTTTTTGATATCTTGTTTTGGTCTTGGTGCGTGTCCTTGTGTTTGATGCTTGTTGAGATGGGAGAAAACTCGCGAGCTCGGCTTTCCTGCTTCTGGTCATTCTATACACGAGAGATGAGCAGTGTTAGAGCCCCCGCGTCTGGTTATTATACTCTCTGCTGGACGACGTTCTCCTCAAGCTCGAAGATCATGTAGTGGGCTGGGCGCTTAGCACTTCACAACTTCCTCAGACAAGATGGACATCGAGAAGGAGCCAGATGACTTCCTGGAGCCCTGGCCCCTGCATGATCGCAAGGGACGAGATAACTTCATCTATTACAGCTCTATAATTGTTCTAATGCTTGCAACGTCCCTGATTGTCGATGTAGTTTCGTTTGCTCAGGATATTAGTGAGAGTCTATGGTCAGGATATTAAATTTAATCACAGTCAGCGGCTTCGTTTTTTTTTATTGTTAAGCTCGGACCAACCGACGAGGAAGAAAACATTTCATCCGCTATTGGTACGATATAGAAAAGATCAAGATGTATACAGAAGACCCAGATTTTTCAAGGTAATACACTTACACGTACTGTTATTAAAGGCATTTTTTACGTAAAAATCGAAGTAAGGCATGATCTACATAGCTCCAGAGAAGATCGTCCAGCGCTTTGCTGGATGAGTTAGATGCAAAGAGTGGGGACAACTGTTGACAAAATGAAAATACTGGCAATTTGAATGTCGGAGGACAGACTTCTTCTCAGCTTCTCAGCATTAATGTAACATTTTGATCCGTCACCGTCTAGAAGGTCCGTGGTTTTCGTTATGTAGATACTACTAACACTAAGTTATGAGTCAGTTGTTAGATGAAGATGATAGTGAAGTTAACATGTTGTGAGTTACTCTAACATATGGAATATTATCGCAAGCAATTATTTCTTCACCATGAATTTTATCTTAGTCGTGTAGTGTTATACTTATAGGTCACCATGAAGAGTATGTCAATGTCACGAAAATAAGTCAATATCAAAAGCAGGCTGTGAATTACAAACAAGTGATGAAGAAGATTTTTGGATGATTCTGTTTCTGGATTAATAGTTTTTTCGAATTTTTCTTTTGTTCTTCGTGTCTCAGCGTTCTAGTTTACACTACACAAAAGCACCAAAGACTGTGCGAGTGACATCATGCACACGAGAAATATCAGCCTATTAAATTCTTGTAATTGTTAATTAACAAGTTGTACTAAGCCACTGGTTTCTTTCATCGCGTATTTTGTTTTCGAATCTACGTCTACTATATCAATGATCTGTACACTTATCACGAAGTATTCTTTCTGATTGTTCACATAATGTCACTTCCTGAACCTAGTACCTGATTATGGATGAAAAAATGAGATGTAACATGTTGATCAGTCATTACTTCTTATAGAGCTTCATGTACTTACTCATTCTGCAAGTCATGTACTACTTACTAGAATCTAGTTCATGATTGATCTACTTGATTCGCATGCGGCCTCCGAATCGTGCGTCAGCGTTACTAATAATTTCTTGGTGTACATTAAAAATCTTGATCACTAGCACAGTTCTAACTAAAATTACTAGCCTGTATAATTACGTAGAAAGAAGTTTGAGTAATATTCGCAGAAGAATATAGCAGAGGTCGAGGAAGTTATCGTTGTGCGGCAGAGACATGCACGTCGAATATGCCCGTCAATTCACTTTGTGTGTTTTTTAATGCTTGTATGTGGGTTGAAGCTATTGGCATTGATAAGAATAGAGTGCGCTACTTCGATGAAGTCCTCTGTAGTCGTAGCTAGACAGTAGGGAAAAAAATAGTCTCGTAGATGGGAGATGATCTCCTATCGAATCCATGTATGCCTTCTTAGTTGTTTTTTTTGCATTCATGGAATGTGTCTCAACTTTCCCCTGTGGGATCATTCCACGTGAAATCGTTTCTCAGGTGTTGTACTATTATTTTTTTGATTGATGATTTTGTACCAAATTTTGATACATGATGAAGTATGATTTTTAGGGGGATGGCTTGATTAATAGATGACATCAATGCCGATAAAGGTGTAGCTGCAAGCATTGCTCCTACTGCTATTGTAGCACTAGCACTACCAGGTAGGTGTAGAATGGGTTCTTTTTAGTGTCAAAAAAATCTCTACCTCTAGAACGACACCACCAACTATTATCTTCGAATTAAAAGATTCTTGTCTAAATGTCTTAGGCTTATTCCTCAGTGTTAGGGGGCGGTAAAGGCAAAGTTGTTTCAACTGAGTCGCTCTTTCGTATAATGCTGTTCCGGGAGTACTTAAAGTGCTACGACCACTAAGTACTAGATGAGCGTTGGACAGTCTTGTCTATCCACTACAGGTAACTTCATCGGCCACGCAATCAAGAAGGTGAATGGCCTTTGAGTTTGGTGGCACATGATACCTGGCACTTGATAGAATATCTTCTGCGATTTCAGAAATAGGAACATCTGGCAAGTACCGATCACAAAAATTTTCCCACAAGAAAAATATGAACGATTGGCGGCAGGCGACAAGTTGAAGCTCCTAGATCTAATACATTCGGATTCTGATTCTGTAGAGGTAAGTGCTTTTGTAATAAGAAATCGATCAGCTTCAGCGCAGTAGTGAGAACAATGGTTGATGAGGTTGGTACCCCAAGACAGCCTGGAAATGCAAGTATCGGTCCGACGAGCGTCGAGTAGAAGAGGTGCATGTAGTAGTAGGAGAGATCCGAGAACAAGAGCGTAGAGGAAGAGTTGACCAGAGTTGTAAAGAATGTTGTTATGGGTCTTTTTCCATATGAAGCATTTTCTTATAAGTGTTTCCTGTGTCCTTGTACCAAATGTAAAAGAAAAAATTTTATAAGTTAAAAAGTTGTACTCCCACTTCAAGTACAGGGTTAGTAGTGAAGCTACGTATCTTCTATCCTTATAAGTTAAAAACAAGTTTTCGTAATTTTCCCTTCATCGACAAACTGTCAATGGAGGCGTCGTCTTCTGGCGGCACAGGTTGGCCGCTACAGGGCCACTCAATTTGGAACTCCCTGACAGGAGAACCGACTGCCGAACAAGCTGCCGCTTCTGGTGGTAATTACTTATGAAGAACGCTAGAAAGCTTCGAAAGGCTACTCTCATTTCAGTACTATCTCCTGAGTTATTCTAGTCAATTACTTACTCTTACTTGCTTATGTCAGTTTGGTATAGCCTGATTTTGATCATAAGGGTGGAAAACAACAAGAGAATCCAAATCCCTGTGATCAAATTCAGGCTAAGTACCAAAAAATACCGGAACCATTCAGATTCCGAACTTGTTGAGTGATGTGAGCCCTTGCGCGTCCCTGCCAGTGCGGCCTGGCCGCGGAGTGATGGACCCTCAACCTTAGCCTTAGCTTGTTGAATGAACTGTACTTGTAGTTCTCAACACAACATGAAGATGAACACGAGAACATGAACACGACACCCAAAGTAACCTCAGGTGGCTCCTCGGCTCTTGGTGGATATGTTGCGGTTCTCACTGCAGGCCTCTTCTTCGGGTCGAACTTCGTCCCAGCAAGAAAATATCCAACCGGCAATGGCATTTTCTTTATGTTGCTTGTGTGATCAAACAGAGTGAGGGGGGCTCTTTCCTTATAAGTTTAGTTGTACTTCTAGAAACTGCTGGTAGAATTGAGGGTACTAGTAGAACTAGGGATATTACAACTAGAAGCGAATGATAAGAATAGTTCAAACCTTAAGCGAATGATAAGAATGCCCCCTTAAGAAGCGTTACTAGAATACTTGATTAGATTATTGTTGACTACAGCAGAAGCTGCTCCATTTATTTCCATGTTGATCATGATCTGCCGATACCTCCGAAGCACTAATTAAGTTATATGTCGCTCAGCGTCAAAAGATACCTCCAGAACAGGTAAATGAATGAATCGCAGCGGTGCGTTGTACTTACTTAGACGCAGCCACTTTCTATGGAGATTACGTGTAGTTACATAGACGCAACCATTTATTATACAAGCACACTCACATGTTCATTTCCTTCCAGTGGCTGATGTGCAGTGGCATCTTCATCACGGGATTGAGCCTGTACTGCCTCCTAGGCTTTCCGTCCGTTCCAAGACCACACTACGCCATGTTAGGCGGTGCCTTCTGGTGCGGAGGCAACTTGATGGCAGTACCGATCATCCAGCGAATCGGCATGGCCCTAGGTCTCTGTGTATGGAACGTATGTAACATTTATGCGTCAGATGAACGTGTGGTCGACATGTGAGAACGAGAAGGAGAACGTGTCGTGGTGGTCGAGGTAAAGTTTGTCTTTATTTTCCGTCATCCTGTCTTTGTTTGTACGCAAGACGATACTTCTAGACTAAGAGTGCATCGAAGAACGTATTTTCCCCCTCTTTCTATGTCTATTTTCACCCTTATTTTGCTTTCATACCATGCTTATCGGATGGACGTCGGGCTTTCTCGGAATACTAGGTGCAACAAAAGCGGACGTCGCCATACCATGGCTCAACGTCACAGGTATCAAATCTCTTCTATAATGAAGAAGAAGAAGAAGACCTCGGGAGAATGATGAGGATGAAGTAGATGATGTCGTCTACCTATTTAATCTTTCTTCCTCGTATTCTTTCAGCACTACACCAGTCTTCGTTCAGCACTACACCAGTCTTCGTTCAGCACTACACCAGACACTAGTCTTCGTTCAGCACTACACCAGTCCGGACAACTGGGACATCTCTCAACAAACGTAAACAAGAACCAATAACATCCTCCAAACATCGGCCAACAAGATTACTACAACAATCAACAGAGACATTACTTACACAACTAAGACTACGCGCAATAATATTATCACCCTCAAATCCCTCAATCAAAAAAGATGACTACAAAAATATCAACCATAAACAAGAACAATGTCAACCATTGTCCAGGTGCTTTCATGGCTTGCTGTGCTTGTGCATGTTATATGGGGATAAAGCCTACAATGTCAAAAGGAGAGGCGAAGAAACAGCAAGAGCGCGAACAACAGGTAGCGATGGAAATGCATTCGTTAGCGCTGGAGCCAAGAGTCTCCATAGTTAAGGTCAGCTTTTAGTGTCCATCTTTCTCGGCGTCTCGATATTCTTTCGTTCCCTTGTTTTCCATGGGAAAGGGGTCGAGAGGGGGGGACCGAAAAGATGAAGAAAAGCCGACTCTAATATAGAACAGAACGCTATGGCTGGAGATTAGCCTGAGATGGAGGACAACTACTCGTAAATAGTTGCACTACTAGGCATTATAAGTAATATTCGTACAGGTTTCCAGATCCAGAGGGAGAGAGAGACGAGGAAAGAATGCAACAAAAGGAAGCCTGATACTTACTCGCTTCGCGGTAATATTGTTTCTATTGCGGTGAAGATAGATACCGGAAAAGATAGATACCGGAAAAGATAGATACCGACAAGATCAAAAAGCACAAGCAGAAGCTTAAGCATTAGTATGTTGGTCACGGCGTATGTCTAGAAGACGGTGATTGGAAAGCCTCTAAAAGGAGTGGTCCCAGAACATCTGGAACATTGGGACAGCTCGGCTTCGCAGAGGTTAGGCCGGCCGGTCAGCGCACGACTCTTGCATCACCACTCATACCGGATCAGATTTTTAACCCATTGGCTCCAACAATTAGTTAAGGCGCATAATAACTACTCAGCTTTCAAGGAAGGATAAAGTTTACTTTGCTCTTCTTCATCGTCTTGCGCTACCTAGGTTTTGGAAAATAGGTCGTCTTGCGTTACCTAGGTTTTGCAAAATAGGTACAGGATCATGATCTTCAACTTTATGGTATTCAACGAATATCATTCAATTCATTTTTAGCTTAGAGCTCGCTGCGCCGCAAGCTCTAAATTGACGTAGTGCCTGCCGATTCAAAGAGTGCAAGTAGCGGGAATTTGCAGAAACTGCATGCAAAGTCATCACCGAACGCCATTTATGATTATCCGGTGTTGATAGTGATGCTGTCGTTGATGTTCTTCTTAGGTGCAAAGGATTATGGTTTTGTTGATGACATAGACATTGACAACAACATCATAATAGTATTACTTAGATACTCTTACTCTTTTATGTAGCATCATATCAGAATCACGACTAGCAAATACTCTTGTTGACAACAACAAGATGATCTTTCTCAGGCGCCTCGCCGATAGTGATTACTCGAAAACTGAAACTAACCGAGTTAGTGACTGAAATCTGGGACGTAGCTTTTAAGGGCTACTCTTGCTTCCTGCAGTACCTCGGTTATCCTCGTCTGTTACCTGCTTATTTCAGTTTATCGAATACTTTTTCGGCGTTTATTTCATAGTCGTGAATGCTCACCTCCTCGAGGCGAGCCAGCTCCTATCCTAGCCTATCCTATTATACTTTCCTGACCTGATTTGAGTTCCTGCTCACCGACTTACCTGTCTTGATTTTATCCCCGACTTTATACTTGTACCTTTCTTGGGCTTTCATTCCTCGCAACCTGGTAACCTGACGAGCTCAACCGGTGCTTCTGGTGTGCCCTTACCGAAGAGTAGTACGACAGGTCCCACGATAAACTTTGCGGCTGGCGAATCACAAGCGAGTGGATGTTCTTTGCATTATGGGCTTGGTTGTTCTTGCCGTTCTGATGCTGTTGAAGTTGAAGTACTAGTACTACAGATGATGAAGACGGCAGTGTACTCCTAAGTAGCCGATACTTTGAGCTTTTTGATCATGCTGCGACATTCGTTTTTGCTTGATGTTTCAGTATATTAGCAGCCTCTTTTATTTATCGTAGTTCCAGTAGCACTAGCAGTGGCACTCTAATTTCCTGTGGTCCAAAATCCGACAAACACCATGACATCACAAGTTGATACAGGGACGTTGCTCGAAGCCTCCGAGAACTACAAGACATTATGGCTCTCATCGCTAACCAACTCTATTTCAGATTTCAGACCGTCATAAAAATGAACTACAACTCACTTCTAACGAAAGGCGGAGCCTCGTCTTCGAGTGGTTGCACCTATTCCCCACCACACAAAATGATTAGTATGGGTGGCCGCAAACTATTCTCGTCAGCAGATTTACACACGAGATTAAGGCTTTATTTTAGTACCGTAATTCTATTTCCTCTTGAGAACAAGCAAGGAAGCGTGTTAGTTTGTTTGACGTTGACCCTGTTAATATTTTCTTGAAGGAGGGGAAAACTACATGTGATCAAGGAAAGATACTTCTGATCCTTCTCCTTCAAGGTTGTATGTAATGAACTTGAGCAACTAAGCGCTAAGAACAGGGGGTCGCTTTTTCCCACAAAGCTCACCGGGACTGCAGAATTTACTTGCTAGTTACAGAGGAGGCCCATCTGCTGCCGGAGCTGCTGCCGGTGCTCATAGACTGTCAGGGCCGACGCTGGGAGTCAAGGTCTAATCTATCATAGCTGGCGTCCTTTGAAGACGTGCAACTATAATTTCCAAAAATCCAAATTGTAATAGACTAAAAATAGACGACGAAAACGATAAATGTGGGGAATCAATCGTAACTACGAAGTAGTAACGCAGTGTTGTACTAGTTGCAAGTGTGCTGGCACTTCGACCTCTTCTTCTAGCAGTCACGTCATAACAACAACATCATGATCACAAAATAACAGCGAAGAATATCGGGTAGCCCAGGCCTTGGTGCTGGTAAACACTTGCTCTGCCATCCGAACACTTTTGCGAGTGTGCAGTGTTGTGCACCTGCCATGAGCTATATCTCAGGAAAAGACCATCTCTTCGTATCGAATATGAACTTAGCGGCAGCGGCAGCAGAGATGAATGTGGAAGTAGAGTTACGTGAAGAAGCAGTAGAGTTCTTACGTGAAGAAGCAGTAACAGTTCATCAAGATGATAAGTTTTGGTTTATTGCTAAAAAGAACTACAACTAGACCGGTTTTGGTAGGCATATTAGGCATAGATTTGTGAGAAGTTACTACTAGTGTGTACGTGTGAAATGCTTTTTCTTCATACACGGATTTGCTGGACCCTGGCGACGACACGATGGAGACCGATGACGCAGCAGAGGCAGCGAAAGACCGGTTTGTAGGTACATACATCAACCACAACGTTGCAATAGATCTACTTAGTATTAGTTATAGTTGCTCCTATTTTTTTTGATTTTGAGTTTGACCTGACCCGGAGATGCCATTTCTGGCAGAATGCATCCGCAGAATCAGATTCAGTTTGCGTTTCTTGTTCTTTGGAAAAACTTGAACTTTGATCTACCAAGTTTCGACAATTTATTTGTCGTGCTTGCATTCTGTACTTGTTCCTCTCCCTCAGGTTTTCTCCTCTGTCTGCTCAGCGGCGTTTTGTACGGAGTAAATTTCAATCCGGTTTTCAACGTGATCGATAACTACCCTGGCGCACCCAAGAATGTCCTGAATTATATTTTTTGTTATGAGAAGTATGATGTCGGAAGGCACTGTACGTGTACCTCTACCTCCTAGATGTAGCCAGCTTCTTATCCTTTTACCGAAATACTCGACAGCTACAGCTAATTGCTATCGTCCCCTTCCCAGTTTTTAATTCATAAGGATCACTGAAAACGACACTACAAAAGATTTAAAAACTATCCTCCCCTCACCCTTTCCAACTTTGGACCGTAGCCCGCGAATAGGTTTACTACTACTACTACCAGTCTGTTCTGCTTCAAAGCGCTAGCCCTTGCCCTTCTAACGGATGCATTACTGCGGCATCTAGACAGTTCTCCCTAGCCCTTGCCCTTCTAACGGAAGCATTACTGCGGCATCTACGTGGTCTCCACTATAGCGATGCTCATCTATTGCTGTGTCTCAAAAAACCGGCCAAGTTTTGTGTCGCCGCAGACGATATTTCCAGGCTTTCTTTCCGGCGTCGTTTGGGGAGTTGGGCAGATATGTTGGTAAAAATCTCTTTGATGTTGATGGTCTCCGACGCAGCAGTACTTGTACAACTACCAGTACTTTTATATTAGGACAGTTTATAGCACGAATGGTGCATGGGACGAATGGCATGAATGGCGCGCCCCACTATATATTTGTTACGTGAACATACAAGGTGATGAACCTGTGGCCGACGACTTGATTAAACTTTTATGTAGTTTCGGGACTCCGACTGTAATGGCCTCGATGAACGCTCACCCCCTCATAGGTGAGCCAACTCCTGTCCTATCCTACTGTAAACCTTTTATGTATAATTTCGGATCGACTCCGACTGTAAACCAATAGGAACCAAATCGACGAAGGTGTAAACCAACCTCCAAATCAAAGGTTCATTGCAAATGATTCCTTGGGATTCTGCGTAGCTTATCCACTGGTGCCGTCGGTTGCTGGTCTCGTAGCATGTGCTTGGGGAGCATTGGTTTTTGGCGAGATTCAAGTTAAGGCTCAACTTTCAGTGGTCACCATTTAGATTGGAGTCACTGAGATCGAAGAGGAGGGGGCCCCCTCTTGAGAGAACCCGCGGGGGAAATAACTTCTGAAGGGAAATTAAAGGGGAAACGGTGGAAATATTAACTGAAGGGAAATTAAAGGGGAAACGGTGGAAATATTATAACTGAAGGGAAATTAATATTGAACGGGAGAGCTTTGAAGGTGGCCTAAAAGGGCCTCCTTCGTCGGCCCTGCCAGTTTATGAGCTGGCGTCCTTCGAAGACGTGCAACTAGCATCAGTGACCACTGGGCGTCGACCTTCAATCAAGGGACGCGGAACTACCGCTTTCTTTTTGGCGGCTTCATGTTCGTCTGCACTGCGGGAGCCTGTATTGGGATATCGTCGTGATGATGAACTAGTGCTCGACATCACTCAGCTACACCCACGACGAAACCATCGTCGTGATGATGAACTAGTGCTCGACATCACTCAGCTACACCCACGACGAAACCGGTGGTCACAAAGCGGGTTTCTTTGTCTTCGGGCAGTCCGCTCCAATTTTCCTTTCGTTCTCGTAAAATTTCAATTTTTGTATCGTCTAAGTATCTATAAGTCTAGTATATTGAAACGATCGCTTTTAGTCCCTTCCGAAGAGGAGTCTACTGCTTACTGTTTTCCTGATGATGTAGTTGTTGTTGGCTGGTGATTATACATCAAGAGCTACTTTTCGCCATATTTTTTTCTTCTTGTCATACCGCCCGAAGTCATAACGCACGGAAATCATGATTGTGTAGGTCTACGCAAAAATAGGGATCGGCGGCAGGACAAGAAGGGCCCACCGATACTTGTAGTTGTAGAGAGACTCACAAGGTAATTAGTTGCGCAGTTGCGATGTCATCATCATCATCATCATCATCATCATCATCATCATCATCATGATTCCTTCCTTCTGAGTAAGTGACTCCTTTCCGAAGAATAGAAAAGTAGTGTTGAGTACTGGGTAAACGTAGCTATGCTTATAATTTAGGTACTTACATGATCATCTTCTAAAACTAAACGCGGTCTTGCTTAATTACCCATGAGCAGTATTATGTCGTGGATATTGAGCAGAGAATAACAGCATGTTGTGAAGAGCATCAGCTGCAATTCTTTTTTTCCTTACGCTACACAAAGAATCTTCAGAATGAATGTGTGTACTTTCATAGTCGTGAACGCTCACCTCTCCGAGGCGAGCCAAATCCCATCCCATCCCAAGAAAAATTCCAAAAAAAATCGCTGGCGAGTCCTGCTTGTCCGGAGCTGACTTCCTTTGTATTAGTGTTTCCACAGCTCCCTTTCACCGTCGTAATGAACCAACCAAAGGCAGTTCAACAGTCTGCCTGTCCTACAGCATCAGGTCTTCATCTAGGCACTACAGTTATAGGTGTAACTGCACTGTGAAGATATGTATCGCTATCGATCATTTTTTAGTTTTAGTTAGAGATTATTGGAAGTGGACGCTAAGATTTTTTGTTTCAAGGTGGAGTGTTTTGATTTTCCAAGCTCTTCCTTTATAGACCGCGACAAAATGTCGTCTGCTTCGTCCCTCCTCCTGGTGCCTAAGGCCAGCAGCTCATCGTCGAGGTACTACCTTTGCTCCGCTACAACTAGTACCTGGCGCAAGAGCGTCCCAGCACGAGCCGCCTCAAAAAATCATCCATCTCTCAATATTCTACCACAAGGACCACGAGGACCTCCGCTTAATGTTTTCCGTCATCAACAACAGCATGAACTACATGGACCTCAAACAAGGGCGATCGCTTCCAGTATCGGACGATTGGGAATAGAGGTTTTTGGCGGATCTTCCTCATCTTCGACTCCTTCTCTATCATCTTCGACTCCACCTAGCTTTTCGCTTTCTTCATATTCGACTTCGAGTCCAGGGAGACCGAGGCCGTCTTCCTCCTCGTCTTCTTTCTCATCGTCAATTCCAAGAACGTCAAGGTGTACCTCTACTCCTAGCTTGTTTTCGCTTTCTTCACCACGAAGTAGAGCTTTTTTCACGCGGTCACCAGAAGACGCAGATGCACCGGGATGTACCTCGGAGGTGAATCTGACCGAAACCAGCGTGATGGAGATGGAAGACACCTCAGCTAGACAATTTATGAAAAATCTAGAACCAGCGTGATGGAGATGGAAGATACCTCAGCTAGACAAATTATGACGAGAAAATCTTCGTCAAAAGTGTATAAGTATGAGTTTCTGTAGAAGAGCGATAGAACAATAAGGGCGAAGTAGAAGTAGAAGCTTCGACCTGGGCTAGCGGAATAGAAGGTGGCTCTCACTTTAGTAGAGCGAGTATGTGTCAGAGGATAAAGATAATTTACGACGAGCACAACTCGAGAATGTCTCAAAAAAAATCTGAAGGAAGATACTACAATTTCAAACTTGTCCTACAATTTCAAGCTTCTATTCACATCATCTAATCCTTCCTCTGCAATGAAGAGGTCGTCAGAGCGATTTTTCCAGCGCACTTCTTCCTCGTGGCTCACAGGCTGGCCGTCGCCTGAGGAGGCGGGGTATGTTTTCGCAAAGATACTCATAGAGAAGGCCGAACGTAAGGAGGAGGAAATGAAGAAGCACCTAAAAGTAAAATTAAGGCTTCATCCCCTAAAAGTGGTCCATGATCTTTTTGAAAGACATCTTCGACATGGGAGCAGGGTTCTTGGGCTTTCAAAAAGAGGGTCAGCATAATCCTGTGAAGAATCTGTTTTATTTTCAAGAGGAGGAAACGCATAGAAGGATGCCTCTCGAGATGGGTTAGAGCGAGCTCTAATAAAACTCAAAAAACAGCTGGACCGCGCTAGAGGTTTCGCCGAGGATGATGGACTGCCAGAAGCACCAAAAGACCTGTTCTTGAGCACGTTGCCCTCAGAATCGACGAGGACAGATTCTTAAGACGTTGACACAGTTTCACGCTTTGTACTTTTACGCATCCTCACATTCACACGCTGACACTGGAAGGCATTCGAAATCGAATGCAGGTCCCCTTTGCGTAGACTCGCCGTCGCCTAGAAGGCGTATTCGAGGAACAAAGAGAGACCGTTCTTGAGTCGAGTCGATTCTTCTCCGTAATTATTACGGATTAGGTCATCCTCATCCCAATAGAAATATTGCTAGTAGAGCTGGTGCGTCAATAAATGTATCCTGTGCCGTTCTATCATAATCACCTTCGGCACGTGCGTCGTCTAAGTTTTTGAAATAGATCCTGCGGAAGTCGAGCCGAAACGCATTGAGGACTTCCATACTCCAGCAGCGCCAGGAAAGTTTCGAGATATGCGACGCAAAGAAAGTTGCGAAAAGTACTATAACACTACTGCCATCTCGATTAGAATTCAAAGTTGTTCACGTTGAGGCCTTCCCCCTCTTCTATCTACGTCTCCCAAACACTTTCAGCCAGCCGCCTCTTGCGCTGCCAGTCTATGGGCCCTCCTGTGCCCCCACGGGCTGCTCCCGCGGGCGGCGTTTCCCGCCAGAATGTGCGCAAGGCATGGGGACGCGGGTGCGCGTGGCCCTCGCGCTGGCTGCGTCTGGTCTCGGGTCCTCTGAATTACCTGTCGCCGACTAGGCGGAACGAAAGCGATGCGGCGCGCCTGGCTGTCCTTCGGTTTTTCACGGGGTCTACACCCCAACGAATCTGATAGGACAAGGGCCCCGGACGCCTTTCGTGAGGCGGAGGCACTGGCTTGGCAGGCCTTTGCTTAGATTGGGCGCAGAGGATTCTCGCGGGCTGTCACGATGGCAGTGAAGGCAGTAGGCGAAACGGCGCGGGCCGTAGTCGTTCAGGGTCAGTGGAGTCAGTCATATGGCTGCGATGGTTGTCGGCATTTGTTGCAATATCGGCCAAGTTTATTACTGAGAAGGCCGCGCAATATGACAGGGAGCGGGAGGCCGCGCGGCCCCTGGTCCCACACGGACGGAAAAGCTCGCGGATGCTACATTGCAGGCCCATGGATGTGCGCAGTGGGGTTGCTCCTTGGGAATGGGTGGAGCAGCGGGGGTTGGCGTTACATTACAAACAAGGCAAGCTCAGGCAGGGCGCGGCGGGGTCGCGCGTGCTGTAGCGAGTTCTTGTCTCTTTGCTTCGGGGTCGGTGCGTGGCTTGGTGACAGACTGCGGCAAGCTTTGGTTGTTCGTTGTTTCTTTCTTCTTCTTGATCTTGGTAGTCTTGTTACAAATTATTTCGGCCATGCGGTATGCCGTGGTGTTTTCTCATCGCCATAGATAGGGCCTCGACTTTGGCCTCCTTCTTTGGCCGTGTGAGATGAGTCAGGCAGATACTTCTTCTTAGCGTGGTAACGTCATATCTTAGCCTTAGGCATTGATAAACCGCGGCTGCCGCGCTGTAATCGTGTATATTCATGCCTTCTCCTTTTCGTTTTCCCTCGTTTCACAGGTCCATAGGCCTAGCGGATTTCAGGATAGTTGCACGGGAGAAGGTTAATCTGGAGCTGTCAGACGTGGAATTGAAGCGAATCTTTGAAGAGCTAGACGCGAATAAGGATAGTCGTGTCAGTGTCCAAGTTAAGGATCGTTGTATATCAGTGAGCTCTCTCAGTTGTAGTTGGCACCGCAGTTGCAGTGCTCCGTATAAAATATTTTTGTTGTTTCAGTTGATAGCACATTCTTTCGCTGGAAGCAGTCGCATCTTTGATGACTGTTGACGGCCTCTTCGTCTTCACAACCACAGCATGGCAACGCCATGAGTTCTCTCTGGAACTGCTCGAGAATCTCAGGAATGCTATGTACAAATGTTTACTACGAGACGGGAAAGGGAATGATGTTTCATTATAAAATATTCCTCAAAAACAGGACCACCGCTAGTTTTTCTAATCTTCAGTGGATCCGAGGCGTGCACGTTTCCCCATTCCTCCGTATGTTAGTCAAAGTCTGCATCCGCATCGAGCAAGAAAAAGCGACGTCAACGCAGCAGCTGCTTTTTAAGTATGGCGAAACACATTCTCAACAGTCTACTTATAGTACTCATGTTTCGCTTCAATATAGCTTCTGCTCTGTTTGCAGCGAGACCATGATCAATTTTGCTCGAGGAGTATTTCGGATGATCCACCACTTCTCCCACAATACTTAGTTGTATTCATTGTGGGAGAAGTGGTGGGGCTCATGGCATTCATGCTCAACATCGATTCTTTTATAAGTATCATCAGCTAGATCTTCATCTTCATCTTGAACCTCCTTCTAGGAATCATTTTCATTGCAAAGCTAATAGTGTGCGTCATCTAAAAACTCGATATGGACGCGCCCGATCCTGCACTAGCGGTGAAATCGCATGCAGAACTCGACTTTCAGGAATTCGTTAAGACACGAAGTGGCTCGCTATTAGCCAATGGAGGTCAGAAACAAGAAGGTGAAGAAAACGATAATGTCTGTAACGGGAGTGTTATGGCTTGGGAATAAGGCTGACTCGATTGGCATTCTTGGTGCCTCAAATATTGATCTAATTGTATTAACTTGTTTGTAATATTTAATCTCTCGTCATGCTTCTCCTACTCCTTCTTCTTAATCTTGATTTTATCTCACGATGATTATGGAAGTGCCCCCGCCTCCGCATCCCTTCATATATCGCAAGTGACTTCTCCAAGAACCTGCCACGGACTAAACCCTATCGTAAACCCTTTCTAATACTGACCGCGCAACACTTGACGACGCGCGTTTGCAATTTCCCTGGCCTACCTTTGACTACACGCTGTCCACTGAGGAGAACTACGCCGTTCAGAATGGTCCTACATCTAGTGGTGACGGAGACAAGTGCCGGCTTTTCTTTGGAGAGTTCCGAAAGATCCGGAGAAACTTGGATTATAATTATGACTGTCCAGCAGGAACAGGTCCACGCAATGGGTATTTTTATCGATATTTATCATGATAACATTCATAAGGATACCTGTCTAAGATCGTAGAAGATGCATCACAAGAACGATCATAGAGTCATTTCACCAACTTCAGTTTACATAAAAAGTAGTTGCTTACTCTGTTCTTGGCCTTGGCCTTGTCATCTACGAGAATTTTTAGTCTTCACCACTAGCTACCATACCCCGCACTACAATACCTACAGTACTACTACTTCTACGACTAGGACTACCACTGCCGTCTATGATGGCATCTAACCTCGATTCCACAAGAATTACTTTCGCTATTAAAAATTGTGCATCTATGATGGCATCTAACCTCGATTCCACAAGAATTACTTTCGTGAACGGCAATTCTGGCAGGATGAGCTGATTCGGCGCAGTGTGCTTCTCACGGGTCCAAAGCGCGCTAGACCTTGGATTGTCCATACTTGTGGACCTATGGGCGCTGGAAAAGGCTTCGTCCTTAAGGCATAGACTACGTAATAACGACCTAAGTACTATTTAAGGCCAAGGGAGCACTTCCTCAGATTATGATCATGATCCTTGTTTACCTCTTTTATACTAAGTAAGTTCCTCTCAAAGGTTCTGAAAGGGGAACAAGATGCAAGAACACTCGTGTCGTAGCTCTAATGTGCTTGGATGGATGTCGGCGAGAAAGATTTTGCCTCTTGAGCACGTGTCAAAGATCGATCCCGATCATTTCAAAGCTCTCTTGCCTGAATGGAATGGGTATCTTACCCATGAAGATGCTGAGATTCGCGCGCAAGCAGGGTCCTTGTGTTAAGGCTCAGCTTTCAATGGTCATTGGGGTTGGTCACTGAGATCGAAGAGGCGACCCCTTGAGAGAACAGGGGAAAAGGAAGGGAAAGGGGAGAGCTTTGAAGGGGGTCCCTTCCGTTCAGAGTCAGTGACCATTGAGTGCTGAGCTTTAATTGTGCCACAAAGAGAGCGGCTACATAAGCGAAATCGCACAGGAAGTAGCACTGGAAGCAGGAGTAACAATTTGGGTCGACGGTTCGCTTTGGAACCACGACTATTATAAAGAAAGATTCAAGCGCATACGGAAATCCTATCCCCAGTACCGCATTGCGATCGTCTCGATAACTTATGTTGAGGACGAATCTATTTAAACACTTTCTCGATTAATCTACTAAGGAGGTGTGGGAACTTCCCCCAGTATTCGATTTTAGACTTTATAATTAGCAGCTCTTAGTTTAGAACGAGTTAGTTCTAGAAGCAAAGAGTTAGTTTATGTTGAGGACGAATCTATTCGATTTTAGACTTTATAATTATGGCTCTTAGTTTAGAAGTTAGTTCTAGAAGCAAAGAGTTTGAGTTAGTTCGTCTTCTAGCAGGCACAAGTATAAACTTTCCGACCGAGCAGGACAGAATTCTTGACTTGTTATAAGTATTTTCCTTTTGTTCCTTTCGACTGCGCTTACTTTCATATCATTCGCATCAATATTTCAGCTCTTAGACTTAGTCTTGCAACCGACATCATCATTTAGAAGTTAGTTCTAGAAGCATTCAAAGATGGTTCGTTATCGTTTCCATGATCCGGATCCTCTTCTAATACTGTGCAGAAGAGAGCATCGTTCAGAAGAGGTTGGCAGATCGTGCTGTCGAGACTGGACGACAGATCCCGCCTCTGCGTGCGCGCACGGCCGCCAGAGCTTTAGAGCGCTTACCGGAGCTCACTGGCCTCGTAGATTTTCATGCGCGCATCACCAATGACCTCGAACCGGTCCTCGAGTACGTGGAAATGCACAATTCCCAAGGTGACTGGGACCTCATCCAGAGGCTATTCTGACAGAAGCTATTCTGACAGAGGCTATTCTGATGCACATCGCGATGAAATTTCTTGTTCGTGCTTTATTGTTATCATGCTTAACTACTTTAGCTTTAGGATTAGAGACTAGCACAGAATAAAGATTTTTTGAATTCTTGCATTTCTTGATGACTGTTGACAGTACAAACTCGCACCGAATCAATGAAATCTTTGATTACAACTAAGTACTTTCTGAGACTTGGTACAGCTGCTAGCTGTGATGAAGATACTCCTTGTCGACGATGTTTTACACATCGCGCTACGAACTCTGACTCGCAATGCTCGATGCTAAGGTCGATGGAAATTCCGCTACTGTTGGTGGACGAGCTGATGGAGAAAAAATTTAGGTCTTTATTATAAGTCTTCCCAAGCAACAGACAAAGGAAGCCGTCAGAAGATTCTGAAAATGGCGAGCTAGGATACTAATGTGAGCGAAAGCGACTTCTGTACTATGATTTGAACAAGAGCATCAAATTTTGAGTTATCATCAAAGAAATACTGAGGGTACGCATACGCAATCGAACCACATGATCAACAGGTACTTATAAATATTAAGATCGTTAGACCATCTATGACGCCCTTAAGGCAGTCTGCACTGAACTGCGTGCGAGATCAATTGGATTGTATAATCAAACAACAAGGACAGTCAATATCAGGATGTCCACCTCCCACAATACTGCAGTGGAAGACTTGCGACCGCAGCGAGAGTTGTTGTCAAAGATCTTCCCGATTTTTCATAGGTCCAGCAGTGACCCAACGCGAAGACCAGGTCATGTGAGGCTGACACACTCACACGATGAGCTCTCTTTGCGGTTAGAATTAAGGCTCCCCCTAATCCATCTCCATGGACATCTCTCAAGCATAAATCGTCCATCTCTATTGGGGAATGTCTCAAGCATATGCCATATGCACATAGAGGAATGTCTCAAGCATATGCCATATGCACCCCAATACGAGGGAGATCCTGACGCATATGCTTGAGGGCTTTCTACAGGGATGAACAGGGGAGCGGTCTAATAGAAGGAGGGGAGGTGGGAGGCGCGTCGTCGCCTAGTTAGGAGACTTGACGGAAGTCCTCTCTACAATTTTACTCCATAGAAATACTGACTTTGAAAAGTCCTAGGTAAATCTCGTAAATACATTTTCTTCACGAACTCGAACATTTATCTTTTTGGGTTAGGTAGATTAGGATACATTCATAAGTTGTACCTCTCAGTTTTACAGGACAACAAATGGTAATGGTACTATCTACAGCTGTTTTTTTGTTCGATCCGCAGCCAAGTGTTCTTGTTTCCCCTCATGTTTTGACGTGGAGGGGATTCGGATACCCATTCTCGCTCCTTGGTTTCCCCTAATATTTTGACGTGGAGGAGATTCGGATACCGATACAAGCCCTCTCAAATCTGAGGCCCAAGGACTTCAGTGTGGAGAATAGCAGCTTGAAGCACCTGGTTGGAGGACCGACAGGTGGCGCTGCTGCAGGAGGAAGGGATGGAAGCAAAGAAGCATCATTTAAGGCCTCAGCTAATCCATGATGTGGTCTATGCAGTTATAAACATGAGTTAATAGAGAGACAAGGAGTATAACGGTTCTTAAGGGATCGTCAGCCGTCAGGAGTATCGCTCTACTTGAGGGAAGATCGTCCCCTCCACAGGCACGAACATGATGAACGAGTGGTATAGATATTCTTGAGGGAAGAAGATAATTCCCTTTGTTCCCACATGCATGGTGTAATGCGTGAGGAATACTGTATTCTTAAGGGAAGGTTCCCTTTGTTCCCACATGCATCAGGAGCTAGTCAGCTCTAAATAATCTGGGGAGAGCGAAGTCCTAGTGGCTGCCATGAGCAGTCAAAGTGCGCAGTTCGATCAAACCGTAGCTATTCTCACCTTCCAAGAACAAGTGTCTTCAACAAACAACAATACTAGTACTCCAATAGCTGCAAGGAATGCTGCACCAACGCTTGCACCAACTTTTTTAAGGCTATTCATGAGTATCGTGAGCAAGGTCCATGTCCATCTCAGTTGGAAAAATAGAAACATTCAAGGAACATCCGACGAATCCCAGGGAAAATGCAACATCCGAAGAACCTTACAAATATTTATCATTAGCCCAACTTGTATGAGTACGAGAACGTAGTCCTAGTCGTAGAACATTGGTCCAACTTCTATGAGTATGAGAACGTACTAGTCGTAGCATCATTATGACGACGTAGTCCTAGTCGTAAAACATTAGTCCAACTTGTATGAGTTTGAGAACGTGGTACTAGTCGTAGCGTCATACGACGAGCCTAACTCTAACAGGGATCCAGCGCTCTCTGCAATTCGCAGGACAGGAGACGAGGGATATTTGGTTTTTTGGCTTAAAAGACCTGATCACGGAACGAAATCTGACTCGTTCACGCGGAACTAGGAAAAATCCTACAGCCCAACCTATATCTGTGGATGACGTGAGACTCCAAGAGCCGGAGACAAAGGACACGGACTATTACTGTTATGGTCGTCGTGGGATCAGGAACTACTATTCATCTAGGTCGTACTAAGTGTAGATGTAGAAGTAACAGTAACTCTTCTCCTTTAAAAGTCGGTCGTAACTGTAGATGTAGTAACTCTCCTTTAAAAGTAGGTCGTGATTGTAGATGTAGAAGTAACTCTACAACTCCTTTAAAAGTAGGTCGTGATTGTAGATGTAGAAGTAACTCTACAACTCCTTTAAAAGTAGGTCGTGATTGTAGATTTGAAGTAACTCTCCTTTAAAAGATAGAGAAGTTCATCTTGTAAAATGTTATGCAGCTTATGGTGCTGGGATGTAAGGTGAGATTAGCTAAGTGGAATGTAAAAATCTTCTACAGGAGGCAATGTAATATAATTTTCTGATCACTACTTGTTCATCTCTCTAATCACCCAAAGTGATCGTCACTGGGAGAGGACCAGCAACGGACGGGACGCGACCAGACGGGACGCGACCAATCCGAGAGCATGTCCTTACCTTATGGCCCTAAAATACGGTCGGCTATCTACTTCATAAATCATTTTTCCATCTCCTCGTTTCCTTCTAAAAAGGTCTGACGACTCGTTTTCAATGACCTTCTTGGGTTTTGAGCATAAATGTTGCTCAGCAGTTTCTTTCTTTGAAGTGAAATCGTTTCTTGAATCCTAAGGCCAATGAGAGGATTCTTCAAAGATGATCGACGAACAACAACCACAACTACGCATCACGATAAGTTCTAATTTCGCTGTACAAAAAGGGCACCTCCTTGCGAAGTTGGATAGACGAAAGATTGTGGTCAGAAGTAATGGAATTCCTAGAGGCGCATGGGATTATACCAAGTGAAGGCTTGCCTCTTTACATTAAGGCTCAACATTTAGATTGGGGTCACCATTTAGGTTGGGGTCACCATTTAGATTGGAAGGGGCGACCCCTTCTTGAGAGAACCAACGAACGGGGGAAATAAATGAAGGGAAAAGTTAGGGGAGAGCTTTGAAGGCGGTCCCTTCCGTTCAGCATCATGATGACCACTGACTGCTGGCCTTTAATTACAAGTACAACTACCTGCTCTGCCGCTTATGCTCCTTTTCTACGGAAATCTTCATTAGAACTTACTAACTATGAAGACTTTCCAGGAAATCTTCATTAGACTAAGCAAACGCGAAGGCTTTCGTCGTTGCATCTACTTCTAACTTACTGCTTCTATCTTCATCTTCTAAGATGCTTTCTCCCATGGCTGCTGATGTATCATCTCTGAGAGTAGTCTGTTGTACCCTTGTCATAGTAATTAGGAGTAGGTAACACGTTTAGTCTTTTCTTTCGACGTGTTACCTACTTACTTGAAATGTCCATGTTGATGCTCCCTCACCCTCAAACTAGGTACTGCAAAGCCATCCTAGAACGATATTTGATGGAGGAGTGCGTCGAACAGTGTATTGTACGGATAGATGATCAATATCTACCGAGATTGATCGAAAAACACCCAGAAAAAGCGCCAGAGGTGCTGTACAACGAAGCGACGCAGACACTGGAGGACCTTACGAAAAAATTGCCGATTGAGATTGGGTATAATTAGGAGAAATTTACGTAGATGGAGGTTGTAAGTTTATCTGAATTTTTTATCTAACAAGACTGGACAGCTGCTATTGCAGCTCGTGTTTTTGTTTTCGTTGAATGTTGAGAGCCGTAATACTCTCAACTTCCGCTCATCAACTACACGGCTCAACAGGTACCTCGGTTTGGGACCCGCGATTGTGGAGATGATCATGCACCGAAATATCGAAAAGATGAAGTTGATAAACCACGTAATGATCAGAGATGTGAGGAAATTACGGATGTGAGATACAGACTTTCTTCGAAATTGAGATGAGGTCGAGCAAAAAAAAGAAACTGTCAGAACTGACTCATTGATAGAGAATATGAGAATTCTTGCGCACCTAGAACTGTTGAGCACCAAAACAAGTGATCTCCATTTATTCCCTTTCATAAAAAGAAAATGAGATCATCTTCACCTCTGTGGAAGAAGTAGAAGACCTTCCTGCTCTGAAGAGATACTTCTACAGGTTAGTCCTAGTCACTGACTTCTGAATGAAATCGACAGCGCTCGTTGCTCGTTCTGGTTCTTTCTTTGGGAGCCATAGACGCACACGACTGTTCGCCTTGTTCACCCCTACTAGGTCTTGTTCTTGCTAAGATGGTGAAGCTGGAGGTCAAGGTCTACCAAAGAAAGATAATGTTGAGTAATAATCTTGTTCGGTCCTCTCCTACTGGTTCTGGTCGTGCTACTTCTGTGGAAGGTAATCCTAATTCTTGGTCGTGCTACAACAACGATTAAGTTGAGAAATGGTTGGTCAAACTCAAAGTAGCCGAGTCGACTTTACTATTACGTCCATAGCAATGATCCGCGAGATCTGACAAGTAGATAGGCTTTTTTTTTTATCGTATCATGTATCAGTATCACTCGACGCATGAAACAATTGCTGAATTATCTCTATCTCTTTCTTGCAGCGTCGATGGTCTAAGTGTTTTATCTAAGTACCTTCTATTGTTTTTTTTTACTGTGGTCGTGTGTGTAGATTCGTAGATTTTCTGTACTCCCATACTGCCACTGACTGGTGCTTCTGATTTTTATTGGATCTTAAATCTCTTACTTTTCTCGAATCGAGACTGCATTTTTCTGTTGTATCAAAATGGAAGAAACAAACGGAGAAGGGGTCGAACCGGGAAAGAAAGCGGACAAGAGGTCGGTCCTAGTTTCCTCAGAAATTCACTTTCAAACGTGCCAAAAGGAGAAGCCTATGTGCACTTAGTAGATGTTGAGTGACTAGTACACTTAGTAGATGTTGAGAGTGGAGTCTAATAGACTTAGACTTAGAAGAGTAAAAAATACTTACTAGAACTAGAAGAAGAGAAGTCGTTGTCGCCTACCACGTCCTGTAAAAAGTATCTATAAGTACAAGAGTCGGGAGGAGTGGAATTCGTGAAGATGGCTCTTCACGATGAAGGAATATATCGCGGATACAACGGGCAAATAGGTGGGACCCATGGCACAAATAACGGGCCAGCACAGGGAAGAGGTATTCTATAATTAGCATTTTGAAATTGGTTTAGTCCACATTTTTCTTTTTTAGGTGGTGTCGATATTCTCGTCATCTTGTTGGATATGGATGCATCTTTTGAGCATCTAATCAGGCACGACTGTTGTGACACGGCGAGTAGAAGCCCACTTGAGGGGCAGCCGAAGTCGCCCATTGAATCGAATCTAATAGAAAATTCAAACTCATCAAATCCAATGTACAGCAGGTAGAGCAACCGGGCAAAAGTTTGGAGCAGCACCTGGTTTCAGTTCTCCTGGGATGCCTCTGCAACACGAGCAGCAACAGCCTCATACCGCGTATGGACATGGAGTTGGAGGCGCGTTACCTCTGCTGACTATGTCTGGAGGAGCGGTTACTACACTTCCAGGACTGAACAAGATGCCAGCTGCAGGCAGTAATACCTCTTCCTCAGCACCAGGTGGTCTTGGAGGTGCAGCTGCAGGAAATAATACTTTATTTGCTAATGGAGGAGGAGGATCTTCATTACCGCAACATGCCCATCAACCTCAACCTCCGGTACATCTGTCGCTACATCAGCAGCTTCTTCATTCAGGTGGTCTTGGAGGGCCAAACTTCAACGTGACTGGAGGCCCTTCGTCGCCTGCGTCGTCTACAGCATCCTCGCGATCCCGTGGAGGACAGCACAATAATAGCAGCACGAGAGGACCAAGCTCCCAGCAGCAGCAACAGCATTCAAGACAACGTGGAGGAGGCAGAACAACCTGCCAGCAGGGACAGCAGGGTGGGAATCATCAGCAGCATCAGGGACATCAGGGTGGGAATCATCATCATTAAGGGATTGGGACTCATTTACATTTTTTGCATTCTTCACTACGACTACCATCCTTCACGACGCGGTTTTTAGTAAATAGGTCAAGGATGTTCTGAAGAATGTTGTAATTCTGTAAAAAGGACCTCTAACATCAGCATCCTCAATGGGCGCATCAATCTGGTGGCGGTGCAGGACATTCAGCTAGTATGATGCAGCAACCATTTAATCAACACAATCAGAACCAGCACAACAACCAAGGTTCATCAGGGCGTCCAGTGACACCCAGGACACACCATCAGACAGCGACTACCCCCTCCTCTGCAGGACATGGACATCCCACCAACCAACAACAACAGCAGCAGCAGCAGCAGCATAACTCATCTACTTCTCAGAACCGACAAGGTGGGCAAGGAACTCAAGGCGGAGGTCAACAAATAGGAGTTCAGCATCTTCTTTGTCAACAGCACAACATCGGAGGTGGAGTAGACCATAGCATGCTAGGAACAACCCGTTGCACACCTGGCACGTACAGCCGGGAGATTCTGCAACAGCAGCACCAGTCCACGACCCAGTCGCACCATCACAATGGTGCTCGTTCACTGGAGCAGCAAATGCAAAGAACAAACCAAAATAGGCAACAGCACATGCAGCACCAGCAAATGCAGCAACACCAACAGCAATTTTTTAGACCAGCTCCCGGCTTTGGCCCTGCATCTTCGACTTCGACAGGCCATCAACTTCATCATCAACAGCAACAACTTATAGGAACAGGAGGACCTCCAGACCGCCAGATGATGCCCAGTTCGTCTAGTTCAACGGCGGCGGCGGTGCAACAACATCAGCAACATCAATTAAGAGTAGGTTAAAGGTGCTTTTCTTACCGCTTTTTATGCCTCTCTCCCTTAGGATGAGAAAGGCATAATAAAAAGCGGGGTAACCCGCGAGCACCAAAAACCCACCTCTAAATCAACACAACTATTCACAAGTTGCCCCGCCCCTTGCAGTGCCAAGTCTAGCCTCTTCGGCCTCATCTGGGAGAGGTGGAAACAGTAGTACTTCCATGAGTGGAACTATGAGTGGAACGGGAAACAAGTTTGGAGGATCCAGTGCTTCTCCATCGCAGGGACCTCACATTGAGCTTAATCTGAGCCGCTCATTGGAGATGACGAGCAACAGTGCTAGTGGTAGTGGTACTACCACCAGTAGTGGGAACAACGTCAACATCAACACTAGTGGTACTACCACCAGTACTAGTGGGAACAACAACATCAACTACATCAACATCAATGGTACAACTTCTAGCGGGATGAATAACCTAGGAGGTAACGCCAAGAAGCTGAGCATCTTCGATAGTATCCCAGGACCTGTGAATAATGTGATGCAGCTCGACCAGTACAAGAACAACCAAAACCTCCAACTTTCTGGCAGTGGTATGCCCTTAGCATACGGAGGTAGTGGAGGCGTTGCAGTTGGCAGCAATGTTGTCAATGCGACGAGCACGATTCCTGCTCCACCTGGTATTATTCACGTCGGCGGTTCTATGACCAATACTAGTAGCGTCAAGAACAACAGCTACATGAATAGCAATAGTACAACGACTGGAGGAACAACTTCAGGAGGAGCAGCGTCAGGTGGAGCGTCTTTCCCGCTTGGACCCGGTACCGGTTATCATGCAGGTACTACTTCATCTGGAGTAGCGCGACTTCCTGGCACAACCTCTTTGTTTGATTCGACGACTCTGAAACCCACAGCAACTCAGATGGATCTTTCCTGCTCGTTATCAGCATCGGGAGTAAGCAATATGAACGAAGTCGGAGGTGGAGCAGGAACTGGAGGACCTCTAGATCGATCAAGATACTACGAACGGGAAGTTTTCCTGTGTTTGCGACCCTATGAGGATGCTGCACAAGGTACTAAAGGTATGTTGACCAATCGCCCCACCAACCGTCCCCTAGATCACAGCAATCAGATGAATGCTTCTCCCACCACTGCTTGTGATGTCCGGATCCCGACCGCCCGGGCTCGCAACTACAGTTGTGCGGCAAGTGGAGGCCCGATGCCTCCTCGCTCTAATTCCTTTTATCATCCTGGTGTTGCTCCTGGAGGATATAATATTTTAGACAACTACAAGGGCACCTCCATGGAGGACCCTTCAGCAACAGCAAGAACTGCTTCGCATCTTACAGCCAACAACTCTCTAGTACAACAGCAAGAACAACAGCATTCTAATCACGTCAATGGAGTAGACATGACAGCTCCCCCGCCAGGAATCCCGCTTCTCCATTGTCCACCAACTCCTGGCACCATGAAGATTCATGGACAAGAACAAAATCTGGTATAATTCATTGTGATTGCTTCATAACTGAATCTGTTGTCTTTCATGAGAGGACTTTCTACCACATACTGTAGGCCTTCTAAGTTGTAATTCTTTGCGTTACAACTTCTACTTCTTCACTCGTTCTTCACGTTTAGTTATGTTTATGAAAATATTATAGATCAGGTATTTTACATCTAGGTGTAGTATTCTTCCTTTCCAGCACTGTTCTCTCCGCTTCAAAGCATATTAGATCAACAATTACGTCGACGTGCCACCAGGTACTCTCATCAAGTGAGCTCGCGTCCTCCAATCAGACGTTGACATTGACACCGAGTCATCAACGGATTGCGTGCAAAGGACGTTTGGACGATACTGCCGATACTAGAGACCCACACAGCGACCACGAGAGCGATAAGAGCGACACAGGCAGGCATGGAGCTACATTTCGGACACCTGGAGGTAGAAGAAGTATCTTTATCTTTATGTTTACTAGGTAGTATGATCTGGTTTACTAGTAGTATGACAGAGTAGTTTATAGCACGCATGGTGCATGGAGTAGCATGGAGTGCATGGAGCGCAGAGCTTTAAGGGGCGCAAGAAGCTCACCCTTTAGCTCCATGCTACTCCATGTGATCCATGTACTCCATGCCATGCGAGCTGTGAAACCTTATAAATTGCTCTGGTATGATCTGCACTTTTCGTCCGACCTGTACCGTATGAGCGGGAGAGGAAGACCCTGGTCCACCTTAGCTGCTCCAACTTCAAGCACAAAAAATTTCAACTTCAACTTCAAGCAACTTAGCAACTCCAACTTCAGGGTAGTTGCGGTTTATAAGCTCTGTAAACACATACTATCTCTATGACGATCTCTATGACGATTGCTAACAAATCTGGACGTCCAGGTCGTCAAGCAGGAGAAGGCGGTGACGAGACGACTTTTGTTTCAGAGCGTACCTCAGAGCAGATGACACCACTTCAGAACCAGGATCTAGAGGAAATTTTCGAGAGCACAGGCCTTTTGTTGAACAAAGGCATGATTCACACAACTGGAGAAGCGATCACAGCAACTGGTGGCGCGTCTGGTGGCAGAAACGGCGCTGGAGGCGGATGGCCTTCAAATGGAGGTAATAATGTTAAGGCTCCTCCTGCTCAATGAATATAATGTTTCATTTCTAGTACCAGTCAACATTTCTCGCCATTCCCATTTCTCCCATTTTGGGATCATTCCAAAGAAATGAAGATTGAGTAACTAAAATATAATCATGGTTTGAGCTCCTCATTTCTCCCATTTTGGGATTCTGAAGAAATGAAGACCACTAAGTAGAATATTTATGATGGTTTAAAATGGGCTCCTGCAGCTCCTCTAATACTGGATCTTGTTCTGGAGGTAGTCAGGCTCATGGATCTCAATCCGGCTCCGGAGGAGGGTCTTCTGGTGGACAGAACAAGAGCGGTAATTCTGGATCCGGATCTGGGGGAGCCCCTGGCGGACAGAACAATGGCGGACAGCAGATTACCCCACAAAACCCGCATCCACAATATATTAAGGCTATAAAACAAAAAACCGCATCCACAATAATAAATATAGAAAAAGCATTAGCATGTCCTTGTTTTTGTTATAGCCATCATGATCCTTGGTTCTTCATCTTTTTCAAAAAGAAGCCAAGAACGAAGGATGGCATGATCCTTCGTTCGTCATCTTTTTCAAAAAGAAGCCAAGAACGAAGGATGGACATGGACTCGTGAGCTCGTGAGGAACGAATACAAAAACGGATAATAATATATATTATAATAGCTCTAAACATAGCAATGTCGTGAATGTGTATGCCGACAACTTGGAAGCCATCTTCAAGGAACTGGAGAACACGGATGCGTACGAGCGCTTTATCGGGATTGAGGCCTTCTTTCCTGGCTTGGTTTTGAGGCCAACGATTCCCGTAGACAGCTTTCTGGAACATCACTACGCGACTCTTAGGTTAAGGCTCAATACAATTCATTTCTAGAAGTACCAGGAGTCATTTCTCGGCGCAGCTTTGTTCTTGTTTCTAGTACCAGGAGTCAATTCTCAGCGCAGCTTCCTTCTATCTTGGGAAGATTCCGAAGCATGTCCTTAAATTAGACATCCACGCGGAAAATACCCAGGTAGGTTAAATTGTACGGTTCTGGTACTATTTGGTATAGCCTGAATTTGATCAAGAGGGTTCTCCTGTTGTTGTTTTCCTTATGATCGAAGTCAGGTTAGCAAATACCAGAACCATTCAGAAATGAATTGTTTTGAGCTCTAATTAGGTCCAATGTAGACTGCACGAACTTGATACAGCTGGACCTGACTATCAAGAAAAAAACAGCCAGTCCAACCGAGGACACCGATCAATCTGCGTCAAGCGCATTATACAAAACTTTCAGGTATTATCTACTTCTTATGTAAATACATCTAGTAGTACTTTGAATGGTTCCGGTATTTGGTAAACTCAAGATAAGATCATGGGTTTTGGGAACAACCGGCTTTACATACATACATACTTCTTATGTAAATACTACATCTACGTCCTCTACTTCCTATGTAAGTAGCTACATCTATGTCCTCTGTTGTAGTAGATTGGTCACTACTCTAATTCTCTGTAAGTATACCTATTGCGAAAAATTATGTTCTCTTCTTTGTGAAAGTGAATACCAGGAAACTTTTACTTTTCTTGATACAACTCTTGAAATCATATCCAATTTTCTTCAAAGTGAATGAAAAGACTCCACCACACTTAGTAGTACAAGTAAGCACGTCCACATCATTATTTGCACGATGACACCTTTGTTCTTCAGTAGTACTTACTAGTCTTGAGAAGTAGTCTACTCTCCTCACTAATGAAGGAATATACACCTTTAGTAGTACAAGTACTAGTACGGCTACATGATGAACATTTCCATTTTGAATATTTCTAACCTTGTTCACTCTACTAGTACGTCGTCCACATGATGATCAACATTTCCATCTTGTTGAATGATCAACTTTTCCATCTTGTTGAATATTTCTTCTAACATTGTTCCACTGCAGGTTTCACTTCACGTACAATCTGCATAACGAGTTGTACAGCGTCGATGCTATGAGAAAGCTGGTCGAAGCAGGATCTTTTCAGAATCCCACCATGCAATCGAAGCGAAACTGCGTCGATTCGAAACGATTCGCGGAGCTTTTTATCGCTAGCGGTCTAGTGATGGACGACGAAATCTGCTGGATTCCAATGTATCTATCTATGTTAATGTTAACACTGCTAGTTCCAAGACATCAGACTTCATGTTCATCTTCAGGCACTAAACAAAACAACATCCACCTCCACAGATACGGCTTCATGTTCTTGTCCATCTTCACGTACTAATCAAAACAACATCCACCTCCACAGATACGGCACAATGATCTCGTTTGACGCGAAAATCGAGACTATTCCAGATTTCAAGGACCGAGTGGCAAAGGATATCAATCCAGCACAAGTGTTTCGAGGTCTCTACGATTTGGCGCACGTGGCCCAGCTGTTGAACGGATCCTGTTTGCCGGAGAAGGTCGACGACTTTTTCAAGGAACTCGACACATACTTTCCCAAGAGGTACTTTCAATTTCATTCGACACATACTTTCCGAAAAGGTACTTTCGACAGATACTTTCCCAAGAGGTACTTTCAATTTCATTACCTAAGAACATGAACACCTCTCCTGTAGTAGTTCTTAGTACTTACACACTTAGCTTGTCATGAATTTTTACTAAGGTGGTTGACCTGTGCTTGATGTATCACACTGGATAACTTCAGCAATCCGTATCCAACTTCAGGTGTATCGCCCAGTTCCACGAGTACACGAGTTTGTTTTTCTCGCGGTCAAATGAGGAGAGTATTGTTGCGTTGAGGAAATTCGAGGACATGTGTGTGCGGTACGACGCTCCCACTATCGCTTCACGCTATGACGGCAAACCAACGACTTTGACAAAAGACAGGCACTCGGTGCGCCGCACAGACCGGCTACTCAACGGAGCGACATCCTCTGGAGCTAAATAGGCGGTTCTGCCGTAGTTGAGTCGGTGGACGTTGAACCACTATTAAGGTAGAGTGGATTCTACTTTTGCTTGATGGCTTGCTGGTTTCGGCGTTGACCTGTACAATGGAAGATATCCCCTATAAGTAGATTCATATGCTGTCATTCTCTTTCTCATTCTCATTTTTTCAAGCTAGAAGGATTCTAACTCGTCTCACAATCAAACTTGTGTCGCTTGACCACTACTTTTAAGAGATGGAAGATCTCATCATCACCAAAAGGTGAGTCTTCTTTTAGACATAGAATGCTTTTACGACAACGACTTGTGATGCCATGAAATAGCCAAACATGCTTTTACATTCACTTGCGTCGTACATGCTCCCGCGCAACCCTGTCATGAAATAGTCATTATCCCGATCGAATGAATTGACAGAAATTGAAGTATTTCGTTTAAGCACATTCCAAGATGAAGACTTGATCCATGGCGTTCTTGTCCGCCTAGTTATATGTTAGTTATGTGAACTATTGGACGAGACGCCGTTCGTCATATTTTCGATTTTGAAAGTGACTCAGTCTCAGCCACACGAGCCTGAGTCAACATTCAAATTTTAGATTGTTTAATTTCAAAAAAATGTAAAAGTAGATGCATTTCCCCCGCCTGACGTAAATGCCCTCTCCTGACATTCGAATTCGTAGCCGTTAGTTTCTACTTGCAACATGATGATCCGTAACTACTAATTCATAATGATCTTCTCGATAAAGTCGTACTCGCAGTGATGTAAGTAATCGAAAACTGATCTGTACCTATCGTAGAACTAGAAGGACTACTAAGGATCTTCAATAAATGCTTGAGATTCATTGTCGTGTTGTTTCATCAAAAATGCGATTTAGATGAGGTAGAAGTCGTACGCCTGTCTCGCCGTTAATGTCCTGGTCATGCATCATGCTAATTTTAATTAAGTAGTTGGTAAACTGATTTTTATTCTTTTTTTGAATTTATTTTTGCGATTGCTATGCGGTCAAAAATTTCGTCGCGTTCAGTTGTGCTATAGCCGTTAATGTAATATTCGCGATCGATGATCACAGTATCTAGAATCGGAATAGATGATTATGGATTTGGATATCTTCAACATTATCTAATTTTCGATGTACATCCGACCAACACGAAGCAGGACCCTCATTGATTTCTAAACACGCACTGATTTACATAGGACTAGATGTCTATCCATACCTCTAAGAATACGCCGACGCAATTATGATTGAGGTCGTCCCTTATCGTTATGAATAGGTGAAAAATTATAGTGTGACATCCAGGTTCAAGATTTTCATCGTTCAGAGGACTTCTATGTAGTAAGTAGATGAATTCGATCTCTAATGCGTGACAAAACTAAATAAAGGTAGGGAAAAGCGTTTCCTCGAAAATCTGTCGCATTCTCTCTTCCTTGTATCCCATCGAAACTTCAATGAAGAGTCCGCAACGGATCTCTACCGACTTAACAAACCCTCGACGCCCTCACCCTCCACTACGGATATTATCAAGAAGGCGATAATGATGAACAACAACAAATCGCCAAAAAAAAAAAAGATAGAAGAACCCTCCATACCTCCCACACCTGACACGCCCTACATTCATCAATACTTGGTCAATAGGAAAGTACCCTAAAATAAACTGAATTATAGAGAGCAGTCTGATAGTTTTACCGCGAACGCAAGCGCGATCCCACAATGATCAAAATCATGCTCCTGTGAAGACGCTGGCAGGTTTTTTGCAGACGCAGGCTTTTCTTAATAATATTTTGGTGTTCACTCCGCGTCCGCTGGTTGTTGCACATGATGCAGACGCTGTCCTCCTGTATTTCTTGTTTCGCGGGCTTATCTATGCCGAGAATGGGCTACTTGATGGAGAAGGTCATCTTCCTTATAGATCAGAAGCGATCTCGTCTTCAAACAGGAGAACAATCAAGGGTCTGGAGGTTCCAGCATGTTGCAGTGTGGTTTTTTATCGGTAGTCGTTTTCTTAGCCTTTCACGGCTTGGTCTACGGACAAAGTTCTAGATCTAGTTCGCGATCACCCTTGATCCTAGGTTGTACTATGTATAATCTATTCAAAAAGACTCCTGGCTTCCTACGGAGTGTACTATAATCTATTTAAAAAGAGAAACAAAGCTGTGACAGTCTCTTAAGGATTTAAGAAGATGTATCTTGAAGAGAAAGAGAGATGAACAAGGGAGAGAAGTAGAAGAGTCCGCGTCCTATATTGCTAGCATCGTCTCTTCACCCACTACCTGAACCTGAACGTGAAGTAGATTATGGAAGTACAACATCTTCATCAACTACCTAATTGAAATTATATTCCTCGTCTACTTCTTTCTTGTTCGTCTTCGTAGTTCTCGAAATCCTTTGCCTTGGTACCAGCTGAATCTACGTCTTGGGAGTCATGAGGGTCTTGGCAGCGTTAACAGCTGCGCAGCTGTTCGGAGCTGGACAGCATGCTCTTGGAGTGGCCGCGGATAGCGCAATTGATCTTATGAAAAACGCGTGAGACGCAGCATACACGAGGATCAGTTCCACTAGCTACTGCTACAACAAGGAACTACAAGAAACTTGTTTCTGTTACTTCAATGAAGAGATAGACAACTAGCTGCACTGGTGCACATATATATAGTCATAGAGGACTACTTACTTTCCCCTTATTTTCACTTATTGGCGAAACTATCACTGTGTTAGATATTTTTACTAGGACACACAGTGACAGTCACTGCCACATCAGAAATAGCAACATTACCACTAGGACTAGATCTAGAGCAAGAACTTCTCGACATACTGGATTCCAACGTGTAGTTGTGCCTCTTCTAATGCTCTATCCGGAGGAGCCCTCGCTGTAGCTGAGCAGCAAGCTTGGTCCGTGTCCTCCGTTTCGCGGTCAATTAAGTTGAGTGCGAACACTGCCTCCGCGACGGTTACGATGCAGATAGAGAATGTCGGAAAAGTTCCTCTGGACTCGTTTGCAGTGAGGTGGAGCACAGCGTTTTCCGCGAGAGTGGGACACATTACAGCATCACGGAAAGGAGGCGCGGGTTCTTTCACAGTCGCCATGCAGCCTGGCCTTCCGGATGGAATTAGCGAGATAAAGTACTACCTAGTGATGAACAAGAACAACATATGCAAATAAAACCTACTAGTGTAGTTGTACAAGAGCAGCTTCTTCCATTTCTAGAGAACATTGTTGCTCCATGTTTTTCACTTCCCTCATGTCGGAATCCCAAAAAAATATCCTAGTACCAGGTCTGCAGTTATAAACCTGGATCAGACGGCAGCTAAAGGAGAGAAAATGACCTTGGTTTACACTTTGCACATGGGTTTGCCATACGTACCACTGCCGAAGGAGATCGACTTGTTTCAAGACCAGGTTAGTTTTTTGCTAGTTCTCCTTCTCCTAGCACAACTATCTTCTGAATCTATCTCACAATACTAGCACAGCTATCTAGTTCTTGTCGCTATTCTCCTCGTCCATTTTTTCACGTCAATAAAAACATGAAGCGAAAGCAGCAGCAGCACAAAGAACCTCCTTTATCCCTAAGAACCCTATCTAAGTACATCAAATCATGTTCCCGAATCTAACCTAATCACATTGCAGTGGCTCGTATTTGAGGACTCGCAGTGTGTTCCTAGCCCCTACAATATCGGGAAACAGACTACAGTCGCCGAACTACCAGACAGCGCGGGAGAAGTCGAGAGGTCCTCTTTATTAATTTCTTCAAGCTGACTAGTCATACCGGCAATAGATCACATCACGCTCACGACGCAAGAAAGTCTGAAGTGGTGCTTTCCGCAACCGCAACAAACAAAACCCTTACTACTTTGATGTGCTTACTAGAAGTAGTTCAAAGTCTTCACAACATTCTGAATCTCCATCCTCGTCTCACTCTAATCCTTCCACCATCACCAGCTTCACAGAAGGCGCACAGAGGCAGGGTAAAAAGATTACATGGGATGAGAGCTTTTGCCAAGGAGGCAAGGCAAGTATCACCGACAGCGGAGAGAAAAAGTTACGATTACAACTACGTCTTGATTGGCTTTGGCTATTCCTGTTCCAATGATCAAGTAGTGAAGCACAACTGCTGCACACTGGAAATTTATTTCCAAGGAAGTAGGTCATATTTCCACGAGAAGTCAACATGAAACGACTTAGTTGTGCAGAGCTTCTCGATCATCTTCATCATATTCGATTCTCACGTGATATCCACATGATATCCGTCTAAGATCTATAGTACCTTTTCCGAACAAAATAAAAATCGACGCCCTTGGTCTAAAACTGATATTCGATTTCACACTCACAACAACGGCAACCCCACACCCCAACTTCTCCACAACCCCAAACCCCAACCTCTTCTCCTCAACCTTTCATACCTTCCACTCCGGATCCACTTCGGACATAATGCCCACCAAGCCTATTTCAAGACGGTGAAACGTGAAATTGAGGTTTCGCATTGGGGCAACATTGCTTTCACAGAGGATTACAAGCTACATCATTTAAGGCTTCATCCCTTAATGGTCCATCTTCAGAGAAGACATCCTACGTACTAGGAGAGACGTTCTTCCCGAGGGAAAAAAGGTCCCGGAGTGGTGGTCTTCAAGATGGATTGGGGCGAGCTCTAAACCATGGAGGCGCACAGATGACCGGGTCCTTCTCGCGTGTCAGCTTCACATGGGCAGACTATCGGGATAAAGGTAGACTGCAAAAAAATCTCTCTTCAGATTCAATAAAATCAATATGAATTATTTGAATATCTTCTTCAGAATCTCTTATAAGAAAAACTCCTCCACCTCCCCGCCCACAAGCACAATCACAATAAAGGTATGCAAACTCCTCCGAACCCGGTGGTGACTGGGATGCAAGAGTTGTCGGCTGTATTGCCTAAGACCGCAAGAAACCTGCATTATAGAGATGAAATCGGCAATATTTCGAGTTCCAACGCCCGTCGTGATGATCGAGGCTATGTGCTCGCGCAAATCCGACCACGATATCCCTTACTGGGTGGTTGGAACGCAGACTGGGCTTTCTCATATGATGTGCCGACGAGGAGTGCGCTCAAGGTATAGTAGTAGTAGTAGTGTGCCCATTCGTGGGGTATTAAAGACAGCTTTAATTATGGCAATCAGAATCTACTGAGTTACAGGTTACGACTTTGCCTAATCCATCTTCGGAAGCATCGTAGCGACGTTTTCAAGGGGAAAACAGTCTCAGGATGGACTTGGAGATGGATTAGGGTGAGCTCTAATTAGGGAAGTGATCCCAATCCCAATTAACATATTGTCGGTTTGAACAAAGTAATTCGGAGTCGTGTTGTTTGATCTTTTCTTCTATACTCGGTTTCGAGCAGAGTCGTGGTTGGTGTGACTAAAGCTTGTTCTGTTGTAACTGGACGAGGGACCCAAGTGGTGAAGTTATATCGCAGGAGTGAGAAGTTTATTGAAGAACGGAAACGGCATCATCAAAATCGTGGCATGAAACATAATGGGAAAGCTTGATTAAATGACAGCACTCATATGGCCTTCTACTTGTGAAACTGATTGTCCGGTGGCTCAAGCCCCGTTGAGCATAAAGCTATTAGTTCAGAACACTGGGAACATTGTTCTCCCGGTGTAGAATTTTATCTCCCAATCGAGATAGAACTTCACTCAGATTGATAAACGTGCTCCGCGATCGCTTGCGAAGAGGAAGAATCCAACAGGATACTCCAACTCAACAGTGGTAGCGGAGAGGTGGCTCTGGGCTAAGACCCGTCCTCTCACATGGTTGGACTAACTGAACATTAACAACAAAGACAAACGCCATAGTATTTGATTGGAGTAGAACAAGAGAAGACAACTGACAAAATGTCTGGGTCGGGATCCAGCTCAAGCTGGAATAAGCCAGCTGATCCGGATGTCGACATCACAATGGAGAATAACGGCCAGACAGGCTCGAGTTCGCAACTATCACCGAAGGTACCCAAGTCGCCGAACGGCAGAAGAGCCGACCAAGCGTCCAACGCCAAAAAGCGGAAGTCGAACTCTGGCGACAGTACCCCTGCTGGGAGTGTATCTCCAGGAGGAGAATCGCTATACGGAGCAAATTCCAACGGCGCGACAACTCCAGTACTATCTCCGAGTACAGCGAGTAATAACCCGATCATCAACGATCTAGTAAAAGCGGCTGTCGCGGTAAGTGGAGCTGTTGGAACAGGAGCATTGCAGGCAAACCAAAGCGCAATTGCTGATCCAAACAGATTAGGACGATTAGCACAATTGTGGGCAGCGCAACTTCCGTTTCATGAGAGCCCGACTGTGAGGGCTGCTGTTACTGCGATAACCTCTCCTCCCGGTTTGACTTCTTCTGCAGAAGAAACGCTCAATAGGATCAAGGCCTTAATAAGAGCTGTAGTGACAGTGCAGAAGGCAGTCGGCGAAGCAGGAGCGAGTCTTGAAGTCAAGGTTGCAAGCGGCGAGATACGGGTTGAGTCAATCATCCACGAAATGAGGAGCATGATGGCCAAGGATCTCGAGATGCAGAGCGACACTCTATTCGTTGGAAGATTCGTCGAAAGCGGGATGGTCGAGATGCGTAACAAGCTCGAGCAGCAACAACTAGAGAACCGTCTTCGTCTTGACATGCAGCAAGCTGAGAACCAAAGTACTCGCATCCGTACTGACGCCAATGAAGCCAACAACAACGAGATCAGAAGCTTCTTATCCGAGATTACACAAGAAATTCGGAACATCAAGTCAGAGCAAGGCCGGAAGGAAGACAAGCAGAGAGGCGACATCATGGAAGTAGTAGAGGCGATTAAAAGCTTGCGGCTGGAAAATGAGCAAGCAAAGGAAAACGATGAAGAAAAAATGCGTGCACTAATGGCAGAGGTGGACGAGATCAAAAGAACAAGTAACAGTGCTGCCACTAGCCAGGTGCAGTCGCGGGGTAACAGCAAACCGAAAAATACCCCGGTTCCAGCGGACAAGGACGACGGCAACGATGTCGATGACGAAGAAGTCGCTGACGCTGAAGAGTACAACACTGGAACCAATTCCGGTATGAACGACTCATCCGCCAATGATAGCGACATGAGCGAAATGCCTCCGGCAAGCGAGTACTCCCAGAAAGGAAAGGGTCGCTTCACTCGTGGAAGTGGTGCTTCGAGTCGCGGCGGGCGGCCAGATAGACGTGAAAGAATGAAGCAGAAGAGAGACGAAGTGGAGCAGAAGCGATACGTATGCAAGAAATGCTGAGGCAGGAAAATGTCGGAAGACCAGTGGTGCCAGAAGTGTGCTGGGAGTAGTGGAAAGGAGAAAGAAAAGGGCAGAAAAGCAGAAGAAATGAACGTCTTCTGCCTCGATGATGACATCAAGACATACACCATCAAGGACCAGACCTACGGCCTTGAGGAGAACAGCGAACACGGTGTCATGGGAATGATAGCGAAGCTCGACTTTCCTCTCGAATCACAATACATCAGGCACAACAGGATGTACGATAAGAAGAAAGTAGGAACACTGGATAGAAGAAGCATGAACGACTTCAAAACTTTCCAAGGAAAAGACATCCCAGAATGGATCTCTGACGTCGTAATCTTCGTCGGTGCCAATTGTAGGGCAGCAATGCTTTCGCAGGAAGCAGAGGCAGATCTAGTGCAATGGATAGTAGAGAACCGTCACTCGAAGGCAGAACGCGACAAGATCTTCGTGTGGAAACACTTGGCAAGGGGGGCTTCTGAATCATGGCGGATTCAAAACTACTTCGTGAGCTTGATGAAGGCACTCCCCGAACTATCCACTAGCGTCGGAAGAGCCTTTCGGAACTGGTCACTGCGGAGCTGGAAGATTGACAAAAACGCATCCTTCTATGAGCAAGTTACGATCTTCGAGAACGCTGCGCACGAGGTCAAGTGCGCGTACCTCGAGGCGACTGAAACACATGAGAAGCTGCAGTTGTGGGATGACTTCACTCAGCGCGTGCACATGACAAACGACATTAGAGCAGAGCTGAGGCGAACATACCGGAGCGGCCTGTACTCATGGCAGCAAATCAAGGATCTTGCTATAGAGCTGCACAGACAGAGTGTTCTAGACGGAGTACTCAAGACGGGAGATTCATCATCTTCCAATAACGTGAGGAACAACGATACAAGAGTAGACGTGAATGTTCGTTCTGCTGACCCCAATTTGGTATGTCCCGAAATTGATGCAGCTGACCCAGGGTACTACAAATTTGGCGCTGGAGGCAGCGAGCACAACAAGAACCAAGTTGCGTCAGGGGCTGGATCAAAGTACAGGGCAGGCAACGTCAACTCGAACCATACCAGAGGAGGTGACACACAGTCACAGAATCATGGTAGTCGTGCAGGAACATCGTCTAGTAGTACCCCTGGCAAGTCGGGTGATCGTATTCCATTCGAGGCTGACTATGAAGAGTGCATTAACTGCGGGAGAACAGGACATCGTAGCCGTTTCTGCACACATCCGCCCTACTGCAGAGCTTGTGGAAAAGAAGGACACTCTCTCCGTGAGTGCCCAGTCTACAAGTGGGTCGCAGCGCGCTTTGTAGCTTTCCAACGCACATGGAAGAGTAATCTAAAAGGCAAAGGGAAGAAAGGCGGAGGAAAAAATAAGCGCCGTGTACAGATCCAGGCAAGGGCTGTTGACTTCGACACCAAGGAAGTTCTCACGGAAATGGAAGCCATGGGAGCTGATGAGTACCTGGACGAGGGTGACAACGAAAAGGGAGTAGCCGACGTGAGCAGCATCTTCGTGCACACGGTGGATAGACTGGGAGACATCATAGGAGAAAACGCCAATGCCAGTAGTCCTTCTCAGCACGACTCACCTGACGTCAAGGAGGATTTCTGATTAGCCCCTCTAGTGACAAAGGAAAAACGTTGGTCGTTGGAGGGGAGAAAAATACAAGAGGTAAGACAGTTTCCTCAATTTTCCATCAAGAAGATAACCTTGCACAAGAAATAATACAGTCAGTACAACACGTCAAAGTCTTCGATTTGTATACCGGGGAAGAGCAAGAAAGTAACACACAGAACATAGTGACAGTCAACAACGGGCATCGTCTTGGTAAAAATAGGAACGAAGAGGAAAGGATTAGTAACAGGAGGTGGACGACCTTCAGCTTGTGTTTCGATGGAGACACCGGCTTCACCAGATTCCTCTACGCCGGGAGTCGATACACGAAGGAACTATTACGGGGGCTTGGCGAAATAGGATTCAAAACTGAGATAGAGCCGTTAGCTATCACAGCGCATACAGCGGCCGGGAGCATTCAACTAGAAGGTAGGTGCTTCGTCCCGTTCTGCATGCGTGAGGCTGACAGAGAAGGAGTAGTGGAGCTGTTAGTGGTTGACGACACGAGATGGAGCACTCCTTCTTCTCGCTTGCTTGGGACCCAGATGCAGACCGCCTTGGGCATCAGCTTTGTTAGTAGGAACAAAAGGTCGAGGGTGGTAATCGGAAACTGGAGCAGGCAGAAAGAAGACGAGCGTTTCCGTATCCCTATCTTCGAAGACGTGTGCGTTGAAGCAGTAGATAGGATATGCTCAACCCAAATGCTACATGACGCGAGAGAAAAGGGGTTTGCAGCATGCAGCATAGATCTGTATGCAGAGCCAGCTAACCCCGTTGAAGATGACGTGGATACCCCTGGCGGAGCGTCATCACGGGACACCGCGGGGATGATCAACAGTGGCCCAAGTGGTCAAATTCCCAGTCAGTCGCGTCCTGACCAGGATAAAATACCCGTGGAAGACGTCGACGAAAAACTTCTGAAATATTTGAAGCGGTGGCTTCTAGTTGACCTCGCAGAAGAAGACAGCTCTCTGCTCGGCTATCGGAGAATATTCATAGCCTACGATCACGCGCCATACCTAGACGGAGAAGATAGCAAAGGAATACTGCGGGTGGTGCGCGATCTTGACGAGGTGAGCACAGTACTAGCGGTTGACAAGAATCTTGCTGCTGGCTCCGAAGTACTGACCGGAGTTAGGCGCGAAGCCTCTCCACCCGAGGGAGATGCAGCAAAACGGCGACTCGGGAACGAGGTCGTTGATGGTGACGTGCGGAACCTCCTGGTAGATGTCGTATTCAAGTCGCAAGTAGAGGGGAGCAGCAACCTGTACAAAAGTGGAAGCTTCTGCTGTGTCCCAATAATAGAAAAGAAGACAGGCGACAAGAAGAGGGTAGAACAGCTAGCGCGTCTGAGTCAACAACCCGCTAACATGTTCCGCCAACGAGTCATAACTCACGGACGAGGTGAGAGTGTGCCGCTGCCGTTTCGGTCATCACGGTTGTCCGTATTCGAAGTACCGCGGGAAGTGGGCGAAGAGTTCAAATTTCTGGAGGGCAAGTGTGGATGCGAACTCGCTGGCAACGCACTAGAGATCATCTCCCGTTTTGACAGAATGCCAGCTGTTACTAGGATAGTAGAACAAGTGCGTAACGCGATAGCTGAAGGACCGGATCGACAAGTGATGATAGTCGGGGATCCAGTAAAGTCTGCGGTTGGCGTGGGAGAGATTGTTCAGAGGACTACGAAAAGCACAGGGGCTAAGTCAGTGATGCGTAACCAGATGAGTATGACAGTGGCGAGGCGACTTCGTCGGGTTACGGTTGCTGGCAGAGTAGTCAAGTACGGAGTAACGGAGTGCTCGGCTGAGCAGATCACCGCCGATCGCGAAAACCCAACTGCTCCCAAGGACGTGCGTGACGGACTTAGCAGGCGAGAGATGATTCTGTTTGTAGAACTACAGCGGATAGCGCACAAGGTAGGCTGGATGATCGACAAACAGGGGCTAACTCGTAGTGCTGCCAAACGCTTCAAGCGAGTCTCTGCTAAGGAACTAGAACGAGCTGCTGAGGCATTCGCAATGGTACATCTGCAACGATGCCACCGCTTCGGGGTGCCCAAGCACCGGCGGGCGGGCACGTGGCAGGCGTATAACCCAGCAGCGATTATGCAGTTTGACTCCACCTTTGTAGGACCGCCATACATGCCGAGGCCACACGCTGTAGTGAACTCTATTCGACTAGTGGGACGGCGCTCCTACGGTAAATACCTAGGACCGAAGGAAAAGGCAGAGAGATGGTCACTCGAAGAAGTACGAGATGAGTCGGATGTCAAGGGACACCCTGTTACTGAAGACATCGTAAACTTCCTAGGAGAATTACTACTGTGCGGTAGAGTGGCGCTATTATCGGTGTGTGACCCCGATGCTGTACACGTAGCTTACGCGCTAGCTGTTTTCGTAGCGGCAGCACAGCGCGAGATGGAGATCCCCTCTAGTAACAGTCCACTGGGAAACGCTGCGGCAGAGAGGTTGAGCGGAGTCATGAAGATGCTGCTAGATCGATTCCAGCACCATCCCGTTTTACGCGACTTACCTCTGGAACTGCAAGTGCGCCTCATCCACGCAGTTAGGAACGAAAGACTGGATATGCAGGACGGAGGTGGCGGCTGGGACAACAATTTCGCACAGATAAGCCATGAGGCAGACGCGGTCAGGTTCTATGACGATGAGTCATTGAAGGGGCAGATGGTGCTAACGGGAAAGACACTCGAAGCGGCAAGGCAGTGTTTATCAGAAGTAGTTCTGTCCGATGAATGGCCAGCATTCCTGCGCGAGATCAGGGACAAAGCACTGGAGGGAATGCGGGGCTCAATGCTAGTCCAAGGGGACCCATGCGAGTACCTCGAAAAGCCAGCCGGGGCAATGAAAGGAAAGTGGAATACGGCTACATACTCGCATACCTCTGGTCGAGATGCCGTGCGTGTTATCCCGGCAGGGAGCGTATCAAAGCAAATAGAAGTCAAGCGCGAAAACACGCGACCGCTATGTGATACTGATAGAATGCTGAGCATGCCGCGCTTGTTCGACGTGCAGACAAGCGACATACCGCATCTATTGCAGATTCTTCGCGATGTGAAGGCTGACAGTCAAGTAGTGCGGGTGGTTGGTTCAAACTATGTACTCCAAACCTGCGTTGACTGCGGCGAGCGCAGAGCCGTTGAGCATCAGTCAGTAGTTGGAAGATTCTGCCGATGCTCTGACCTAGCGAATGCGGTGCGCGGTGACATCGGAGATGATGAAGCCATGAATGGCGAAGGCTGGATATATCCCAGGTTCAGGGATAAGGGTCGACCTATCCACACGGCACTGATGCCTGATGAGAAGCCGTACATTGAAGAGCTGGAGGATCGAGGCAACAGAGGTCTAGCATCGCTGGAGGAAGAAGAGCCACTTGTTGAGGAGAAAGCAGTGTCTTTCGCAGAGGAAGTAGAGGTGAGTAGTGCGGAAACTAAGGGATCCAGAGCTGATGCTTCTAACAAGGAAGAGGACTCGCGGCAGTCTGTGCCGAATGGCATCTGGATCAGGAGCCATCATGTCCCACGTACCCATAACTTCGACCCAGATTCGAAAGAGTCGCGGATATGGGTATCGGCCAGAGGATTCGGAGACCGACGAGTGTCGATCAAGTTGTTCTCATCTACCGCTGAAGAGTCTACGCATGAGGATAACTGGCGACTTAGAGGAGCTTGCGCCGATAATTCTGGACGAGGATCGTGGACGGGATACTCTATCTTCTTTCCATCTTCGTTTACACGCGGGGAACGAGACCGATACGTACAGCAGTTCAAGCAGTACTTTGTAGACGTGAATTGCGTCGATATCGAGCTCTCTGAACTGGAAGACGCTACAGAAATCCACTGTGTTCGCATAAGCTCCAACGTCGTAAAAGAAGCAGAACCAAGTGAGGACGAGATTGCAAAGATAGCTGAGGAGAAGAAATATAAGGAGGGTCTAGAGTTGTTCGAGCAATGGAAGGCTACGTGTGAGATCTTCAATGTCTTAGAAGACACAGAGGCAAATCGAGCCACTGCCAACAAGGTAGTCAATCGGTTCCGGCCGATTGCGGCTTCTACTGCAGCTGTGAATGATGGATCTTTCACATGGTTCATGGACGTCGTGGGAGGCGAGAAGAAGTGGCTTCTCGAAGATGTAGCCATGTCCTGGAATCGCTCGTGGAAAATCATAGACCTTAATCGGGCGCCACAGGTTCACGGAGACCGAACATGCACTGGCTTGTATCTGAATCAGGTACGTCCTGGACGTGACTCCTCTGGTTTTGAGTTCAGCACAACTTCTGGAGAGGGAACGATAGGAGCTGTGCGCTTCGAATTCGAGAGCAGAATCCCTCTAGCACCAGAGAACCCTGAGAAACGTTTGCTCCACGCATGCCGCGAAGGGATAACAGCAGCAATGCGGAAGAAGGTGAGGAAGTCGATGAAGATTCCTGATTTGACTCCTGATTACGTCGTCGATGTCATGAAAGCAGTGGAGTGGCTAGAGGCGGGCTACGATAAGGAGCTATCAGGTCTGCTTCTCTCTGTGACGAACGACGGAGGCAAATGTGTGGAGGTGGCTAGTGCTGAGGATGCTTCGGATGCTAATGCTGGCGTGAAACATAATGGTGACGATCTAGGACCTCGCTTTCTTGTTGACTTGAAGAGAGTAGCAACGAACCACTTCATGTTCGTCGAGTTGAAGACAAGATGGGCGCCGAGCGGTGGAATGGAGGACGCGAGTGAGGTGGAACGCAGTGAGAATTCTAGTCCAACCCTGTCCAACATCGATTTTCGCGGGATGCTTTGTGCTGCTTCGTTTATGGTGGAGCCGGAGATCTCGATTTCGGATTTGCCCCGAGCATTTAACCAGAGCGAAAAGCTCGCGTTGGCAGAACGACCTAGGACGCATGTGACCATGATCAAGCATGCCGGCGCACGCGAGGCCCTGACGCGGGTGTTCAGGCGGGTCGGAGATAGAATGAATTTGGCAGTAAGGATGAACTTCTCTACCAGATTTTTTCTGAACGTGCCACAGTACGGCCTGCTCGCAGGGGCTTCCAAGTTCGTCAAAACAGTGCGTGACCGGTTTCCCCAAGAGGGGACGCACGCCCACGCGCTGGCCAAGTGCGTGTTTCGAGTGTTTCACGACGGACGACTAGTGGCTATGTTAGGCGAGCATGTAGATGACTTCTTAGCAGTGTGTGAGAAGGGGTGGACAGAAGAAATCTACAAGCGGATGGGGCGGCTGTTTAACATCGACAGTTATTCGGTGTTGGAGCCAGGAAAGGTGGAGAAGTTCACTGGTAAGGAGCTGATGACTGAGGATCTTCCGGAAGGACGTAGCGTGTACGTTTTCAACGAGGAGAAGATAAAAGCCCTGGAAGCGTTCACTACGGTGGAGCAGAAAACGGGAGTCAAGGAGCTGGACCAGCAGCGAGTGCTACAGAGGAGTGAGATTTCCGAGATCAAGGGCGTTAGAGGAGCAGTGGGCTTTCTGCAGCAATGGACAAGGCCGGACGTGTCGTACCTCCATAAGATTCTGAGCTGGGGATCAGACGAAAAGCGAACTGTCGAGTACGCCCTCAGGTACAACATGATCGTCCGGCACTTGCAGAAGACGCCAAAACAGGGAATACGCTACTGGACGGACTTGGGAGAGGACCTGGCTCTGTTGTCTCTCACTGACGCTAGCTACCAGAGCCGTCCACATAAGAAGGCATCCAGTGATGGGGCTGCAAAAAACAAAGGAGCAGCAATGGTGGTGGATAACGGGAGCCCCGAGCTCCTAGAGCAAGTTGCGGAGAACATGCTACCGCTGACGACACACATGCTACTAGTAGCTTCTCGGTCTGAACTCAAGGATGCGGCAAGGGACAAAAAGCCTTTTCGCGTCAACCTGCTCGATTGGTCCCTGAAAGCCGGCGACGCGCCCTACGGGAGCAGTTACGGTGGCGAGGTCGATGGGTATGAGAAAGGGGCTAGTAAAACAGAAGTTATCAGGGAGTAACTAATGGCTATTGTAAGGGGGGAGACCAAGGAGGAAGAGAAGATCCGTAGCTATGTCTTTGGTAAAGAAGAGCAAGAAGAATCTAGAACCGTTTTTGAAGTGTTTGATCTGTTAGATAACAACGGAGTTATTGAAAGACTGCTGTCACGGGAAATCGGTCACGAGAGCAACATCTGGCTCTTTAGGGCGTTGAACAAAGCAAGACTGATTTATAAGGTATTTCCCCGGACATTGGTGCACATCTCTGACAGGATGAACGTGTCAGATGTCCTGGGTAAGTTTTACGCGACCACAAACAGAAAGATGAACCGCTTCCATGAGTTGATGGACGGGTGGTTCTATTGGTATGATAGTGGTGATGGTAAATCTTCTTTAGATCACAATCTTGGACAGATTCGACGTTTGAAAAGTGATTTATGATTGTTGAGCCCAATTGCGAATAGCAACTCCGATGGAAATGGAGTCAGTTGGTGATCTAGAGAATTGTTGTTGATGTTTCGGTTGGTTTGATCGTGACACGTTTGTACAGTTAAGGAAGTGAAGAGATTATGATGAGTAAGTAAAGAAAGGAAGTAGGATGAGTAGAACAAGACTACGCTTTCATACAAATCAACTTTTTGCAGGGTGAGTTGCTGGACACATAGGCGAAGGAAATAGTTATACATAGCATAGACAAGGCTGAAGTTAGAAGAGAAGAAAGGCATCGCAGTCAATTTTTGATTCTTTTTTATTTTGTGTCCCACACATGTGATGACATATAGATGAGGCTTAGAGTGTTGTTAGTAGTGGTAGCGTCTATGATTTACTCGTGTTAGCGTGCAGCTTCATAAATTTCCATAGAATAACATCCGAAAATGGATCGTGCACGTGAGATCGCGAGGCGGCTTGACCTCGAATGGTACTGGGAGTTACAGGAACACATGCCCACTCTTACGGTGCAAACAGAGGTATATGTAGAGCATCTATTAAGGGTGAGTATGGAAGTAAGAGGGGGCCTTCCGGAACCTTTCGAGTCAATGTGGAGCGGTAATGAGATATGCGATTACCTTCATAGGCATACTTTCCATTGGCGTAGAAGTGTTTATGTGTTGGATCTGGTGACAGTTGTTTTGGTGAAGCTGATTGAGGAAGGTCGTGTGTCAAGCTATTACCAGATAGATAGAAGGATAGTAGATGGTGATGATGCCAAACTGTGGGATAACTGGTTTTGGATTCCCAGGTGGAAGCATCGCCCCTCGGGTAGTGTTCCCCTGTGCTCGAAGCAAGATAAGTATGACAAGATGGCTCTGTTGAGTAAGAAAATAGATTGCGCAAGGAGTAATACGCTTTGTTTCTGTAATTTCCACTCTCCTTAATCCTCGGATTTAAACAAAGACAGTATGTGGTGTAGGAATATAAGTAGTAAATGGGATTTGCTATACGAAGCTGTATATGCCACTATGGGATAGTGTTGATGCTCGTGATGGCCGGGGGTCACACGGAGCTAGTGTATTGTTACGATAGAGGACGAATGGTGACGGGGTTACCTTGGTCAGCACCGGGGCGGCGGTTGTTTGCTAATAGTGAAGATCCATCTGCGAATGTTCATACGGGAGTCAGGTAAACTGATAGTACAAGTCTGTGCGGGCAGCGATGGTCATTATTATTGATTTTATTATCTTTGGATTTTCCAGTCGTTAAAGTTGGTATAGCGTTTTTCTAATAAGGAAGAAGACTCCTCAGTTCGCCAAACTGATGAGGGGATTGTTAGAATGTAGTTCGGAACTAACAACGCTGAGAGCATGTGAAGTTAGTTCTTTTGTTGTGTGAGTTGATAATGCGTTATGACCCTACAGGCAGTGGTGTGGTTATTAGTGTTCACTTACTAAGATATAGAAGAAAGCTTTTAAGTAGGGGGGTATGTCGGTTTGAACAAAGTAATTCGGAGTCGTGTTGTTTGATCTTTTCTTCTACTATACTCGGTTTCGAGCAGAGTCGTGGTTGGTGTGACTAAAGCTTGTTTTGTTGTAAGTGGACGAGGGACCCAAGTGGTGAAGTTATATCGCAGGAGTGAGAAGTTTATTGAAGAACGGAAGCGGCATCATCAAAATCGTGGCATGAAACATAATGGGAAAGCTTGATTAAATGACAACACTCATATGACCTTCTACTTGTGAAACTGATTGTCCGGTGGCTCAAGCCCCGTTGAGCATAAAGCTATTAGTTCAGAACACTGGGAACATTGTTCTCCCGGTGTAGAATTTTATCTCCCAATCGAGATAGAACTTCACTCAGATTGATAAACGTGTTCCGCGATCGCTTGCGAAGCGGAAGAATCCAACAGGATACTCCAATTCAACAATATTGATATTTTTTTATACGTACTTATAATATCATTCTTGTGAAACAATGTAGATGTACTTGTACAACCTTCATCAGCAACCACAGCATTCTGCATTGTCGAGTTTCACCCCAACACAGGTCGATCCTCTGGATCCTTCTCTGCACGTGTTGAATATCATGTCACCCCAACACAGGTCGATCCTCTGGATCCTTCTCTGCACGTGTTGAATATCACGATGTCGCCACCGATTGTGCGGACATTTTCCCAGAAACTAATCGTAGAAGTGTTATTGCCGGAAGGAGCTTACGTTATGGCGGAGGTCACTACATGATAACTTCTACAGAAGTCGTAGAAAGGGACACGCTGATGCAACTAAATAACTTATACCCCGTGAGTGGGTACATCTACCTATATCTATCTATCGTCGTTGTTTCAATATCATAAAAGTCGAGTAGATAGTTACATCTTTATTCACTTCCTCCCTTCGTAGTTGAGATACGATCTTTTGTCTCACTACATGATAACTTCTATATCGTCACCCGCTTTGTTTCTCCATTGACATATTTTATTCGACTCTTGTTCTCCAGTATGCTGGTAGAAGTGAAGGCTCTTCTCCAGTATCAATATCATAAACTTAAACGTCGAGGTGGATATTGTTGATACTCTTTTTCTTCGGCAGAATGTATACTCTTTTTCTTCGGAAGAATGTAATCAATGTTCTGTTTGTTTGAAAAGATATCAAGTTCTTTGGTATTCCTAGGTCCACCCCATCATCGTCAATCAATGTATGCTGGTAGACGTGAAGGCTCTTCTCCCGTATGGTAGAGCAACAACATGTCAATAATTTTTCTGGTGTCGATCCTGAAGGAAAAGGATCATTGAATACGTAGAATATCATGAATTTCGAATGATCTCCACGATCCTCTAATCACGACATTGAGCTGAGGTTGCCAAAAACAGCAGACGCTACGTGGAACGGGACCAGAAATTCTTGGCTGGACTTTGCTGGTGGGAGACGACTGGTTGGCTATTCCATCGACAACTTCTTCGTGCCTGAGAAGAGTATCCTGAACTACAAATTTCAAGTCCTGTACCGCTTCCACACCGTGACAATGGTCTACGAACCGGTCATCCTCAGCGTTTTCCTCTTCATCGCGCTGCTGACGTACATCTTTATGGGTGGATGGTTTTGCATTTGCTCCAGTAGTACTACTCTCTGACTGTAGCTGCACTAAGTACTTGATGTATTAAACTTGCACTACTTGTAATTATATATATATATAATTAGAACCGCCCGCGTTTACGACCGCGGAATTGCTTGCAATTGCTAGTTGTAACTAATGTCCACTTCTTGTAATAGAATTGACGTAGTTTATCCGAATTCTGTGCTACTTGTAATGTGCGTCCCCTTGAGGGCCTTGTGTGATTATGACTGATTCTTTTCGGCAAGGCGCCTTTTTCCTCTCACCCATCTTCATCTCCCTCTACGGCCGACTAGAGCTGAGAATAGTAAAAAAAGGAGAAGCCGCCCTTCTGGATACTGCTGAATATGACACCAGTCTCATTCGCAGGGCTATGGAGACCTTCGATTTGCTGACATCATTAAGGCTGCTGCAAATGCATCCTCAACTAGCGTAAATACTAAGTAACAGGAACTATTTGAATTCGTATTTTCCTCAACGACTCTTTGTATTTTCCTTGGTGTAAATACTAAGTAACAAGAACTATTTGAATTCGTATTTTCCTCAACGACTCTTTGTATTTTCCTTGGTGTAAATAGTAAGTAACAAGAACTATCTAAATATTTGAATTTGTATTTCCCTCAGCAACTATTTCTTGTATTTTGCTTGGTGTAAATAGTAAGTAAGGCCAGGAATCATGCTCACGAGAATGCGAAGCTGGTAGCTCTAACATGAGAGTTCGACTCCACTCTAGCACGCGCAGATAAGCAAGCAAAGGTGCCTGTGAAACAAAAGTGGCAGCCTTACATTGCCCAGCAAAGGGAGAAATTTATGGAAGATGAGGCTTTTTGTTCAGCCTGAATGGTCTCAGAGATGAATATAAGAAGTGAGTATTTTGTTGAGGAGTCAGCACTACGAGTGGAATTAGTTGTAGCAGTATCTCGTTTCTAATTGCAACACTGGTATATGTCAGTCATTGGAAGAAACGTTGGCAGCTCACTCTGCGTCGGAGACCGATCCGAGACTTGGAAAATTGAAGACCACGTTGCAGAACTATATGGACGCTCAGGAACAGCAAATCGAAGTCCGATCCACGACGTCAATGTCACCAGAAGACTCTTCGAGTATTAAGGGTCATGTTCTTTCCATTTCGTTCTTAAGTATAAGTATTTTTTATTTGGTAAACGTAAAGGGGTTAAGTATAAGTATTTTTTATTTGGTAAACAAGATCGTTAAATCAATGCCTTACACTCTTTGGCTTTAAAGTTATTTGGTAAACAAGGGCGTCTTTCATTACTACAAGCTTAGTTTTGAGTTATTGTTAACAAAGTTACCTCCAATAGAGCAAGCTGCTATTTGGTAAAGCAAAACCGAACAACCGAAGAACTGAAAGATAGAAATTATATTAGAAACATACGGGCGACAAGGACAACCTGAAATCTTCAATGCTGATATTATTTAAAAGCAAGCTCCTAGTACGTGGGACATGATAGAAAGTAAACTATTGTTCTCCATCCTGATCCTCATCCCCGAGCCCGACCCCAACCACCCACTTTCATGGCACGCAAGAGCAGCAAGTCCTCCGATGCGAAGGTCGTGTTGGAGCATGCCCAAAGGTGTGCAGATTTGGAAGTGAATATTGCGTTATTACTTCGTGCTCTTGTAGGACAGGATGATAGGGAGAAAGCTTGGTTGCAGCCTGTGCTTTGAATGCGCTATTTTGCGGAGAAAAAGGCGAACATGGCGTCACCGAACGCAAATGAGTTCTGTTCGAAAAGTGGACTAGTAAATACACGTCAGCTTCAGTCGTAGCTACAAGATTAACAAGATTCTTAGAACACCCTAAAATTATTGATGCGGATGCTTACCAGCGGATCTGAGGTAGAAGTTGTGTCTGTAATTGTTCGATACTTGATGAATACTTGCTGAAGACCGTCCGATATCCAACGAAAATGTTTTTTTTTTTGTATCCCCATCTTTATATTAATAAAGCTATATGAAAAATGAACGTACAACTACCCGTCGTCGTCACGCGCTTGATTTTGCCCAGCCACTTGTTGAAATATCAAATCTCCCTAAAAGAATCGAACTGTTCAATGAGTAAATAAAGATCAAGAAAGCAAATGTGTTGAGTTTCGAGCACAACTCTAGACCAGCATTGAAGACCCTTTCCCTGTACAAATTGGGTTCTGAAAAGAACGAGAGAAAACCGTCGTGTGCTATTGTTTAACAACGGAGGCCTCCTCGAGCAATCTGACGACGTCCTCCAAAACGTGTCATCATCTGTGAATCCGAGAAACGGCTCACGAGAGTGGTCGACAATGCGTAACATACAAATCTGTTGTTGACACCTTTCAATTAGCAAGCCCTGTGATGATGAGTATGGTTGCTGCTATCTTGGGTCGTATACGGTTAACTGAGAGCGATCGAGTGTAGTTCTCATCTGTGACGATGACACTCTGATCGTCGGATATATGAGGCATGGGCTGTTAATCTTAGCCGACCGGGTCTGATGGCAATTAAGTACTTGATGATTTGAATCTATTCGGCAATTAAGTACTTATTTGGTCCTAATGTTATCATGGTCTAATTCCTCCCAGTTCTTCATCATTTGGCAACTGTATGTGTTCAGGAAGGAGATCTATTGTAATTGTACCAGAATCACCAGCAAGATCTTCGCAATTCGCAATTCGCATACCCATACGCCATACTATTATATATAATCACAAGATTTATGTCGTGATTCTCGAAAATAAGTTAGATTTCTTCCTTGTTTCATTAGAATTAGTTACTGATTCCTTGTTTTTATCAACGTTGATCTGGTCGTCTAGTCGTACTTAGACTTTGAGCCGATTCAGAGTTCTTTGACTGATAAACTCATTCTTGAGATTCATTGAGTATCATAATTTTCTATTCTTACTTTCATCGACGTACTACTGATAGTAATATTAGATTTGTCGTGATCACCAAACCCAAAGGGTTTGGTCTCTTCTCAAGTATAGACGTACTAAAGAATCATTGAGACGTATGAAAGTCGCGGAACTCTCTTTTTAGGCATTCAAGTAGCTGTAATATGCTAGTAGTTTCATAATTAGTTCCCATATTGAAAAAGTTATTGTTATATCGCTAATTTCTTGATGGAGAGCGTGAAGTGTAATTCTATGCGTCTGTCGTGTAGTTTGTGAAGCGCAATAGAGAGACTCGTCTCGATCCGTCCTACCTCTTCGTCGTGTTGCTTGTTTCCAAATTTTTGTCCCCTTCGTTTAGTCGTTATCTTCGCCCGAGGATACAGGTCAAACTGTGGACGGCGACCGAACTCCTATCCTATCCTATCCTATCTTCGGTTTGGGTGCTATTTTTCTGAGTCAATTACCACCAGAATTCTCTCAGTCAGAAGTTTTCGCATTGGCGACGAGTCGTTTATCGGATCAAATTTGAAACAATCTATCATAAAGAAAAGTTGATGCACAGAAATAGGTCTAGGTTTTGAATGAAAACAACCTAAAAACGCACAAAGAAAATCGTAGTTTTTATTCCTGTTCGCCGTAGTAGCAAGGACCGCAAGAAAATAGTAGCAAGGACCAAATTGCAGTTGAACAAGGACCTTAAAAGAAATGGCTATCGATATGCGGCGTCAGGAGATGGAAATGAGCACACATTCGGAATGTTGTGAAGCGAATTCCACTTCGAAGTGTACTACTACACCGATAACAAGAACTGCGGTGAAAGGACGAACGCGTCATCAACTTCTACACGGAGATTCCTCGTCGAAGAACACGTCGCTTCCTCCAGGCTCCGGAATTACTAGTGTGGGAGGCAGTACTTCTTCAAGTGGACCAGGAGCAGGTGGCTTGCCCAGTACAACTTGTTTATCTTCTTCAACCGGCTACAGCGATAAATTTGAGAGCAGAAAAAACTGTGTGACAGCGCAGCAGTTACAGTTCTCACCAATGGGTTCAATACGCCAGGCATCATCTATGTCCTCCGCTGAAAGAGATTACAATTTCAGCATTTGGGAAAACAATCGAGACAGCGTCACGAACAAGATGACGAGCAATAAACGAAACACAGAAGACGCTCTGGTAGCGTCTCCCTCTCTCCTTCGAGACGCTAAAGGACTAGAATCTCCCCTTCTTGACACGACCCCATCTCGCTCTTTTGCCTCCGAAATTTTGTCCTCCGATGATAAACGAAAAAACGCCATCGTGCTGTCTTACCTCGCGTTCCAGACAATTTCCATCGGCGCTCCGCAGTACGGGTTCATTTCTGCATTGGGAAAACTATCCTTGCCTCCGACAGAAGCTGATGCAGCAGCGAGTGCGATCCCCACGTACACAGAAACGGCGTTCTTGATAATGCTGCGTTCCAGTCAATTAGGCGCATTTCCTGTCGCTACCCTGGTTGACCGAGTCGGTGGCAAAATTGGCACGCTGATAGCGACGTTGTTGTTCGCGATTGGTACTCTATACTCTATTGTATTGAAAATGATAATAAGTAAAAATTCTGGGTTCTTGATGTTGATGCACTAGCCGGTCTTGATCATGCAATGCATTCTTTGTTTTTTACTTAGATGAAGTTCAATTTGATAACTCGTGCAGCCTTTGTAGAAGATAGCAACGGCGGAGTTGTCATGCTGCTAAAGAACGCCTCTTGTACGGATGACCTGACACATGAGTAAAAACTCGATGATTGACTTCTGACGCACAATCACGTCAATCTATCAAGTGATTGATGTAGAAGCTTAAAGAACGCCGGTGCAGGTGACCTGACAGATAAGTAGAGACTCAACAACAACATTTCCTTCTCTGATTTATCAAAATTCTGCGCTTGAATCTTCGCCATTTCAGGTGGAATTTCCTTGGCCGTGGCTGTGCATTCCGCTGGGCTTCTTTGGGCAGATTCACCGGATCCGGGGATGCAAATGCACCTTGTTGTCGCTGGCGTCTCTTACGGCCTTGCTGCGACGTTTCAAATTGTCAGTGTGATGCTCACCCTACGCACTGTTTTTCCCGCTGTCTCTTCCGATTTCAGTGTGACCCTGATGAACGGCTGCTACGACTCTTCTTCGTTTATGTTCACTCTTGTAGGGCTGCTGTCAACTCTTGGCGGAGAAGTAGCAGCAAGTGCTTCATCTTCTACTAGTACGACTAGCGTCGAACAGGATACTGGAGGCACCAGCGATCATATACGACCTACACATGCCGCTGGAGACACTTTTCCAGACGGAACATCAAACCTGTTGAAGCAGGAGCATGCAGACAGATTTGCGTTAGCGCTGGTAGCCTACGCAGCGTTCGGATTGCTGCATTTTGTTTTCGTCTTCTTCTTTTATCCCGATCGTTTAGTCCCATCGACATCAGACGCGACAGCCGAGGAAGACGCTGCTGTTGTTGTCAAGGAAACGACCAGAATGAAGACCCCAGATGTTCATGTTCATCCTCACATGGAGGTGCCCACAATCAAGATCACGACTACAGCTTCTCCCGATCGTCAACATTGCAAAGAAGTCCACCCTCTTCTCCCACCTGTTGATTTGTCTATTCCTCTACTCGGAGGAGATATCAGCAAAGCCGCCTCCGACTTCTTTTATTCCGCTCCACCAATGGCTGAGAGGGCCGGTGAGGAGGACGTTGCCTTGGATGAGATTAGACTACATTGCAAAGAAGATTTGGATGGAGTGAACGTCCAACCTAGTCCTACAACTAGCAACCCCAAGGCAGATTCTCATAGTCATACTAGGAGTTCCTTCTGGCGCATGCTGCGCAGACCGCGATACCTATTCTCGATCCTGTGGTTTGCGGCTCAATTCCAAAATTTCACTGGGTATTTGACGCAGATGCCGGACATCTTGGATCCCTATACTCTCGAATTGAGCGGCTGGCTTTATCCCGTGAGTCTGCTAACCGCACTTTTGATGGGAACGATCTTCAACAAGTTGCAGAATCCTGGCTACGTTGTCGCCATAGCAACCGTCTTAGGCATCGCTTTTCAGCTGACAGTGCTCGCCTTGTCCTCACCCGATCCTCCGGCAACATCTACAAGGACTACAACAGAAACTACTCTAGGCGGGGCTCTATCGCAGTCCCTGATTTCGTTCATTCGCGAACGGCAAGTCGGGATCCTCTTTCTGCTACCCCTGTATCGAAGTGGCCTTTTCAGTGCGATGTGGATTTATTGGCCAGTGGCGTTCCCTACTGAGTGTCATCACCTCGGATCCATGTACGGGTTTGCATCCCTCTTCGCTTTCCTCTTCAGTAGCTTTCTGATCGCATTCGTGCTGCCATCTACCAGCGATTCCGCTTCAGGCGACTACGACCCAGCACTAGGCGAATATGCGAACTTGTTGTGGGTGGCGCTCTACGGGACCATCAGTGTTTCTTACACACTCTACCTGCTCGTACCGAGAAGGGGATGGACGATCATTGACGATGCTAACTGAAGATTTTTTGGGCATCCCCCATGGGAGACTGCTCCTAAGAATTGTCTGGTATTTCGACTAGTATCACCACAAGCACAATAAATTAAATAGAAATTGAAATTAAATATAAGGGGCGTTTATTGCTCACCAATATGATGCCGTCCTACGTGCTGAAGATCGCCACGATTCTAGCAAACTGATCTTATCTTTGTAACTCTCTTAGTGTAATATACTTAGATAAGATGACGCACACCTTCTATTCTTGAAGAAGGCTCATCTAGTAGGATCCGCAGCCAGCGCTAGTCAGCCTACGAATTTTGAACTCTTTGAAATAGATGAAATCTGGTATGTCAATCTTACCTGTCAATCATGTTACCTGTCAATCATGTTACCTGTTAATCATGTTACCCGTTAATCATGTTACCTGTCAATCATGTTAGTGTTACCTGTCAATCATGTTACCTGTCAATCATGTTACTTATCAATACTAATTTGCGCTCTTTTTCAACGAGAAAAGTTCAGCAATGGGTTCCGAAACCGCAACCCGTTCATTGCCATGAACAACCAAAACTAGGAAGCAAGTTGGGATTCATTTCGTCCCGATGATGAACCAAAACTAGGAAGCACCCAAAAACTAGGAAGCACCCAGTAGACTTAAACTCCTATGTAAATACTTATCTTCGATCCTACTTAGCGATGTACGAGTAATCCGTAGCTCCTAAACAGTGCAGAAAAGGATTTCGTTGATACAAATATATAAGTATCAATTATATGTTTAAATGCTGAGCTACGAAAATCAATCCTGACATTTAACTTCGCGGAACTTCGATTGTTGAGGAGCCGATTTGGAAATAAGAACGAGTTGAGCAGCACTTTGAAAGAGAGGAGAAATAGCTGTATGAATTAGAGGTAAGAAATAGCTGATGCATGTGTGAATGAATGAAATGACCACGCGCGCCGAATGGACATGAATTATAACCACAAGCAAAAGCATGCATCCTATCCTATGAAGATATCACGAGACCCCCAGCCTCACCCTCTAGGTGAACTGAGTACTATTTGTTGATCATGATGAATTATTACTGTTTATTTTTTTGCTAACTAATGTACTACGCTTTTTTTTTGCAATAAAGGCATCAAGCGTATGTTATTGTGATTGAAATGCTTTCAAGATGAAGACGTTGACCGGATGAAACTCGTAGAAAGAAGTAGATTGTGGAGCCTACCGCAGCAGCTTACCAATCGATTTCGTGCACATTATTTTCCGTATTCATTGCACTAGAAGTTCGTTGATGTCCATAATAAATGAACGTAAATGTGATTAGAATTTTCGGGAAATTAAAGTCACTTGCACTCTGAACCTTGAACTCGAACTCTGAACCGCTTTCTGGGCACATCAATGCCAACGCTTTCCCTAGGAAACTACAACTAGTAATCAAAAATAAACGACCCACGCTGAAGCTGATGATTAAGAGCTGCTACTAACTTCTAGAAGTTGTAGGATAAAACTCATGACTAAGTAGAAGGTGCCGGATGTACTTGTAGTACCCCTCGTGTTTTCCTCCGCTTGCATTTTTTTTGATGACACAAGTCGGCTTTCCAATAGATCCCCGTCTCCGTCTTTTCTTAATACAGTCAACAAAAAAAATTTTCTGTTTCGTGTAATGAATCTGAAGAAAAAGCGCGGCTTTAAATAGTGAACGGTATCTATACCCGAAGAATTTCAGATCTCTAAGAAGAAAAAAATGCTGAGAACTGTTGGCTTCTACTCCTACAATATCAGAGTATACGTGTGGAAGCTCTCTATCCGGATTAAAAACCGACTAAGAAAATATATATTCATGCAATAGTAAACGCGATTAGCGGGCTCCTAACTAATATGAACACAGTCAGGCACTCAAAGCCGAAAATGTGGAGTGTCGGGGTTGGTTTTATTTTCTGACGAATCGCAACACCCTGCAGGGAAACAGAAAGAAGAAAATGCTTGCTGGAATGTAGTGGGTTTCCCGTGCAGTAACGACCATCTTCAGGGCCTTTCTCAAAGAACCACCACGAGGCTGAGAAGATCCGAACTGCGCCAAGTTGGATCTCTATGGGGAATTCGCCCCGAAATGTCTTAACTCCACATTTTATCTATTTTGAGCTGAGGAATGTCGTAAGAGATTATAATACAACTCATTCTCAATAGAATAAATATGTACATAAAAACAGCTCAAGAACTTCTGGTCATTGATGAATCTAGATTGATGAATGAACAAGAAAAAGAAAAGGAAAACCCCTCGCCCCGTTGTCTATTGACTACTAATCAATGCAGATATTATTTATTTAAGAGAGCTTCTTGGCGAGCCCTTCCTCTTCCTCGAATAACGGATTTTTATTACTGAAACAAAAGGACCGCCCAAGAAGATAAAGTAGATGTAGATGACATTTTGTTTTTATGAAAGACGTTCAGCATCAGCTTTAGCTACTTGGCTTAGGCGAAGATGTGTTCGAGAACGAATGATCGTTCGTGAACTGCTGCGTGACGTTCGTCAACTGCTGCTAGACAGGTCGGTCCTCGCGTGCAGCTCAAGCACAGCTCGGTCTAGTGAAGTAGATTCTTTTTCGGCGTTTTCATAGTCGTGAACCCTCACCTCTCCGAGGCGAGCCAAGTCCTATGCTATCCTATCCTATCCTCGGATCTTGACTATCTGTCATCTACCGCAGGTGGGACGAAGGACCATGTAGTTGTAGATGCACTGCTCGGTCAATTAACTCGTTTTTGCCATCGTTATCGTGTATCGTTATCGTCGGGTGAATGCTGTGCTACTACTGCATACTAGAGCGGCCAACAAAAAGGAGTGTCAGTGTTTTACTCTGCATATCGTGTAAATGAATACGGAGCAGGGTGGAGAAGCTTAGGTCGATTCAAAAGTGCATGAGCGTGGGATTTCCCCATATACAAATCTGGTAAGTGACATCCATATAATGTCTCCGGCAAAGTAAAAGATTTGGACCCTTTTTGGCCCTCCTTTTTTCCCTCGAAGATATATTGTTAGTTTGATATTTTTTCGCGAGTAAGAGCGAGAGCCAACGAGAAGTCTTCTATTTTTTTCCTCTTCATCCATGATAAATGCGTCTGCGAGTTTTACGAGAGTCTATCAATCTTATAGTACAACCCGCACCTTGGCTTGGTTTTTTGTGGTTCTTTACGTTCAATACATCCACATCCTGTAACTGTTCTTTGTTTGAGATATCCAACATTTTTCTCAACATTTTTCTGGTTCAAAAATCGTAACTCGTTCGCTATTTATTTTTGTGGTCATTCTCTCAGTCTCAGATAGTTTAAAATTGAATCCTTCGCAAGTATAGCTTACAACTGTGAGAATCAATGCAAGATCATGAAGTAAAACAAGTTCACCATGAATCGAAATTTCGTCTCACCAAATGGATCCCACCACAACTCTAGGCTAGTTGTACTTATAAATCGGGTAAGTAACGACCAAGAATCAAGAAGGTCCGACAGTTGGGTAGCTTGAGTTACTACTTGCTTTACTAGTACAATGGTAATTGCCCCCTTTGAACTTGAAGACCTGAAGATCAACATGCGAAAAATAATAGAGCAAATGGTCTAGTTGTAGGAAGAGATCTTCAGGATGTGGATCATTGCACTCAGCATATTTTGATGTTGACGAGCTCGATAAAATTGAAAATGTCATCAACAGACCTTTATGGTGGTATGACTAAGACAAGAACTATGTCTAGCTAATGTGATGATGTTACCTCATCGCAGCAACGCTCTTAAAAAGCAGCACTTTCTCACGAATACAAATCTACTACTTGTTGTATCAAAACTACAAGAAGAAACTATTACTAGTTAGTACTACTAGTGACACGGCCGTGAAAGCTCTTGTTAGGAGCCGCCGAAGTCGACCATTGAATTGAATTGACTAGTAGCATTTTTCCATCATCAGTTCTTGGCTCATCCTTCGCGTTCGCTCGTACCGGTTCAACCGCCTGCCAGCGATTATCCAAAGTGGCGGACAGGCCTGCTTTTGCCCTCGTCGCGCAGCATGAGCAGCCAGAAAGTCAAAGGTACTGGTGATTTTATTCTCACTTCTGAGGATTGTTGAGGATTGGTCACCACCATACCAGGTAATTCTCGTCGCTCTGACGACACCTCCGATTACAAGCCAGCAAACCTCCACGACCCATTTACCTCTCTCTCTCTCTCTCTCTTTGTAGTGTATTTAAATCATCGTATGAAGATGCTTTCCCATCCTGTTTTTCTTTTTCAACACAGTTTTTCAACACAAAATTTAGAGTCAGGACGTTGACAGAGACACTTTTGTACTCTAGTGCAGATATGACTGAACTCCTGAACTAGTACTGATATGAACCCGGAAAGTTTCTACTTCTAGCATGCTCAATATCACGACTTTTTGACTGTGTTCAGCTTGAAACTACGAGACTCGAGATCGCAAGCAAAAGGGGTAGGAGATATCTTTTAACTTTGGGGCATTCGGCATGTTCCTTTAGCAAGTCAGCAAATTGAATAAACAGTAAACAAATTACCTTGATGTCCCTGTCGTGTTATAATAACGTCTCGAATTGTTCCGAATATGAAGCAAATCTGATACTGATACATCAGAAGCGGGATTTTAGTAGTTGTAGTAGCTGTAGATATGATAATTACCAAGAAATCGAGTATTGACATAATGGCCCTTTCATTCCGCAGCAGCACTCTGGAGCAAGCATAGTTCTTCTCTTTTGATGTTGTTAGTAGACAACACAACCTCAAGCTCAACCACAAGAGCAAGATCTCTAGCAGATTCTACCTAGAGTCTTCTACTTGTACACCCTGTATCTTCTACAACTTCCTACACATCGATCTTGTTGCTACGTGTCTTCTCAAAGTGACGGGATGGGGACTATGCCACCGCAATATCATCCAGGCGGCCCACCGCCACCATTTACGGGTCCCCCAGGAGGCTTTCAACATGGAGGTGGTATGGGAGCACAACATGGAGGAGCTCCGGGTATGGCCATGGGTCCTATGCCGCCACAAGGAGGTCCGGTGAATATGATGCCGCAACATCAAGGGGCACCAGGTACTATGCATCCAATGCCCCCGGGTCAACATCTTCATCCAGCTATGGGCATGCCTCCTCAACATCATCCAGCTATGGGCGGTCAACATCCGGGTCAACATATGGGAATGGGTCCGCCACCACAACATCCTATGGGGGGAATCCGAATGCCTCCGAACAATGGCCCACCACCCATGATGATGCAACAACATCAGATGCAACAACAGATGCCAGGAGGACAAGGAGCAGCACCTCCGGGACCTCCAGGAATGATGATGCAGCAACCTGGAATGATGATGCAGCAACCTCCACCGCCATCTACTATGGGCGGTCCGCCTCCTCCGATGCAGCAGTTTCATCCAGGTAATAATATCCATCCTAATGGAGCGCCACCAGGAGGACCTCCGCCTTTTCAACCAGGACCTCCCTTTCCACAACATCCGGGAGGAGCACCACCATTTCAGCCGGGAGGACCACCGCCTCCACATATGGGAGGACCGCCGTTTCAGCAACAGCCGTTTCAGCAACATCCACCTGGTATAGGTACTATGCCTCCTTATCATGGTGCACCGGGACCACCACACGGAGGAAGTCATCCACCTCCAATGCACCAGCAGCGACCTACACCAACCGGAGCAGATGGACAGCGGAATCCGATGTTTCTGCAGAAAACTAGAAGTGGCACTTCTGTAACAAAGGATGAGAACAAAAGTGGAGAAGATGAACAAGATCATGGAAAAACGACAAAGACAAAAAGTAGTGGCGTACCACAGGAATTTGATGTATACCAGTGGAATTTCGGTCATTTGACAGAGGAGCAACAGTCTCTAGTAGAGACAGACAAACTTCTCTACGACCTCTTGTTGATGACGCTCAAACTTCAACTGCATGAGAAAAGCAAGGAGATGAAAATGATCAAAAAGAAGATGAAGGAAAAAGCAGCAATAGCGAAGAAATCTCCTGAGAATCCTAGTAGTGGAGATAATGATAAGCCTCCTGCTGAACAAGCCTCCGGATCATCACCTCCGTCAGATGATCCAGCTGCTCCTCCATCTTCTAGTAGTTCCTCTGATGATAATGCGACTGGTGCTGGGGAACTTCTACACCAACTAGAGCAAAAACAACCTAGCACAGGACTAGAACAGCCACCTCATCAAGATGAAGATCCTCAGCAGCATAAACAAGTAGTACAAGACTTAGGAGAAGACCAGAATTCCAAAGTCAATAGTACCAGCAGCATCGGTTCCGGCGCTGAGAAGGGCAGCAACGTGGAGTCAGAATACAACATGGAGGAGTCACCCAGTGCTGGAGTTGGACCTCCTTTGAGCTCAAAAGGCAGTTCTAACAAGCGACGCAGATCACTCCTAGATGCTGTTTCTGAGGAGGGCTTGTTGAAAGTGCTGTCGCCGGATCCAGAAGTTGCGGATGAAAATATGGAAGTAGAAGATAAGCCAGAAGCTGGTGGAGCTGGTAGTGGAGATGCAGCTGTAGATCAGGATGGCGTGAAGGAGAGCAGTAAGAACACCGCAACATCCTCTAGTTCCGACGATGACAAGAAAATCGAAACTAAACTGCAAAACTGCATTCTCAATGGCGGGAAAGACGACAATGTTCTAGTAGATATGCTGAACATGAAGACTAGTACAGCCGTGTCGGCATCTTCTAGTAGTTCTAGTTCTAGTGCCGGTCCTGCACAAGCTGAGGGAAATGGAATGGAAAACAAGGGTGATTCGGTATCGGCAGTAGTAGTAGATGGAGATGGAATGGAAAGCAAGATGGGTCGTGGTGATTCGGTATCGGCAGTAGTAGTGGATGAAAGCTGCAATGCAAGCGGTGATTCGGCAGTAGTAGTGGATGGAGATGGAAAAACGAAAGAACAGCCAGTAGACGACACTGCAGAGCTTTTCGAGCTTCTCCGAAGTGATGCCCAACTCTATGGACCTAATGGCAAGTTCTTTCATCCACGCCAACTCGACTCGGGTGGCTCGACGTCCTCTTCTTCCACCACAGGGATAATGTGGAAGGACCAACATTATCCTCCTGGCGCTGCTGGAGCGGGTTGGAACCATTCTCAACAGGAGCATTATCTTCAAGACTACAACAGCTATCCTCCTGCTCAAGAATGGGGTGGCGCTGGTGGCGGGTACCATGATCCACAACAATTCGGACACCTAGCACAGATTGTAGAGCACTACAGTAATTACGTGATGCCCCCACATCAACAGGAGCCGTTCCAAGCACCCGCCACTCCGACTAACATGCAGCCAACAGGTGGCAAGGGGTTCGGGTTTGAACACCGACGAAGCTGGGGAGACGGGCCGTCACCTGCACAGCCGAAAGGGTACTTCAATCATGAAATTCTAGCACAGGAGATTTGATGTAGAGAGGAAAATTTCCAGCATCATGCTTCTGCTTGTTACACTTACACACTTCGTACAACTAGAGAGAAAATTTAGTTTGAGGTATATTTGATTAGCGCCGTGAACTCCTGATGACATTTTGGAAAAATACAAATCAAGTTTACTAAAAATTTGTCACTCTGCTCCACCTCATGATCAACCCTCATCTACTTCAGGTTTCTTCCATCCGCTGCTTCGAAAGGCCCTCCCTCTAGATTTGACGACGAGGGCAAAGGAGCATCGACATCGTCATCTTCGAAAATATATAGCCAGTTTAGCAACGGAAAGAATGGACAGGTACTACTGCTCATAGTTTACGTCTCTTTTATTCTCGGTTTTTTGATAGTAATTGATGAATGCTGACGCGTCTATAATGCTTGTACTCTGCTACTACCTCTAGATGTAGTTGTATCTCTTCATTCACTAGCACTGTTCTCTCCGCTTCTTCAAAGTTTACTCCCTAACATCGTTTACATTACACTGTTGAGCCTTTCTCAAATGTTTTTTTCAAACACAGGATTCGTCCACGAGTCCGCCGAAGACCCGCTTCGGAGAAAGTGATAGTCAAAATCCGAAAAGTCAGAGACGAGACCCCTATAGTCGCAAAGATTCTGATAAGCGAGATGAGGATAAACGAGATGCACCAGCTGCTCGACGGAGGTCTCGTAGTGGTCGCAGACGCAGGTCTTCTAGTCGTTCACGGAGACGCAACGAGTCCTCGGCCAAAAGGCCTCGTCAGCAACGTGATACTAGTAGAAAGGACGATAGAGACAATACGCGAAAAGAGTCAGCTGGTAAATGGAGTCTTTTTTCTGCTGCCGCACGAAATCGCGGTGCTGGTGCTGGAGGAGATCGCGCGTCGTCGAGAGACCGTGGAAGAAAAAGACGCTAGGTGGTCTAGTCGTACGATCTTCACCTAATATAAGTATAAGTATCTCTTTTCCAATATTATAGGTATAGCAGGATGATGGATTATAATTGTAGTACCTTGTATTGCACTCGACGCAGAAGTTGAACTTCAACATCATGGCACTTTTGACCAGAACAGAGCATGTTCGATTACTATATAAATCTCGTTTTCATGGGTAGCGGTAGAAGCCGTAGCCTTCGCTATTAAACTTAAAGGTATAAATAAGTTAAAAAATGCATAATGAAGAAGGCTGAGGCTCTTTAGATGAATGCAGCAAAACTTGCTATTGTTCGAACTGGAGCCCAATGCCAATGTCAGCACCCCTGTAAAGTGCAAAAACGCTTATTTTTTGGAAGATTTTTTTAGGTGGACCTGCAATCCAGATAGTACTGGTACGGATGTAACTCCTGATGTGAGTGGGTAAGAATCTTCACATACTACATGGATGGCTAGAAGAAGTTGAACGTTGAACCATGGGTAGAAGTTGAACGTTGAATCATGGGTAGAAGTTGAAGTGTCTTGTATTTAAAAGGTTATTCTTCTGAACTTGTTGTATAGTAGTTGTAGTCCCGACTCTGAAATTGATTCTTGAGCATTGATTCTTGAGCAATTATGCTCTTCTTGTTGATGACATTGGGGCTTTTTGATTGGTACCTACTGCTTCGACTTCCAGATACAAGAACAGCTCTTACTCATGCTGGATTTTTTTTTGACGTCCTCCTTTCGGGTGCCGCGAATCACTTTATTAGCCTTAATTATGCTTTACTTATCCTTATGAACCCCTACCCTGCCAACTGTGGACCCTCATGTCCATATGCCAACAACTCTCTTCATGCTTTCCACCACCTTCTTGAACGATTATTTGTGCCTATGGCCATTCGTGGTCATCCTCGTGGACCATCACGTCCATATTACCACCTACGGATAATTCTAGGCGGATGAAGTCTTTCATATGCTGCATGTAAAGCATGTTGAAATTGCACGACGAGCAGTGACACGGTCATGTCCGAGGTCTGGGGCGAGAGACGGGGATACCCTGAACTTGAACTTGTGACACGGTCATGTCCGCTGGGCTCGGGCTACCGCGCATCGCCACTTGATTGCTTGATTATAATCATCAAATTTGAAATTTATTCCTGATGTTCTTCTCCTTATGCATGAAGAGGATGAAGATGGACTCATTCTGATATGATGTGCATAGGACGACCTGCGACACACACATGATACATCAGAGACAGAGGGCTGTAGTAGATCATCCACAGAGGCGCGAGACGTTCTCTTTCTCACTTGTCCACCTGTTACGGCTGCACGTGTGGATCCCAAGTCTGCTACGCGAGTGATCCGTTTGAAATGAGAGGGTTCTTGGCGAGATGATGAGATAGGAAAAACGGAGGACATCTATTGAGAGACTTGTTATGAGAGGCGAAAGTTGTAGCAAAGGCAATGGCTGTATGTTGGATGGGCGGAATACACAGTAACTGGAACGGATGGGCGTATACTATGCGACGTCTAGAAGGAGAGAACGAGAAGTATAGGGTTTTTTTCAATCTGCGAAACATTTTCAAGAACTACTTGTACGCACTTGGACAGGCTGACGTTTCATCTCAATTTGAGTTGCAGAATGACGATCATGAGGTTCAATTTCATCTAAGAATCTAGATTTACAACTTCGCCTCCTGCTCACAAAGCCATGCCTTCAATGTCGGACCGGACGCGGCTTTTATCGTCATGTCGTCGAACCAAGAATCAGTTTTTTGGGCTATGCCTTTCCTCGCTTCTTTCCGGCGCCGGTGGCGCGCACATCAACTTCCTGCTCACGATTCATTCAGCCACTTGCTCCAGTGAACACGAAAAAGATAAGAGTTACAATGGGTACACCCCCCGAATGGGTACACTACTACTACTACTACAAGTGAATACAAAGAGCGTCTGAGAAAACAGGGTGTCTGCGGGCGCTCGGGTGCTTTTCTGCAGCGTGACATAGAGCACGCAGTGCAACTGCCAGTACAGGGCCCTAGCGAATTTCAAGCAGCTTCACCTTCGCGGCAGCGCTCTAGTGGCGGTAGCCCCAGTCCTGCCTGCGATGTTGGCGAGGGAGTAGGAGTGGTGGAAGGCTTGGCGTGTTGTGAGTACAACCTGATTTCATCTTAGGGTTCGATGAAAGCATGTAGAAGACGTGAAGAAGATGACGAATCACTTGCGTCACTGCAGTTGTGTACCTTCAAGAGTATACTTCGATACTTGATCTGGCGAGATTCCTTCGCCGCCGGACAATGCTGGGAGTCCCGAACAAGTAATGCAGCGGCGAGAATGGCGACAAGACATCCGGCATTATGAGTCTTGCAGCGCGAAGCAGTAGACGACAACTGCGCACTCTCCAAGCAGACTGCGTAGAACAAGAGCAGCAAAAGCATAATTATAGAATATATGAATGTTGAGGCTAGTCGACGCCTTTAAATTTACTAGAGCGAGACCCGCCGGCTCCGGTGGTCACAAGAATATATGCATAGCCATTCTACATGTCCTTACAAAGTACTATTACTAATATAAAACCTTGAAAACTAAAGCTAAAGTATCTCGATAAATCCAATCGTGTTCGTGGTATTATGCTATAAGAGCAGCGCTCCTACTCGTGGTGCTGGTGCTACTGCTATTTTTTCAGACATAAAAGATATTCATATTGATATCAATTATATATAAATTCATTGCAAGTGTTTTGGTGAAGACGTCGTAAACCTACTTGTAAGTAGTAGATAAAATTTTCCTGTTGATATTGAAAGCATGAAAACAAAACTACATCTTCAGGATTCTTATGGATGAATGATAGATCCTCGGCAAAGCTGCGCAAGCTCTTTCTCCTTGATGGTTGTCCATATTTTTTGCAAATCAAAGAAAAGCAAAGGCAGACGACTATCTCAATGACGCAGAAGATCTGCAAAACAGCCACCATTAGCTTGCGAGAGTGCAGAAGAGCTCGCATCGGTGAAATTGAAAAGCGTTAGACTGTTCACCAAGAAAACGAAGAGGTTTATCAATAGGATACTAGACTAGTACTAGTGTAGGTGCAGGAAGTGCAAGTCCATGATGCTTACACTTGCCTAACGAACAACTTAAGCCTCCAAAAAAGTCATCAACTCGAACTCTTTGTGATCATCTAAACATGGTCTACTAGCATTGAGGAGTCAACAGTGTTCGTCTTGGTCAGGGTCATGGTGGGTTCATGCAGCTGGTCGCCGTGGGTAGATGATGCGAACAGAGACATCCCAATATCATATAGACCTTCTAGGATAACAGAACTAGGACGTCTCGAAGCAAGTTGGCGCCAGTTTCCGTGAAGACTTGTTCTCTATCTCTTAGAAGGGTGATAATTATGATCGTACCAGACGACATCGACATCGACAGAATCCACCTGAAATGATCACATTGATACACGACAATCTTCTGAATCTACTGGAAGTACTACTTCAAAGACTGTTAGAGAGGAAGACGTCTACTACAAGTACACCATCTTCACAAACTTTTTATTATAAAAAATAACACAAAGAGAGTAAGATAAATAACAGAAGGCACAACAAAAAAATGCGTACTTTGCTCTATCTTTGTCCTTTCACGCCATGGGCTGTCGTGGCAAAGCTTGCGGAGGTGGACCAACATGGGAAGACCAAGCTCGTTGGAGAATCACAGTCCTACAGCAGCAAGAAAGATGCGCCACGGCAGAAAGAGAACAAGAGCGATGGCACGCGACGAAAAATGTTTGAGGATTCTTTCCTTGAAACGGTGCAGTCGGAAGGGGTCGCTGAACAAGCCAAAGATAACTACAAGGTTGTCCATCGTGAAAATCAGTACAAGTCCGAGTCTCCTACTCCTGAATCAGATATGGATACTCTCGAACGACTAGAGACTGGTGGCGGTCGTTCTGATGTAGTGAAAAGCTCGACGTTCGCCGAAAAGGTAGTTGTCACAATAACACTTTTATATTTCTCTTTTATATTTTTATTAAATGTCTACAGGTGCATCCTGGTTACAGTAAAAGTTGACGATCGAATATCTAGAACACTGTGTAAGCACTATTATTGTTGTACAAAGTTTATGAGTAATTAAACGAGTGATTGTTGGATGTGTTCTCCGGTTGGCTCGTCGTCTTGTCGGTGGCTGTTCGTCGGTTTGCACGCGCTCTCTATCTGTCATCTCATCGGTTGTGCTGTATCATGTTCTTACCACTACACCATCGGTTGAGGCTTTCATAAGACGGTCTGCCAAACCGTGATGCACTTTGTGAGGACCCTAAGGTTGGCACCTTGTCTCCTCGTGCTGGGAGCTCTGGGCTGCAAGTGGTGCTTATGGCCCAGAGCCCTGACCACATCCCTCAATTGCTTGTCGGTTAAATAAAATTGACTACCAACAAAAACCCTCCCCTTAACTTTCAGCGTGTGCGATTAAAATTAGATCTTCTATTAGCAAGGTTAGTAAAACTGAAAAACCTACAATCTATTTCATACATCATTATTATTCCGTCTATGAATTCTGTGCTTCGTGCAGCTCGCCGAACACATTGACTCTAGACGTTGCTTCTGAGGTTTCGCAGTTTATCTGCCGTGCAAATGGATTTTCTGATCCCTTGTCCGTGAGTCTTCACGATGCCGTCACTGTCTGGACATACTGCTCCCCTCCTCTTAAAATTTCCTGAGAGAAATCACCTGAATGCCTATTAAATCTTGCCTGACCTCCTCTGAACTTGGATGATCATGTGAACTCATCTGATCGCAGACAAGACACGCATGTACATCAAGGAGACTTCAAATATGGCGCAGAACAAGTGAATGTTACACAAAGAGTACAACAAGATCTCAAAAGTTATGGCTAACATAAGTGAAAGAGGACTATGCGATGAATCATCTAAATACTAACCATCCAAAAATAGGAATGGAAAATCAGTAAAAATGAAGGAGATGTCTCGTGGTTGCTATTTGGGATCCCGACACTACGCCATTAACAAGTAGTTCTACAACACATCAAGCGATCGGATTATGTATTCCTCAACTAGCTCTACAAGCATGTCTACGAACCCAATTGGTCGACACGCACTTCAACAAGCATATAAATAGATCAACAAGCACAACATACAACCGTCTCAAATGAAGGTCACCGAAATGAACGAGGTGAATACTGGACAAGACTAAAATCATCTAGCTCAACAAGAATACAATTGGGCCTTACCATTGGCTGACAACAAGCTGAACATGGTCAATTCAACATCGACATTATTAGTTCATGCGAACACTAGATGACAACTAGATCGACGAGAAAGTCAGCTGACAACTAGATCGATAAGAACAAATGGAAAGAATTATGGAAACACGGTTAAGGCTCCAATTAAGGAAAGTAAGGCTCTAAAAACAAGGGATCAAACAGCAATAAAAATGTTATGGCTTTAGAATGTAGAACATGCCTCCACACAGTATAAATAAGGATAGAATTTAAACGGAAAAAATTTTTAATTCTCCTTCTATATGGTTCTCACTTTAAGTGAGAGCCTCCTTTGCTTACCTTATTCAAAGGCACAGGGAGCCATACTAACTACTATTTTTTTGTGGGGTTCCCACAACTATAGCTGACTATTGCACAACACTCAAAATGTCCTCGTCATCTACCTCATCTTCCTCTTCCTCCTCATCCTCAGTACCGAAAGGTTTCGACACAAAACTGAGTAGGCAGAGGGTACCAATATCAACAAGTGCCACAAGCTCGATGATACGGACTGAATCAACTCACGATGCGACAACTAACGACTTGTTGCCTCCCAGACAAGTACGTAATAAACCTCCGCCATCAGCTCCCAAGGCCTACCTGATCAATAAGTTCAAGCAAGGTATCCGAATCGATACAAGCCGACTATCGATGAGCCGGCAAATGCAAAAAGCTAAAGCAAGAAGCAATTCAGGAAAAGCACCACCACCACCGCCGAAGGATTACGGAACTCTGAAGGTAAATAACATACCGGCTGCAAAGAAGACTAAATATAATCTGGGTAAGACTATACCGGGGAACATACAGGTTAGGAAACGAACTATGAGAAAAGGACGCAGACAACATGCTAGGGATAAAAAACAAGAAAGGGCACTCAGATCATGGGTAACTGAAAGAATTCCTAACCTGTCTAGAAATAAAATAGTTACAATATTATACCCCAAAACACCCTCACATACTTTGGATCATTCTGCAAAAACATCACCTAGCCCTGCTTACCTAGAAGATCAGACACTTTCTGGAATTCTGAATACACCAAGTAAAACGAAGATAATACATAAGTATAGTTATGCAACGCCGCGTGAAGATGACGAGCTGGAAGGACTCCCTCTTAAGTATGCTAAAGACATCAAGAAACGAAAGGTTAAGACGAAGAAGAAGATTCTCAGCGGGGCAAAAATAAAATTTCAGGGTAGTGGACTGAGAACACCAGAAAAACGATTTCTTAATATAGATAAGTCGACCAAAGATAAGACACGACAAGCAGGAGTTAAGGAAACAACAAGAATCATACCAATGAGTACCAATTATTTGTGGAGATGGTCTAAATATAAAGAACTCAACAAGCAGACAAGAGGCCTACTAAGTAGAGAAATAGCACGTAAAATTCTACAGTTTATAGAAGGATATGAACAAGGTGTAACTAACTACATTGACACTGAAAAGGTCCTAATACTAGCTAAAATCACGGAGAAAATGCTTTATGTGTACAGTGCCACGAAATGGCTTACGCATAATATGGTACCCGTGAAGTGTGATTTCATTCGAGACTACGTCTTTCAAATGCCCATGCATGATATGTCTAATTATTTCACACAAATAGAAGAAAAGCAATACCTTAAGAGACTGGACCCGGTCAACTTCTCCATCATTAACACACTAGGACGAAATAACTACACCTACTTCTTGCCTACAGACTGGAAAAAAGTCACGTGCGCAACACAGTTTCTGGAAGTCCCGCTACTGCTTAAGTTTCACTTTTTAGTGAACTTTATGGGAGTGAACAATCAGATGATGCATCTGTTTGATAAAGACAGGTTTGTCAATTTCTACCCTAGCAAACCTTGTAATGGTGAATGTATTGTATGTGACTCTGTGAGAACTAAACTTTTCCACATTAATAAGAGACAATATTCTGTCAGATTCAAATACTCCGAATTTGTTAGTTGCAAAGGTGAGCAGCACTACAATCGCCTTTATATCGGTTATTGTAGTTGCGGTTTCTGCTATATAGGTCAGACCACGTCTGCTGGAGTAAACTACTCAAGAATGGCTGGCCATTCTCAAACTTTGTTTGACCCTATGTCAGATAAAATAGTCTCTCAGCATGTTAATCAATACCCCACACATCACCTCAGATGGAGGCTCCTTTGGGTAGAAGGACCAATGGCGAAAGTTAAGGTCCAAGGTCACTCCATCTTGTCATGGTTGGAATCCTTATGGATAGTACACTTAAGGTCTTTCTTTCCGTGGGGCTTCAATATCAGATTCATTGACCCCTTTGAACTTAAAGAAGTTGATGTCCTTAATGTACTTGACCGGGTACTATATTCCTACTTCTTTATTAGCAACCCGTATGTCAAGAATCTGAGTCATAAATATGACATTTTATCAAAGAGTGCAGAGGGTTCGTGTCAAAGGTTTAAAGTACTTAATGTTTACAATGTCCTACCTAACAAAAAAGGCATTGTTCAAAAAACCTTTGAGCTGCTTCGCAGATTAGCTAGCACAGATAAAACTAAGAAAGCTGTAATAAAGGAAAAACTCCCGTGGTTTATTCCTAAGAATTGTATTGCTCTTGAATATAATCCACGAGACTTCACACATTTTGTATGTAAGTCTATACCCGATAAATATGTACCATCTCTACTCGTCAAGGTCATGGCAGTTAATAAGAAAACTGCCATTTTTTCGGATATGCATAAGGAACAAATACGCATGCTATTGGGACTATACCACCGGTCAGGCCGCAATGAGAATGAAAGAGTTAAGGAGAGAAGGAAAGCATGCGTGCTTCACTTTCCCCATCCAATAGTGGATAAACTAAGGCTAAGTGGTCTGTTTAGAACCAAGGAGACACTCAGCAAGTATATGATATGCTGGGAACTAAATAAGAAGGTCAGCATAACTACGTATCTACCTCTGCTCCGAAGTCCTATCCCAGCAAAGCTTTGTTGCAGATGTTACTTTTTTAGAGACATACTTCCCCCAGCTTGGTTTGAGCTGGATCTTATTAGCATCCCATGCACCTCGTACCACATAAGTAGACTAGTTAAGAGTGCTCGGCGACAACTTATGCTGGATACACATATGTTGTTCAATAGGAAATGCAGAATGGCAGAAGATTTTAAGGTGGATAAACTGTTTACAAAGAACACCCCTGAGGACGTAAAGTTAATTCTTACAGAGTTACTCACTGAGAAAATAGAACAGCTAGACAATGATGACAAGAAAGGTGACAATGTGGAAGTTCAGCTTAAAACCTTAAGTGAACTGTGTAGTCTGGGGTTTGTCATTTTTCCGGTAGACAAAACATCAAACTTACAATTTGAATGCTCTTCGCTACACCTTTGTAAGGCACTACATAGTCTGGGCGTTGTTAACTTCAACCTACTCACGAAGTACAACGAGAAAGTTAAGGAAAAAGTTAAGGCAAAAGAAAGAGAAAGCACGGGTATAAATCCAGCCACTCAACATATGAAGTATCTTGACAGCTGCCTACCTGCACAATCTGGTGCTCACATATTTAAAAGTAAAGACTTAACTGGTGATCTTGCTGCCATTTATGACAGTCTAACGCAGGAAGTTAAAAATAAATTGGATGCGGCAAGTAAGGCTTGGAGAATAAGAAAGGATACACAAGTGAAAGGACTAACACTACTA